GGGACCTCCAGAAAGGAATGGCTTTTGCGCTTCTTCCGGTCGAGCCATGACCTCCTCTCTCTACCAGTTGTAGTGCTTCCTCTCTCTCTCTCTCTCTCCCTCTCGCTTGGCAGCTTTTCAAAGCCGGCGTTGACTCTGTATGGAGCGAGCATGCATGCAACCCTACCCGGCGTGTCTTCTGCTTCGACCCAATGAGCGAAATTGAAGGGTCCTAATCCCTCCCCCTCTGGCCGCTGACAGTCGAGATCTGCTGCTCCAACTTTGCTCAAGACGGTGGGATTCTCGGTCTCTGACGCGATCGAGACCCATCGCATGAGGTCTACGATATCGTTGATCAGCAGGATCGAACGACCCTGCGCCTTCGCAATGAACCAACGCCAGTGGCCACCTTCATCTGGGTGTCTTCATTTGGTGGAAGAGAGATTCTAGACCTTGGCTAACATCTCGATGTCTGAAGCCAGAACTCCCTTTCTCAGTTCGTGGTGGGGGTGTGGTGCTGCGTCACAGTCCGACGCAGGATCACAATTCACTTCCTTATGTTGATGATGGGGTGGCCATAGTCGCAAATGAAGCGGCAGATGCGGTCGATGCCGTGCAAGTCAGAAGTCTTGGCTACATTGTAGGTTCACATGGGGGGGACTTGAAGAAAGTAGCAGAATGTTTGATGAAGAAAGAGAGAGGGTCAAGACAGAAAAGAAAAAAAAAAAAAAAAAGCACGGGGCGGGCCAAGACTTTGCGCGAGGTCCCGCTGCTGCTACCTCACATACCGTAGGTTCCATAAACTGCGAGCCAAGTCGGCGGCTATGTGCCTGTTTGTGGGCTCCCGAATCTCTCACATATTACTTGGGAAATACGAGAGAGGGTGGGAAAAAAATTGCGCCTTCGCAATTCTCTTTTTCAATGGCGTTATACAAGCTAGCCGGGCCTCTTCCTCAATCTATGTTTCCTCTTAAGACTTCCCTGCTCATCAAAAGTTCTACTACTACTCCTTAATGCCCCCAGCTGGCATGTTTTGAGGGAAATTCTGGGTCGCGGGGGCACGAACGACATGCCACCTTGGTTTTCTATTACTTGATCGCTCCGAACTCTCCTGCGTCGGTGCTCAAGGGAGTCGTTGCAACTGCGCATAATCCACGGTGCTACTGACATGGATCGAGTATGGATGCTAGTTGAAGCCTAACTTGTGGACGTTGAGCGGGTTTTGCCTATTTGCGTGGCTGAATAAGATGAGATGAGGCGGTCTGGTGTGACGATGACCGTGGGGGTCCCTCTTACACCGTAGGCGAGCATTGTGCGAATACTTACCTCGTGAGAGCGCAATGGCCTTTGGAAAGGGGGGAGTTGTGCGACCATGATCGATGCTACTAAAGACTTGGACCAAGTTATGCCAGTAGATGGTTCGTGGAGTGCATATTTCGTAGTTTGTCGCGAATGTCACGTTGGAAACCAGACATGTGATGGCCAAGAGCTCTTTGAGCTCTGAAGGATCGACTATACAGTTTCTTCTGATTCACACACCATCTCTTCTGCTCCTATAGTATCAAGCATTTCTTTCCCTCGTAACCATGACCAAATCCAACCCGCAGTAAGTTCTGCAGACACGGGAGAACACGTCTGTCATCCAGGTTAACCGTGCTCCAGACTTACGGCCCGCAGAAGAGCCAAATCCTGGATCTTCGTTGCACGCAGGTCTTGGGGATTATAGGTATGCGGGTAATATCGTGCCTTGTCTTGGCCAGAATGTGATGCTACTCCGTTTCCCGCGCTCGGGAGGCGAGGAGACGCCGGCAGTCTGGTAGGGTTCCTACCAGATAAACGCATGTGGGCGGCCAAGAATTCGATGGATACTGTTCCTGGAGTGTTGGTTTGACCGGTTGTGAGTATGGGTTTATGTGGGATTGGTGCATTTTCTGGTTTGCTTCGAGGCAGTGGCGACTTGCTGGTTTGTGTTTGACGGGACTTGTGGGTGTGTCTAGCTTGTTTATGCGTTTCTTGATTTCTTGTTTGTTAAGTTGTTGGTTTCACTAGTTCTTGTTCTGTTGCTGGGCGGGAGGTTTGTCATGTCTTGATATTGTGTTGGCGAGCGCAAGTTGATGCAACTTTAGCTTGCTTTCATGTTACGATGGATTATCACGAGAACCATCAACAATTTCAAAGCGGTTTGAGGGCTTTCAGTCATACATGTATAAAAGTGGTCAATAATACATAGGGATCGTCGTAAGGAGTTTGCATGATGTCCTAGCCTCAACTTGATTGTCCCATGACGTTGAGGCCACAGATTGAAAACAGAGTTGATATGAAAGTCAGGGGTTGGTACGGGTGAGTAAAGATCATGATCTGGCTTTCGGCGGTCGTTTATGGCTGTTCAGTTGCGCTCTCCATTCATGTCCCATACTGCGGCATCTCTCTTTGACTAAGTTGACGAGGTTCGACTGCTAATGACACCTGCACTGAGAATAGGAATTTTCGGAGAGGTATTCTGTGTAAAGGCTTACAAATTAAACAAAACAGAAACTTGTGGACGGCTGTGAATATGCAACAATGGTGTGCTTGGACACCTGGTTACAACTCCAAACTTTTACATTTATCTGTAAATCAACTCGCAAGGTCGCCGGTGAAATCCACAGAGACATACAAGAAGTTGATATGCGCTTTTTGAGACCTTTGAGATGCTTGTTACGATCTCTTGTTAACCGTATACAAAACCTTAGACAACCTGATGCTCCAGAAGTTGCCGAGACTCAAAAAGAAGCATTTATAACTAAACGACGGTCCGGTTACAACATATTCTGCGGCTAAGCTTCTAAATGAATAAATCTAGTCAATGCATTTCAGTTGGAATGCTCCAAGAGCGCCATGAGATTGTGCTGTTCCAGTGGCAGTGTAGAGACAGCTTAGGTAGGCCGACAGCCGTAATATTTCTACCGCTGGATTTATCTGGAATGCAGACGGTGACGATACTGTGTCCTATCTGACAAGACTGAGATTCGAGGAAAGATCTGAGAGAGATGCGAAAAGACAACGACGACAAGACAGGCAGAGGAGATCATCGTACTTGCCTCTCACCCTTTCCAGGTTGAAATATAAAACCCGCAGTCTCGGAAAAGAACTTCAAGTTCGGTGTCTGGAAGCAGGACGGGGCAGATATGATGTCGGCAACGGCATGTCTAGGACTGAGCCTGAGTCATGACATACTGGAGCTGGGGGTATATGGCCTCATACTTGTGATATTTTAGCTTATTTTTGGCTAAGATACTGGAACATGAACTATAAGACTTGTAGGACAGAGCAAAGAGGCTGTGGCAGTTGCGTTGTATGAAAAAGAGCCTATTGTTTGCTCCTACACAGTCTCTCTTACTTTTAAATACACTGCTGCATCTCAATTTCAATGGCTTCAGCTGTCAGTATCTCTGTAAACTTTCTTTGAGCGTGGGAATTAATCAATGAAAAATCGAGCTTTTATTGTTCCATGCCGTTGTGCGCAGCGCAGTGGACAATGTATTTCTTCTCCAGAGTACAAATCGGTTTGTTCAACGAGATTCCAAGTTTCCGAGAACGAGTCGAACATGTCGTGTATTTTTAGATCTCCTCGTTTGTTACGTTCGAATACCAGCGATATGTTCAGACTAATATAAACCAGGTCGTCATGTCATGACGTCGAACTCACTCAATAAGCCTGCTCGATTTCCACCGATCAACTCATTGGCGAGTCAACCCTAGCTTCTTGCCATTCCAACTGTCACTTCACCACACATATCTTCATTTTACTTCTCAAAAGACAGAATGTGAAGATTTCTCAACAATTGACTTTGCTCGAACGCGAGGGGCCTGGCTGACATGAACCTATTAGGAACGGATAAACAAAACCAGATGCTGGGGTCAGACTTAGACAGGCTAACCTGGCTGGCTCAAAGTGAATTAAACCAGACGTCTTAACCCATAGCAGGAGCATTGACCTCGTGACCGCTTGATAGGGCGGCCTAATCGGCACCAATGTAGATTTCAAATGGGCGGAGGGCAAAGCATCAGCCAGGAGCCGACACATATACAAGCCGCTTTCTAGATATAAGGCGTGAGAGCATAAACGCCGGTACCTCTATTGCCGTCATATCGGGACGTCTTTTGCGACCACTTGATAGAAATCATGACCAGTCCTTCTTTTCATTCTTGTGAAACTGAATAGCAAGGTCCGGGCAAAGTTATTGTACGCTCATCATACTTATACCATATCGCAATAACGAGATGGAAGAACAATGAGTCTATCAGGTACCCATTGGCTCCTGGTTCGCTTTAATATCATTAGTTCATACCTTGACAACCCTCTCTCTACAGCTACCTGTGTCCCTGGGAAATCTTTCCAGGTCTAACAACGGTTATCGAGAATGCTGACTGACCCTAACTAAGCTCGTTATGCCAGTAAGATATCAATATTATCATAGAAGGTGGAGAGGCGCACGAGAAGCATGAAAAAGAGATTTAAACTTACAATCTATAAAGTCTTATAAAGAGGCCATTTTCAAATCCGATGCCCTCGACGTCATGACGTGTGTAACAATGCTTTGGGAGACGCGTTCCATGACAGCTTCAATATGTATATACGGAAAACATGTCCGGGGAACGCTGCGGTCAAAATAGGAACTTGAAGAGAGCGACAACGGTGACATTGACTGCGGCAACGCGAAAGTAAAAAAATAAGCTTCCGGCAGTAAGCATTGCCAGGGCCAGAAATAGACGAAAAGACGTTGCCGGCACGTGTCATCCGTCCTGCTGCATGACAGGGACACTGTCAAGTGTGTCATCCCTCAAATGCTGTTGACCTGCCGCTGTTTGCGAACACTCACTCAATTTGAAAACTCAGACACGCTTGGTCGATATGAAGCAGAAGTGCACACTATACGCTGATGATTTATTTCATTGACTATTTCCTGCCAGAACAAGGCCACGAGGCCGCCGTGCCTCATCATTAAAGGGCTTCACGCCCGAGGTATCATACAGTCTCATTATTTCTTCTCCAGCTCTTCGAGAATGGGCTTCTCGAGGCTCTCGGGCTTGGTCGTGCTAGCCCAGCGGCCCTTGACCTTTCCGTCACGGCCAATCAGGAACTTCTCAAAGTTCCACTTGATGCGCTTGAGGCCCATGATGCCGGGCTTCTCCTCCTTGAGCCACTGGAACAGGGGGTTCGCGTTGTCGCCGTTGACGTCGGTCTTCTGCATGATGGGGAACGAGACGCCGTAGTTGACCTGGCAGAAGTTCTGGATGTCGTCGTCGTTGCCGGGCTCCTGGCCACCGAATTGGTTGCAGGGGAAGCCGAGGACGACAAAGTCATCGCCGTGCTTCTCCTTGATGTCCTTGTAGAGCTTCTCGAGGCCGGCGTACTGGGGCGTGAAGCCGCACTTGGAGGCGGTGTTGACGACGAGGACGACCTTGCCCTTGTAGTCGGCGAGAGGGACCTCTTGGCCGCGCTCTGTTGGAGGATATATGTCAGCGTCGCGAATCAGAGAAGATTATGCAAGATGATGCGAGGGGGAGGCGCGGGTGGCTAGAACGTACTGTCCAAGGGCTTAAAGTCGTAGAAGCTGGTTGCTGACGCCATTTTTTCGATGTTGAGATTTGCTTTTTTTTCTACTTTGCGATTGCTCGAATCTACCCCGCTATCGGATGTTGTTGATTTTAAATGCTGTGTGCGCCGAATTCGCAGTCTCGGTAGTGCACGCAGAAAAAGTTGTGATCAGTTTGGGAGAGTGAAGAAAGTGGAAACGAGCCAAGGGGGGATAGAAGATTGTTGAAGGGAGGGAAGCTCTTGTATGTATAACCCGGCACGACACCACGCCACGACAATGAATCAGTGGCTACATTGGACGTTCATCCTGCCGGGACGAAGTTTCAATCCGGTTTCCAATGGGGCCCGGGCACGGGCGTGCACTTGCAACTGCCACACTGCGACCCCCCCCCGGCCCTTCCACTGAACTGCTGCGTAACCTCAACGAACGCCAGGGAGGGTCCAACTGGGCTGAGTGCACCTGTGACGGGGTTGCGGTCCAGGGTGGGGCCCCGCTGCGATTGATGCGGGAGGGGCCCTGTAGCTCTGCATCGACCGAGGTACGGTCCCGATTCCTGATCCGAGCTCCTTTTCTTCGATCCAAGTAGCGTTACAGCTGTTGGTTTCTTGTTACGGATTACTAATTGGCGAACTGGGGCACGGCGATGTTGTTGAACTTTTGATAGATCTCTTTTTTGATACCCGGAGATCACCAAACCCGTCTCAACGGACATTAAGCAAAAAAAGGAATCAAAGGCTTTGGTTTCTTCAGAAACGAACGAACGTGAATCCGGCTCGCCATCATGTGAGAGTGGATCCAATCGGCCCAATGCGTTGTCCCGGTCTCCGAGTCCCGTCAGTCCAGACCTCGACGGTATGACAGAATTCATCTCTGAACTCCGGGCCTGCCGTGACGGCCGAGAGTCCAAGTAGAGACAAAACCACCGAAGTGGACGGCAGCAATCTCCATTGGGTCACCGCCCATATCCACTTACTAAGCAAGCATCCGGAGCTTCCAATTGGGCTGAGACAGAGTAGCGGATCATCACTTGGTCCGCTAAGACGAGCCATCGCCGAGGTGATTTCCAGATTTGGAATTAAACCAGCTTCCCCGAGCTGTCCAATGGCCTCGGGTCAATTACGGACCCGAGATCGTGTTTGCTCAATCCTTCACCCCATCTCAGTGTGAGGGTCATCGACCGCTCCCTCAATCAATCAATCACGTCAGGCCAGCAGCTGCACCCACTTTTCGGGGGCGACCCGGCCGTCCCTATTGTGTGTGCGCGAGCCACCCCCCGGCTCTTGTCACCGTTTATCGATAGCGACCTACCCCGCCCGGAACCACACCTCACCCGTGCGGCCCCGCGGTGACGAAATGCCGGCCATCAAGAAGGCCAAATCCAAATCCAAGTCCAAGTCCAAGAAAGCACAGTCAGATTTGCAACAACGCGACAGAGCCCTTCTAGAGGCATTGGACCGCCCTCAACTGCTAGCCATGGATCCCCAAGCGAAGCGAAACATCGTCATTGTCGGTATGTTTCTAGCGCGCCGTTTTCCCGCTCGTTGCTCCCGACAATCAGGCTGATATCAGTGCTATTCTAGGCGGTGGCATCATCGGTTCCACAACTGCCTACTTCCTCACCAGACACCCGAAATACAACCCCTCCCTCCACAGCATCACGATCCTCGAGGCGTCCTCTATTGCGGCCGGTGCATCAGGCAAAGCTGGCGGTCTACTTGCCCTCTGGGCGTACCCTTCCTGCCTCGTCCCACTGTCCTACCGCCTGCACAGGGAACTCGCCGCAGAGCATGGTGGCGAAAAGAGATGGGGTTACCGGAGGGTGCAGTGCGGCAGCTTCGAGGCGCGCGTGACGAAACAGAAACTCGAGTCGCTCCGGCAGGCGACTGTCAAACCTGAAGCGGTCGCGCCCGGCGCCAACGAGGGCGAGCAGGAAAAGGGATGGGAGAGGCTGCCGAAGCAGGACGAAGCAGCCGAGTCGATGCTCGAGGAATCAGTCCTTCCCAAGGACCTGGACTGGGTTGACCGCGACGCCGTCACCTCGTATGCCGAGATGGGCACGCCTGGGGCCACAGAGACGGCGCAGGTGCACCCTTTCCACTTTACGACGTCGATGGCGGCGTTGGCGCAGGAGAAAGGCGTCCAAGTGCGCACCAACTCGCAGCTGAAAAAGATCAACTCGACAAGCGCAGGCGTGCAGAGCGTCGAGTACCTGGATCGAGAGTCGGGCGAGACGAAGACGATCGAGGATGTCACGGATGTCTTGGTGTCTGCCGGGCCCTGGACCGGAAGGCTGCTCCCGGCCTCCAAGGTCACTGGTCTGCGGGCTCACAGCGTTGTGTACGAAGCTCACGTCAGCCCGTACGCTGTGTTTACGAGTATCGAGCTCCCTTCCGACTTCGTCCCTGAGCACCGGGCTAGCAAGGGGCAGAAGAGGAGACACAAGAGGGTTGTTGACCCGGAGATCTATGCCCGGCCGGGAGGCGAGGTCTACGCATGCGGTGCGTCCTTTTACAATCCCAACCCCCGCCACCGTGCTACCCCGTGAACACTTGTGCTGACCTAAACCCCCCCAAACAAACAGGCGAGCCGGACAAGAACGTGCCGCTGCCGGACACCGCAGACAAAGTCCAGGTGGACGAGGCCAACTGCGACGACATCATATCCTACATCGCGACGGTCAGCCCCGCGCTGGCCGCCGCGCCCGTCAAGGCCAAGCAGGCCTGCTACCTGCCCCAGGTCGACTACGGCCCGCTCATCGGTCCCACCTCCGTCCCTGGCCTGTGGCTCGCGTCTGGGCACACCTGCTGGGGAATCCAGAACGGCCCCGCAACGGGCAAGCTGATGTCCGAGTACATTTTGGACGGCAAGGCGACGAGCTCCGACATTTCCTCGTTGGATCCCAGAAAGGCCAAGGTCTAGACGGGTCTTTCTTTCTTTTTCTGTCTTTTGTTGTGTGGTCATGTATGCAGTTCGGGGCGTATAGAAGCGAGCGAGCTTCTTTTTTTTTTTGCATGGAGCCAGTGCAAGGTGGGGTTGAGGGGGAGAGAGAGGGGCGTAGAGATTCTTTAGACGGAAGGATAGAACAAAACGTGTGAATGAGTCCAACATGGAAACAAACAATGATAATGAATTTCTTCAGTCAGTCAGTTTTTTTAATAACTTTTTTTTTTAATCAAAAAGTTTCTATTATAGATGTCTCTTAGGATGCTAGGTATCAGGTACACCGGCCTAGCTCCGGTGTGGGTGTTTGGCTAGATCCCTCTTTCTCACTATTTGACAAGGAGTTTTTTTCTGTTGTGCAACATGCAGCGAAAAAAAAAAAAAGACTCCCGCTAGATAAGCCACTCCCGGTTTAAAAATGCAATCCGCCTGCATCCCAGTTCATTATCGGCATAAGCCCCCTTGTTTCGAACCTCATCAACACGATGCCGACCCCGGTGGCTTCAATTTTCTTTCTCTTTTTTCTCCCCTCGCATCAAACAGAAACCAGGGGTAGTAGTAAGGGACTAGGTAGGTAGGGAAGAGGAGGCTCTGGTGGGGGGAGGGGTTGGATCATTGAACTCGGGTTATAATCGCCCCGGATATTGTCCCGAGATCGCAGCCGGGACCCCCACGGCCGTGATCGGTGGCTCTCTGTGCCCCACCAAACTCGCCATGCCGGGCTGGTGTCGCCCGCACATGACTGTTTTTTGTATGTGTGTGTGTGTGTGCGTGGTCGTATGCATGCTATATTTGTGTGTGCGTGAAATCATGACAAGAAATTTTTGAGCGAGGAAAAACGAGACGTCGCGATTTAGAGCGACTTCTCAATCTCCATGACCTCACGGATACCCTCCTCAATGGAGGTGGTCCTGGCCTGCTCAAGACGTCTCAGAGGGCGTCTGGGGTATCCTCCGTAGCCGAAGTAGCTCTGGATGGCACCCTTGGTACCGGCGATGGCGGCCTTGGTCAGGAACCAGTCACCGCGGGAGAGCTTCTTCTGAAGCTCGATGGCCTCGTCGCGCTTGCCAGCAGCGTAGAGGTCCCAGACCTTGACGCAGACCTTGGGCATGACGTTGGCGCCACCGGCGATGATACCGCTACCACCGCTGGCCAGGGTCTGGGCAGTGAAGTCGCACATGCCGCCGAAGGCCATGTAGCCGGAGCCCTCAGACCAGGGGGTCTTGGCGTCAGTGGCAAGGGCCACACGGGTCAGCTTGCCAGTGTTGCCGCAGGTGAACTTGGTACCGATAATGTTGGGGTGCTGGGCGAGCTTGATGAGCAGGTCGCTGTCCATGTCGATGCCGGAGACGGCGCCGGGGTAGTTGTAGAGGACGAGGGGGATAGGGCTCTCGTCAGCGACGGCGACGAAGTAGTCGTAGATGGTGGCCTCGTCAACCTGGGCGCGGTAGTAGGAAGGGGGGAGAATGAGGGAGTAGTCCGCGCCGGCGGCGTAGGCGGCCTTGGAAAGCTCAATGGTGCCACGGACACTGCTCTCAGTGGCGCCAATCATGACGGGGGTGCTCTCGAAACCAGCGGCATCAAGGGCCTCACGAGTGGCCTTGGTGACGGCAATCTTCTCCTCGCGTGTGCAGTGGACAGCCTCGCCGTTGGAGCCCATGACGACCAGACCGGCAAGACCGGCCTTGGCCAGGCGCTCAGCGTGCTTCTTGATGGTAGGGACATCGATATCTTCGGTCTCGGGGTCGAAGAAGGTCATGGTGGGGGCGTAGATGCCGACGGGGAGAGGCCGGCGAGGGGCGGCACGGCCGTTTCCGTTGGAGGCAGTCATGATGGGCTGTGAGGAGCTTGTGTGAAGGGCAGAGAAGAAGTAGTGGTGAGGTGCTGGCAAAGGAGCAGACCGGAGCAGCAGATGGGCAGGTAAGAGAGGGGTGGAGAGGTGGTGAGGGGTGAAGCAACAGGATGAGAAGCGGGAAGCGGCAGCAGGTATATTTATACGAGAGCGCCAGAGACACCGAGGTAAGTTTTTCATGAGCTAATAGGCCTGCAGGGCGTCGCCTGCGTGGGGTGGAATGAGTCTGGAAATAAATATTTGACGTGTCGCGAGGGACTGCTCGTGTGGACATTGGCCCGAACTATCGAACATCGTGTTGACTCGAGGCCAAGACCGGAGAAGCTAGCGGACTACACTATTATGGTACGGGGGGCCACCTTGGGACGCTCCCTTGCACCCCGGCTGGGGGAGGGGGGGCGACGTGGATCAGAAATCAGAAACCTGTAGAGCAGCAGGACGCTAAGAGACATGGAGAACGGGGTGGAGGGGCAGACTGGAAATCCATCGCCGACGACGACTACTTGATGTTCCCAAAAAAGTGATGTTGCAAAAGGAATTTGCAGTCAGCCTTTAAGCGACCCAAAGGGGACACCAGACAACGCAGATGTACCCCGACCTTGGGTGCAACATGGCAGATTGTCGAGGCGGATACCGGCATGCTCAAGAATGTCACCCAAAGTATCTTTTTTTCTTCTTCTCCGTCTGTCAAAAGTCAAAGTCACTCGCCAGTGCAGAAGACTTTTGGCTTGATGGTATCGGGGATTTTTTTCCAGGGACTCTCATGGATGGCGGGGTTTTTCTTAGACATGGGGTATAAGCCGTCACAAGACGAGCAGCGTCCGAGACAACAAGGGACTTCCCTTGTTCTTCTCGAATCCCCCGGGCTGGTCCCTACGGCAAGATACCCACGTCCATGGTCTGCGGAGGCCGGTAATAGACGGTAGCGACAATGCATCTCTATTAGTAGATGTAGCGCTGTACCGGTTGTAAGATCTGCTGGGAAAGAGAGGTACAGATGCTGCACAAAGCGCAGATGTAGATTGTGCCAATAGCCAGATTGGACCCGACCGATGCCACCAGATCTGCGCTGAGGCAGCCGGGCGCATGGCTGGCTGGTAAACTATTTCGATCTCCTGCGTATGGAAGCGACGCGAGAGAATAAATGAAGACGAGGTTGTCATTGGGAGGCTGTTCTGCCATGCATCGCAAGGCTTGTCGGGCCCGGCCCAGACATTAGCGTGGAGTGGGATATGCAGGCTGCAAGACGGAGGAGGTGCCTGGCCATGCCCCGGTCATTGGCTGCCGAGTCTCGGGGTTTGCTCGCCTGAGGTGCATAACGAGAGACTTTTCGTCGTCATCGGTCTTGAGCTGTTAATAGGTGGTTGTCTAATAAGGACGACGAGCAGGCGGACTGCGCGGCAGTGTATTAGGGAGCCGACCCGGAGCTGGCACCGAGGGTCATCAACCGAGAAGGATCCGTGGTTAGTCACAGGAGATGCGATGAGAATAGCTGATTAAACCTCGAGGGTCGTGTAGTAATGCACTGGTCCTCCTACCAAAGGTTTCTTTTTTCACTAGGATTTCTGCGTGTTCTTACCTGACCGGGCCGGGCTAGGTTCCGGTATAGTGGCGACATCAATGGCCGGTATCCGGCGGGTGAAGTCGGGGTGGGTTGTGAGACTGTTGAGTAGCTAGCACATTCTGCGGCACAAGGTTGGAGACCTCCTTCGAGGAGATGCGAATCAGACCGGCCACGCTGTGAAGGGGCAGAGGAGCCTAGATGGAGTCGGGCTTCACGGTGAGTGAAAGACTGGCCTGGCGTTGGAGGAAGTGGTCAAAAATGATGGAAATTGGATATCAAGCCATTGGACGGAGAAATCCTTGGGGAGATTTTCCGCCAATAAAAAGGAATAATTATCATCGTGCAAGGTAAGTGGAGTCGTGGCGCCTTAGTCTGGGGGTTGGAGAGCAGAAATGGATGGGCACGAGGTGCCTGGAGCCAGCCATGTCGGGGCTGGAACCGTGACTTTGGCCGGAAGATATCCGTGGACGACATTTGCAGCGGGTACTCTGCTGTTGGTCACTAGGGGCTGTGAACAGATTACAGGCGCCTCCTTTATCCGTCCTGGTACTTGGAAAGTCTGTACTATGAGTACGCCTTGGTATCGGACCCTGGGGATGACCGTACAGACTTCCAAGCCACTGAAACACAACCTCACGCATGCCAACCTCTGCGGGTGGTCGCTTTTAGCCGGTTGGATGTGGTTTGAATTTATGTGATTGTGCATGCAACATTGCTTTTGGAAGAGAGTATTTCCTTTGATTTTTGTTGGAGCGGAAAACTCTAGCAATCAGTTTCAAGACGATCGATGCAACGGTTTTGTGACGGCCCCTTCGCAAAAAAAGTAGATTTGGCTTGAGAACTACTTACGACGGGCACTGCTTCTGCCGTCTTGAACCGTCTTGGGAAACTGAGGGGATGGATAATGGATAGACACTCCCTGGTTCAACGTTTTAGCCCTTTCCGGACAAATGTTCGAGGCGCACAGTTTCCCGACAGGTACAAGGCAAATGCGGGGCAGATGGTGTTTGGGTTGTACGTGGGGGCGGGGGAAAACGCCATGGCAACCGTGACCTTGTCGCCGCAGCATGGCTTCCAGTGTTAGTGTTGTGGTTTTACGCTTAGGGGATGGTGGTGGTGCAGTGCAGTTCAATACGATTTTACGGATACGTACGGAACATGCACTAGTAGAAACGAACCGGTGAGTGAAGGAATTCTACGAGGGAATAAACGGCGTTTTTTGCTGCAACTGGCGAGGCGTTTCTGTCTTGCTCGCCCCATTCTAGAAAATTGGCATAATTCTCCATTGCTAATGCCTGGACAACAGGGAATCCGAGCCTGGGACGCACTTTCTGCCCCACCATTCAAGGTGCCCCTCCCCCTCCCCCTCCTTTCTGCCCCTCCATGTCCCGTCATCTTCAGCGGTCTCGCTGCAATAGTCGCAAGTTGCAGACTGTAGCGTCCAAATTCCATCCACACAAGCCAGAACTGTAAGTAGAAACCTTCTTCATCAATCTTCCAACTTTAAAAATAAAATAAAATAAAAAACCATTCCAGTTCAAGCCACCCTTCAAAGATTCAAGCAAAGTATGGCTGATATAGATGGACTGCCGCTGGCCGCGGGGCACTGCGAACCGGCGCCTACGATGCGACGGCTTCGGACGCACTCGGCAAGTGCTCGGAAACGGCACAGGTCTCCATTGTTACTATGTAGCTGTGATGCACTTTGAAAGTAACGTCCACTGATACATTTTTGTCCCGTAATCTCGGATCCCTGGCTGGGCCTGTAATTGAGGATGAAGCAAGAACCATGAAGCGCTGTGCTCTTCAGCCGTGCATATATTATTCTTGGGTCCACCTTAGGTAGCCAACCAACGGAGCGGCGCCGAGCACTTTTGAAGAGAACGCATGGTAATAATCTTGAAGAAATAATAGTCAAAAAGCCAAATGAGTCGCAGCCGTGCCACGAAAACACCTCACTACGAAACCCCCATCGTACTATCCGGGCAGGTATGGGCTGGGGGGAGCTGACGCACGGCGGAGTGCGGGGCTGATAAATCCCTCCAATCACTAGCCTCCCCTCTGCCCCTCAATTATTCCGGGTCAAGCTTGACGTGTAAGAGCTACCAAACGGGTTGGGAGCTACCCTTGGAGACGATGTCCAAAATTATTTGGCCTGTTTGTCGTTGGCTGTTGTCACGTCTCCCGCGTATGTTCTCGTTCGTGGATCGCCCGAGCGGTTTTCCTGCTTAGCACAGAAGATAGTCCGCTTAAATAGTCCCGTAGCCTTCGTCGCTCCTGTCCCAGCTCCCGTATCTCGTCCTTCCATTCTCCCCAACTTCCCGATTCCCTCCTCTCACAAGATTTATAAGCCATTGAACCCCTAGAAGAGTCCAAAATGGAGCCTCTCAACGTCTTGATGGTATGTCGCGAGTCCCTGACCACTCTCATGTCTCAATGCTCACGATCTCTGTAGGTCGGTACCGGCGAGTACACCACCGGCTTTGTCGGTGGCGGTGCTTCTGGCTCAGACAAGAAGGTTGGTGTTGTTGGCCTGACACTCTTTGACCTGAGGAGGAGGGGCAAGGTCAACCAGCTGGGCATGGTTGGCGTCAACGGAACCAAGTTCCCTGCCATCAGTACGTAAAACTCGTGAGACTTCTCAAAAGCATGGCCGCTAACCGATCAAAGGGGAACATCTCGACAAGAACATCACCCAGGTCTACAACGGCCTGGACACCTCTTTCGACTCATACCCCGCCAACGACGTCAAGGACCCCGAATCTTACAAGACCGCTATTGACGCCCTGAAGCCCGGTGACGCCATCACCATCTTCACCCCCGACACTACCCACTACCCCATCGCTCTCTACGCCATTGAGCGCGGCATCCACGTCCTGTTGACCAAGCCTGCCGTCAAGGAGCTTGACCACCACCAGGAGCTCATCGAGGCCGCCGAGAAGAAGGGCGTCTACGTCTTCATCGAGCACCACAAGCGCTTCGACCCCGCCTACTCTGACGCCCGTTTCAAGGCCCAGAAGCTCGGTGACTTCAACTACTTCTACAGCTACATGTCCCAGCCCAAGTCTCAGCTCGAGACCTTCAAGGCCTGGGCCGGTGTCGACTCCGACATCTCCTACTACCTTAACAGCCACCACGTCGACATTTGTGAGTCCATGGTTTCCCAGCTGGGCTACATCCCCACCAAGGTCTCTGCCTCCGGTTCCAAGGGCGTCGCCACCAGCCTGGGTTGCGACCCCATCACCGAGGACACCATCTCCGTCCTCGTCCACTGGCAGAAGAAGGACGACCCCAGCAAGAAGGCTACGGGTGTCTACACCGCCAGCTGGACCGCACCTCAAAGAGCTGGTGTCCACTCCAACCAGTACTTCCACTACCTGGCCGCCAACGGCGAGATCCGTGTCGACCAGGCCAAGAGAGGCTACGATGTCGCGGACGACTCTGTCGGTCAGCTGATGTGGTACAACCCCTTCTACATGCGTTACGCCCCCGACGAGGACGGAAACTTCAACGGCCAGACTGGCTACGGCTACATCTCCCTTGAGAAGTTTGTCGACGGCTGCAGGCAAGTTAACTCCGGCCAGCTCAAGCCCAAGGACCTCGACGCCAAGGGCCTGCCCACTCTGAGAAACACGATTGCCACTACTGCTATCCTGCACGCCGGCAGGAAGAGCATTGACGAGGACCGTGAGGTCAGAATTGAGATTAACGACGGTGTTTGGAAGTTGGTTTAAGTGGTTTGGTAATGTGTGATGATTTGTAGACATGTGCATAGGGCTCCATATACCATCTGCTTTTGCTGTTCAATGAATCTGAATGATGAACAAGGACCTTGGAGTTCCCAAAGAAGTGAATGTGTATAGTCTAGAGACATTTCGGACGCCATTGGCATTGTGTGATGAAGAAGGTAAACGTGATCAATTAGCTAGCCTACAGGCTACAGGCACTCCCGAGACCGGGACCAGTAAAGTAGTGTAAAAACGCAGGAGCTTTTGATAAGTCTTGCTGACTGGAACAGTACATCTCATGGGAGTTAGGAACTTATTAGGTGACGTCTGATCCTACTAAATGGCCAAAGAGTAAAATTATTTGACTGGTCGCAATTTCCGGCAGGCAAATGGCACTTTCCCATTTTTATGGTGATCAACCGATTATATGCCTCACGTGATCTGCCAAACCGTTATGCTTAGTATGTCTCGTAGTAGAGTTGGTTTAGTGGGCCCGGGCGTATCCTGTCTGTTGCTTTGGGTACGCCGATGAACCACCTACAATGTTCAGCCCATCTCGAAAGTTTAGATAGCGCCCTGAGAAAAAAAACATTAACCAGGGAACAGCAAGCTCGCCCTTGTCAGCCGCTGCAACGCCCTCCGCGGGATCTCGACGTTTCCGGAACCTTACAGTAGCGCTTCTGAACTTGGCAAGAAATCGGCGACTAAGAGGCAGAACCATGGCGGAGTGCTACCCCAAAAAAGCTCAGTTGACTTCCCCTCACCTCATTGCCCATTTTGAAGCAAAAAAGTACCGCGAAACGTGAGGACTGCAAAAGCTTAGGGCTTACTTCCATCAACGAATAAGCCTGGGATCACTGCCACCCCTCTATAGATGTCGCACACGAAGGATGCGTGCCAGTGACGACGTGGCTTGGAACGTCTACACGCAAACCCGGCTGCAATGTTACATTCCCTGGCTTACAGCTTCCTGAGATTTTAGATGCGGTCCAGGGATGCGAACAAGGCGAGGCTCATGACTTACACGCCGCTAATGTGGCCCCGTTTCTCGACAAGCGTCGTAGGGCTGTGAGTCGGGCCCTCTCCATGAATCTTACAGAGTTCTAAGCAGAAGCGGAACCATCTCGCCGGGTTTGCCAGCAGAGGACTCGCCATCTCGTTCTCGCTGATTGCAGGGTTTTGACCCCGATTCATCTACGGAAGGCCGCGGCGGAGCGATGTCGAAAAGCCACGTCTGTACTTTGGCCCAATCCTCGATCCGGTGTACCACAAGCAAGGGAAGTCCTTGCCTTCGTCCCAGGACTTGGCGATTCGTTGTGTGAGGCAGCTTATCGTCATTCGTGGTTTCGTCCAATCACCACAAGTCCACACCTGGGACATTGTATCTTTGGGGCAAAGCCCAGATTCCTTTTGACGCAAACGCCCTGCGCCCACCCTACTTCGCATGCCGGAGTAGATGTCGTAAAAGGCTCGGTTGCATGGGCTCTGGCCCTATTGGATGGCGTAGTGGCCGTAACCCAGCATGCTTTTCTGGTCACAACTTTGAACAGGGGCAGCATGTCCGGGGTGTAGATGCGGGCGAAACCTACACGTGAAGAAGCCTCCCCCTCTGAAGAGGAGAGGTTCTATCAGCGATCACAGCCGTGGCTTGAGTAGCCTGGCGACGTAGCCAGTCAAACCTGGTTTCCACCCTGCATTCTCAACATCCGACGGAGTTTACCATGATGCTGCTATCCTGATTTAGTGTATTACCGGCGAGTTCTTGTGGAACCGCTGAGGTATCTGATGAGATGGAGGGGTATGCTTAAGTTTGTTTGCTGCTGTCGTAGCTTATATAAATCCATACCTGCTGCCTTCTTTTGACAGTCGTTGTTGATATTGATCGTATCTACTCAGACCACTGAGGGCATATCATTGTACCAACATCACCCACTATGGGAAGCATTCAACTTCCTGCACGCGACATCGCGTATTGTACGGTAAGCTTAGACAGTAGCCTCGAGCGGTTGGCGCAGACTAACATCATGAAGCTCGTAACCAACGATAGCTATGTACTCGGTAAGTTCGGGTACTGTTCAGATCTGGTGCTCTCCATCAACTAACATCACCAGCGGCCGCAGTTCTCGCTGAATCCCTCAGGAAGACGGGCACTTCCCTGCCCCTCTGTGTAATAGTAACTCCCTCGACAATGTCTGCCGACGCAATTTCCAGCCTCCAAGCCATCTTCGAACAGGTTATACCCGTGTCGACGGTGACTGCTCTGACGGCAGATAACCTAAACATCATTGGGCGGCCCGACTTACACGCGACAATGACCAAGATCCAGCTGTGGTCTCTGACACAGTTCAAGAGGCTGCTCTATCTGGACGCAGATACCCTCGTTATGTCAAATCTCGACCACCTCTTCTCCCTCCCGGACACAATCCCCTTCGCAGCGGCACCGGAGATCGGGTTCCCGGACTGTTTCAACAGCGGCGTCATGCTTCTCCGCCCCGACATGAAGACGTACGACGAGCTGATGAGCTTCGCGTCCAAGGTAGACTCCTTTGACGGCGGAGATCAGGGCTTGCTCAACGTGTTTTTCGGCGACGGCACTCGGAACCACCCCTCGCAACTCCTGCTGAAAGGCACGAGACAGACAGAAGACGCAGCCGCCGAGCGGAACTGGTTCCGGCTGAGCTTCACTTACAACATGGAGATGCACAAGGTGTATCGGTTCTACATCCCTGCGGCCTTGCGATACAGGGACGAACACAAGGTCCTGCACTTCATCGGCAAGGACAAGCCATGGCATTTTGACGGCGGCAAGGTCGAGATGCCGGAGGATGCGTCGGCGTATCACCACTTCTACGCGGATATGGTGGGGAAATGGTGGGATACGCGGAGGTCTATGCAAGCTGCGCTATGATGTCTCCTAGCCATGTGTAATGAAGCGTCTCTAGTCATATTGACAGTTACTTTTAACCCATTTATCTTTCTTCTTCTTCATCCCAATTAGTGATCACCGGCCCTTAAGTAAGCTCCTAGACACCCAGGTCACTGAGCCCAGCCATCGGTCAAGCTCGGTGTAGATAGCTCACCCAATCCGTATCGGGTCTAGCGCGCCCCTCTCCGATAAGATAAGATTACAAAAAATTCGAGGAACCGCTCAAGCGACCTCCCAGTGTCAATTGCCGTTGCCTCTCAACCACCTTCTCCCGTGAACCACCACCACGACACCTCTACTCCCATCACATCAATCGTAAAGCGAAAATGGGCCGTGACCTCCAAAAGAAGAAGCGCCGCTCCGGCCGCCAAAAGATCAGGCAGCCCAACAAGCCCAAGCGTCTTCTCAACCCCCTGGGCAACGACATTATTGCCAAAAACTGGTTCGTCCTGCTCCTGCAACCTTCCTCCGGGAAAGTTGAAAAAAAAAAAAAAAACACACGCCACGAACCAATACTAACGGGCAAAAACCGCACAGGAACAAAAAGGAGACTCTGACGCAAAACTACCGACGACTCGGCCTGACAGCGCGCCTGCGCGGGCCGACAGGCGGCGTAGAGAAGAAGCTGACGGAGATTGAAAAGACAAAAGGCGTAACGCCGCGCGACCCGTTCGCCATCGTCTCGACGGAAGAGGCCATTGTCGACGAGGCCCGCATCGAGCGCGACGAGAACGGCAAGGTCGTCAGGATACACTACACCAAGAGCACGCGCGCCAACCCCCTCAACGACCCCCTCAACGATCTCGAGGATGACGATGACGGGGAGGAAGGAGGGGAGAAGGACAAGGAGGAGTGGGGCGGCATCGACGACAACAGCCGTCCCGAGGTGATTCGCTTGCTCGAGAGGGAGGCGGCGAGGCCCGAGGTCAAGAAGACGCGGCACATGAGCCAGCAGGAGCGCGAGTGGCTCCAGAAGCTCATTGCCAAGCACGGCGACGATGCCGAGGCCATGGCGAGGGACCGCAAGCTTAACCCCATGCAGCAGACCGCGGGTGACATTGCCCGTAGAGTGAGGAGATTTACTGGAAAGGTTTAATGGGAGAAGAAGAAGAAGAAGAAGACGAAGAATTGAAGCCAAAAAATTTCAAGACAAAAGATCTCAAAGGGGTTTCGTGTAAGCATGGCGGGGGGATGCCTGGTCAGATATTTCCCTGAGGAGTTTGCGGCGTTTTGATTTTTTTTACAACACCAAAATTTTACATCAAATCACTTTTCTTTGCAGAATCACAAATCGATAGAAAGTGAGAGAGAGCATTATGCTTTGGATGTATCGTCATTGCCATCAAAAATTGATGTCTACCTATGGATTTCATGCCTGGTATCTGTGCGATTACCTTGTACAAATGGGACGCCAACAACACCCCCTAAACCGAATAAGAGAAAAATCCAAGCCATCTATGTGAATACAGGACTCTGTCCCTCAACCGAATATCCTCCTGAAGCAGGCCATGGCCCTGCCACTGTTCCTCACCCGTTTCTCGTGCGCGCGCGCGCGCGCGCAAGAGGTACCGTTTACCTCAAGGTACGGTCGTAGTTGGCAGCGGGAAACTGCGCAGGCCTGTCATCATCATAGGCAGGGGCGGTGTAGGGCATCGTTGTCGGCGCCGCTGCAGGTGGCTGAGAGTGGTAGTCGGTCTCGCTGTCGAACATGGCGGCGTTCTGGCGCGAGGGGAGAGAGCCGTAGCGGTTCGGGTCATCGTCCTCAGGGCCGTAGGCAGAAGAGGCACCTCCGTAAGCATTGTTGCTTCCGTAGCGGTCGTTGTAGCTTCCCATGTTGCTGGCGGTGCCGGCGTTGCTGCCGTAGGGGTGGTCGTCGTTGTGGTCGTCCATGTTGACGGGGGCGTAAGCCTCCTCGTCATGGGGGGCCATGGAAAAGGCAGCCTTGTCGGGGTCGATGTTGTCGCCAGCGATCTTCTGCTTGTCGTAGCCAGGAAGACTGCCGTGGAACTGGTAGTGCTTCAGAGTGTAGAGACTGACGAAAGTGGAGACTCCAAACAAGACACTGTGATTGCGGTTAGCATCGCCATCAGGAACATGTGCCGCAGAAACTTACGTCACGAAAACGCCAAGACCGACAATGGCCTTGCTGAGGTTGCACGCTTCACCGCACTGGTTGGCGGTGTTGTAAGCTGCTTGACTGGCGAAAGCAGAAAGCCAGATGACGGTGAAGACACCATCGACGGCAACCATAGCGTACGGGTTCGCTAGCTTTCGGGTCCTCGGCCATCTCGGAGCCATAATCAGGTATATCCAAGCAGGAATGGAAAGGAAGCACTGCGATGCGGCTTCGTTAGTATGCAAGCTTTGGAGGGAAAAAGCCATGTCTCGTTATGCATCACATACCACTCCGAATGTCCAGCCATTGTTTCCAACAATTTTGGCATCTTTGGCTCTGAACACCGCAATCTCCAATGCCCAGATAACGAAGGATAAAACAAACTGGACAATGTGCAGGCCCAGCTTAACGCGAGGAACGTTCTCGGGGTTGAAGTCGAGGTTGCCAAACATTGTCGTCGTTGTTCGGCTGTTCGGTCGGTTGGTCGGTCGCAAATTGGTGATCCAGTAGGTTACGGAGGACCTACGTTGGTAGTCGAAAAGGGGATGTGATGGCTTGGGGGGAGGTTTGAGCAGCTATCGGCTCCCCTGTTTTTTTAATGCTAAATAAAGATCAAACTCAATCCGGCTCGGCAACGGATTTGGCGAGACGACGCAAGTTTGCAGGACCAGTGAGCGGGGTCCAATCAAGTTGTAAGATGAGTACCGGGAAACGACGCAGTTAGTGGCCGCCCGGAACAAGTATCGAGTCTGCAATGGTGCAAAGAGGGCGGATTCAATGCTGGAGATGGTGTCAATGAGGGAAATAGGGAAGAAAAAAAAAGAAGGTTCGAGTAGTGGAGGGGACAGGTGGAAGAAAGAAGGTGGTCGTTCAGGCGCAGCAGCAGTAGTAGTAGTAGTAGTAGTAGCTCTTGGGGCTCTGGTCGTCGGGGACGCGTCTGCCTTTTTTTGGTCTCTTTAAAACGAAACAGCCCCGGCCGGGCTTGGGATTGCGGCAGTGACGAGACGTGGATTCAGTGGGCAACGACTCGTTCCCTCTTACAGTGTTAGTGGAGTGGTTGCCGGCAGTGGAGTGGGTCTAATCCGCACCCAGGACATCCCGTCATCATCAACGGTTCTCTACGAATTGCCAGTACCGTTTCCGGGACCCTAGAATAAACGTCGCTATGATTGATTGTTGCCCTGTTCGAGGTCTATGCATGAGGGTCTCCTTTCATCTCTACTACTCTGTGCAGTGGTACGGGCTGCAGGTGGAACGGAACGAAGGACTTTGCCATGCGGAATGGGATGGGATGGAGGCTGTTCAGAGTTCACGCAGGCGAGCTTGCGACTTGGGTTGAACCAAGCCACTGAGCTGCTGGGTTTCACTGCGCCACTGAAGCTCAGGCAGCGAATGATAGAGCCCCTACCGCGAGCAGCTGAACAGTAGACCCCTGCAAGCCACGCCTCCCGAGCAATAGTTCAGTCGAGGGCAGTTTGTCCATTCTTTTAACCTTTGAGCGCTACGGATACTTTTCGAAAGTCCACGGGGAGCCGTCCGTCCCTGAGCCATTTCAACCAGTACGCCCAGCTTAGGTGAGGCAGTTTTTGAGTGGAGGAACGAAAAACGGTACATCAGTATAAACTAGCGACAACAATGTTGATTTATCTTTTATTTTTCTTTTCTTGCGCATAGCAACCGTCACCAAGTCTTGGGTTTCTTGCTTTGCCTTGCTGCAATGCTAAGGCTCCCCCATTCTGGTTTCTGGGGTGATGCGCGGAGGCAAGGGGCCATGGGATCAGCTATGATGACAGCCTGCAGCAGGACGATGGAACCTCCGTTTTTTCTTGGACGGCAACGGTAGTAGAACCAAGACCAACAGCGGTGTGTCAGCGAATAGGGCAGCCTCCAATTGTGCGACGCTGGCGCCCGGCTGGCTGGTCGACATACACGAGGCACCTCCAGCTCTAGCGTAACCTCTCCGCAAACCGAAAACGCCCAGCCCAAGCCAATCAGTCTCTTGTGTGTGAGTGTGTTGCCTGGACATCATGTTGACTCGTACGAGAGGAGAAACTTGACCCCCGACCAGGGCAAAACGCCTGCGAATTGCATATCATCTCACTCAGTGTAGCAGACATGTACGTAGTAAGCCAACCGCCCGAACCTTCCCAGGATGCATCATCCATCGGGCTGCCAGTTTTTTTTTTCTCCTCCTTTCCCGCCTACCTACGGAGTACACACTGACATATTGGCACTGACGAAAGCACTCATTGGGTGCGCAAAGGGAGCCCTGCGCAGAAAATAGAGTCGCCTGTGGATCCAATGGCGTAAGTCTTGCCGCCCAACTTCCTTCCCGTAGTAAGAGCGATTAAAGATATCTCCATACGCGTCCCAGTACCAGTTACACCCAATACCTCTAAACGTACTGTAGTATCGTCGCGCCTTGGCCATGGCTACATAGCCACCTTTTGCTTGCGCGTGTCAATAGGTGCCGGCATCATGAGCCTTTTGATATGCTTTTCAATGCCGGCTTTTCCGATGAAGTCCGCCGCCCGCAATCGGTACAATTGTTAGTCACCTTGGACTGAACTCTTTTTTTCCCTCATTCTAATTTTCAGACGGCGGACGGACATCTGTGCATGCCTGTCATGTTCCCTAGCCTGCGGCTGAATGCATCGGAATGTAGCACAGACCCGGGACGCCTTCTTCAATGTCTAAGGTGGCTTCCAAGTGTCTTTGGCTGACCCCTAACTAAACTCCCTTCATCCATAGTCACTCAGTCGATCCGGGGTCCAAGGGAAGAGTTGGCAGTCCTGTATTGATTGAAATTGGCCATGGTAAAATCGACTGAAATGATGGTATTCACTGATGGGGTTATGTACCGTGTTTAAAAACTGTACAACAAGCGTAGAGTTGAGCGATAGACACAGTGTACATTGCCTAGGGCACCGTATCTCGGCCACACATGAATTTTCAAGTGAGAATGCGCTTGCTTCCAAGTCTCATGAGCAACACGCACAACTTTACTAACTTCGCAGCCATTACAACCCCTGCTTCGCTCAAAGCCATGGCTCAAACTACGGCACCCGCACTGTCCGATATCATCTTTCCGACAACAGCCAACCATAACTTTTCTCATATCCTCACGGACCTCAAGCGATCTAACTTGTCCATCGCTAACAGACTGCGCTCCTGTCAGCAAGATGCGGAATTCGTTAAAGAGGTAGCAACATGCTACAACCGTCCTCTGGTCGCCAATGAGCGGTGCGGGAGCTGGTATGTTCGTCCAGAGGAGAAGGCGGCGAGTGCCTACTTCAAGAGCACCGACGGCCACACCAATGCTTGGAAGTTTAGCACGCGGAGGTTGAACTTGCATCTTCTCGAAGTCATTGGGAAACACGATGGGTAAGATATGGAATTTATATTTTCCCTTTGCTTTTGAATTATATACATTCGTGGTAAGTGGGAGGCACCACTGACACCACCAGATGCATCATCATCGACTCAACTAGACGAGGCAAGAGTAAGTTACCAAAGCCCTCCCCTCCCCAGAGACCATCACTAACAGCTCCAGGAATGCCGGATGCCCTCAGCAAAACCATCCCCGTATGGTGCGCCGTTCTCAACATGGCCTTGTTCCCATCCCATCCCAAATCTACCACCCTCTACACCCCTCCCAACGTCGTCTCCGCCTCGGAACACTCCCAAATCGCAGCCCTCCTCCCTACCTTCCTTTCTTCTCTAAAAGCACTCAACCTGGACCTGGAATCTTACCGGAAGCACATCTCCAAGCCCCTACGTCCCTTCTGGGTGACCCAGGAAACTCAGCTCTCACCCACCGACGTCGTCTTTGAGGACCACCACCCCGTCATCTGCTGCACCTCTTCCCGCCGCGTCGCCGGCACCGAGATGAGCGAGGCAGGGTACATCCAGGGCGCCGGCGACGACACAGAGAACTGGGCACTTGGCCTCACGGCGGAGATTTTCTGGTCGAACGCAGAGACACTCCTCTCCGCCGCCGAAGCAGACCTCCCTGAAATCGTCACCGATCTCGTCGCGAAGAGCAAGCAGCATGCGCCAAAGGGCGTACAGCCAAAGCAAGTCGCGCCGAGGATCGCCGTGTGCCCGCTACCCCTGGATGACGGCGCCGGGGAGACGGTCGGGTGCAGAGTTGCCCTAACACAAGACGTCACACAGCGGGAAACGTGGGTGAAATCCCCGACGTACATGGAGGTCGGGCTGGGGAAGCACAAGGTCGCCAGCCGTAACCTTCGCCAGGCATTGCCAGACATCTGTGCTTTTGTGTCCAGTTACTTCGGCGCTCACCAGGATGACTCTGGGGATGTGGTGATTGCGTGCGAGACGGGCAAGGACCTGTCCATCGGGACGGCGCTGGCTGTATATTGCTGGTGCTTCGACCAGGACGGTAAGTACCGTGTCGCGAACTCCACGACGTTCTTCAACAAGGACATGATCCGTGTCAAGCTGGGGACCATCATGACAGCGTTTCCGGAGGCCAACGCCAACAGAGCGACATTGCAAAGCGTCAACAGCTTCCTCATGGACCACCGCAGGTGAGAGAGTATTTATTTAACCCGAAATTTATACCTCTATTTCAGGTGGCTCCGTCGAGCCTCTGGGAACCGGGAACGCTACCGGTCTCTAGCTACGAAAACAGTAAAGTAAAAAGACATAAAAAATCCCGCCTCACAACGACGGCTTCCCACCACCGGCTAGTCAGACACTCCCGTTTTCAATCTTGGCCAGGATGTCAGGGAACTCGCTCCAGTCCTTCATGATGATCACGGCACCGGCATCCCTTAGTACCTTCTCCATCTCGGCCTTCTTGTCGTCGGCGTACGGGCCGACGTACCCAATAACCTTGATACCAGCGCGGGTGCCGCTGAGCGTGCCGCTCTTGGAGTCCTCGATGGCGACGCACTCCTCGGGCTTCTTGCCGAGCTTCTCCATGGCGTGCAGGTAGATGGCCGGGTCGGGCTTGCTCGTAGGTGTGGGCAGCGACGTGGCGGCGCTGAAGACCTCCTCCTCCTTGAAGTACTTGTCCTGGCCGACCTTGACGACGGAGGCCCACACGCGGCGCTTGGCGGAGGACGAGACAACGGAGAGCTTGTACTTGCCCTCCTTCTGCAGGCGCTCGAGCTGGTCGTCGACGCCGGGGCAGGGCTTCAGCGCGGCCTTAAGCTTGGCGATGACGGCGTCCTCCTCGCGGCGGACGTACGTCTCGAGCTCGTCAGCGGGCATCTCAAAGCCGTACAGCTTGGACAGGCCGAGCATCATGCCGCGGAAGTTCTGACCGACGAACTCCGTGATCAGGCTCTCGCCGGTAAAGCGCTGGTCGATCTTGCGGCCCTCGCAGATCTCGTTGATGAGGTCGGCGCATGCCTCGAAGGCGAGCTCCTCGGAGAGGACGAGGGTGTTGTCGCAGTCGAAGAGAAGGGCGGTGATCTGCATTGATCGGTTTAGCCGTAGAGCTTACAAGGGGCGTAGGGGTGTAGACTCTTGTCAACTCACCTGAGGCATGTTGGCGGTATTTACGGGTTCTATTCGGAAATCTGATGACCTGTTGATCAGAACAAGCTTACCAAGCTTAATTGGGGAGTAAAACGTACGTTTAACGAATCAGAGGTCAATGGACAATGAAAGCCAAGAAATAAAAGCAACTGTTTTCAAGACTACGCTGGCGCCGGTAGGGTTGGAGAGCTTCTCAAACAAGACACAATGAAGAGAAGAGGGAGAAGGAGAAAGGAGAGGAAAGAAGGGTAAATAAAGGGGATCAGATCAGATGCCAAAAGGGTAAAACCTGCCCCCCTCTCTCTCTCCCCCAGGAAACCAAGCGGACGGGGTGTAACTCCGGGGCCATGGCATGTGGTCTGTGGAATTTCCCAGCGCCAACAAACCGGCCGGTTCTGCAAGACTGCGACTACTTTTTTTTTCTTTTTCTTTTTTCGCGGGAATCCCTTCCGTAATGCCCAATACCTGGCTGCATATCAGAAGCGTGCCTTCCTGGGCGCGCGGCCGCGATTACCACTACGAAGGCCGCCGCCCGCCCCACCCGTTACCCCTCCCCACGGGCGCTGTCGCTGCTGCTGCTGCTGCTGTTGCTTGTTGCCCCTCCATCCGCCGTTGGCAAAACCCATGTGAAGTGTCGTCATAGCCGCCGCGGGGCTGCAAGCTACCTACCAATATACCTCATTACCTACCAACTACGCAGTACGCCAAACTAAACTAAACCTACCTTACCCTGCCGGCCTTTTCCCAATTCCTCACATCGGCTCACTTGCAGGAAACCGGACCTGTTTTTTTTTTTCCTGGTGGAGAAAGGGCCCGGAGCCGAGGGTTATATATGCGAGATAATGCTATACGCCAGTAAATGATGCTTGCTGGAACCTTTGTGCCGTCGGTCAAAGCAAGGACGACAGACCTGACCTGACCTCAGAGTTCGTACAGCAAAACATGGCCAATGCCGCACGTAAACTCTCCCGCACCAACCCCCCCCCTGCTCCCGAGCCGTAAGCAGCACCGAATTATGCCGAACTGAGACGGGGAAATCGGGAAAGCCTCGAGATGAAGACAAGGTCACATCTGTTGTACTCGCAGTGGATCTCATATCTACCAACCAACCCCCCCCCCTTCCATCACGTCTGATCCCTCCACTTGGCTTCTCGTTTAAATGGGAAAACTATTACCTACATCTCAATCCATGTATGACAATGGGCTGAGCTCGGGATGGGGATGGGGGAAGGGGGGCCCGGGGAGGACTTAGAAGAGCCAAGGATGAATGAGCTCGGTCCCCACTCGACAGTTCAATTGCTTTTCCTTCACGCACGTCGACGCTCCCGTCAGCCGATGTGGAGGGGACCATCCTGGACCAAAAGACTCTTGACCGGGATGCAGTTGTCAGCGGGCTTGCTGGCGTTTGACTTTTTAATCGGCGATTTGCTGACTGAGGTCGGATGATGATATGGTCGGTACATTTATCTCTGAATCGGAGATTGAGGGAAGTCCGTCAGGCTCGTCTCTATAGACCAGCACTTTACCAAGTTAGACAGACGCCTGTAGATAATCATCGGCATAGGAAACAGCTGACGGGATTCATCACTACTGCAGTTTCAGTAATGGCACGGTTGTGCGGAGGTCAATACCAATGCCACCGCTCAGATCACAATTATGAAGCACGTCACGAGAAATAATCTGTGGTGTTCGAATCTTTATCAATCTTGAAATTACCTAGTGTCTATGTACTCAACCGTAGGCATTCCGTTTCGATTACACACCAAACCGCAATGGCCTACGCGTAGTAAACGCAATTAATGCTCAAACAGGCTCCACCCGGTAGCCGCGAAACCAGAAAGTCCAAAGTACGCCTTAAACTCCATGTCATGATTCACATCCCGTCGTCCCCAGTCATCAGGACGCTCTACGCCCTCGCCTATTCCGCTGGCGCAGCTGCCTCAATCATCTTTATCTATTGGCTTATGCGCGCTTACAAAATCTCCCTCAACTTCTGCTTTTGCGCCGCCGTCAGGCTCGTGGGGAACTTGACGTTATACTTAATGACGAAGTCACCCCTCGTGCCCGGCTTCTTGGAGATGGGCATGCCGAGACCGGGATACCTGTCGGAGCTGCCGGGCTGCGTCGGACCGTTCTTCTCAATGTTCAGCTGCTTGCCATCGATGGTTGTGACGGTGCGCTTCCAGCCCGTAAGGGCCTCCTTCAGATCCAGCTCCACAGTGTGGACCAGGTCGTTGTCTTCACGGGCGAAGAGGGGGTGAGGTTTCTGTAATACTAGTTAGCATATTGTGCATCATCCGGTTAGTTCAGAATGAGTAGCTTACCTCTTCCAAGATGAAGTGCAAATCTTGCTGGCCGCCCTCCTCTTGGTCACCAACACCCTTGAACTTGATCTTGCTGCCCTTCTTCAGACCGGGCTTGATAGGCACCTCGAGGACTTGGTCCGTCGTAGTCCTCTTGCCCGAATCATCAAACGTCTTGCGCTTGATCTTCATCTTCTTCGTTACGCCGCGGTACAGCTCTTCCAGCGTGAGCGGCAGCGGTCTCTCGACTGTCGTGACCTCAGGCGTCGAATCTCTCGGGCGCGGTCCATCCGCAAAGCCGCTGTTGGTCCGCATGCGCGCTGACCGGCCACCGCTCGAACGGGGCATGCCGCCGCCTCCAAATGACGAAAAGATGTCAGCGAAGTCTTCCATGCCGGCAGCACCGCCGCCGCCGCCGCCCATTCCACCTGCGGCTCCAGAGCGCATGAACTCGGCAAATACGTCATCAGCAGAGCTGAAGCGGAATCCGCCGCCGTCACCGCCCGTGCTGAAGTGGAACGAGCGAGCGCCGCCGCCGCCGCCGCCAGGCATGCCTCCTGACCCAAAGTTGAAGCCGCCAGGCATTCCACCGGCGCCGGCGAAGGGGTTCGCGCCACCGGCGTCGGGAGGAGGTGCGCCTCCACCACGGAGAATGAACTCGAGGCCGTAGTCGTCGTAGGTCTTGCGCTTCTCGGGGTCGGAGAGGATCTCGTAGGCTTGTGAGCACTCCTTAAACTTCTCAGCGGCGTCCGGGTTGTCCTTGTTCTTGTCGGGGTGCCACTTGAGTGCGGCTTTCCTGTTACACGTGAGGTGGTTAGCTTAGGTCGAAATGTTGGGCTGGTTGGGCGGGTATGAGGCGAAAAAGTGGATGTGGAATCCATCCCACAACCAGGAAAAGATGGGACAGTATAGGGAAGAAAGTAGCTTACCTGTAGCCCTTTTTGATTTCATCTTGCGATGCGTTGGGCTTTACGCCCAGCTGGTCGTAAAGTGTGGTTTCTTTGACCATGGTCGAGACACTTGTTGTATGTCTTGTATCGTGGACCAGTCAATGAACAGTAGTAAAGCAATTGATTGCTTGAGTTGCAACACGGGGTTTATGTATGAACCCTTTTGTTTGTGTTTGTAGTTGACGTATGCAAAAAAGAAGCAAACGTAAGGAGAAGTGTGTGTTAAAAAAAAAGTTGGTAGTAAAGAAGGAAGAATCGGAGAGAATCAGTTGCAGCAAACCCTTGGGCTGCGTGATATGTATGTATGCAGGCGAGGTGTAAGGTAACTACGTCGGTCCTTACTCTGTAGGGTCAAGAAGACTGGGGCGGGAGGAGCCAAGTGGTTGAGAAGTACCCCCGGCCGTTCTTAATGGAAGAAACAAGGCGTGGTTGTGGAAGGTTCGGTGCCATTCAGTAGTCCAGGAAGCCATGACCACCATCCCCGTGCGACTAAAACCTGGCGGGGCATCGAATCGGGTGATCTCACTGGGCTGGCCTGATGGAAGTGCACAGAAGGTTGGTGGAGAATTGCTTGTCCAAGTTGCTTGCTATCAAGCCTGAACTTGTCTAGTTCCAGTTTTTGGTGTTGTTATTCGTTACTTCAACCGATACCCCGTATATGCAATCTCTTGGAGTGTTTTTTAAGACTTTTGTACTATGTCTTTTGCACGAGTGAAGCCGATATCTAAACAGCTCGGCATTTCGGGCATGAACAGAGTTGGCAAAGAGCACACCGTGAAAGCAGACAATGACGAAAATGGCGGGGTCTCTGCCGGGCGGGAATGGCGGAGTCAGGCTCAAGCCGTGGCTCGAGCGTCGCACTAAGCCGCGCCCATCCTTGTGGGTACATGGATACCTGATTGTTACATACGAACGTTCGAGAACCTTCTACTAGCTTATCCACCATAGACCGAGGCCAGGCTCACTCGTTAAGACGCAATGCACTTATTGGGGTATCAAACAATTGGTATTGCAATGCAGATCCGCTGCTATCATGTGTAATGGAATGTTGCGCTGCTCCGTAGACTGAATAACCAATACCTCTTGCTCCTCAGCCTCCCGCCATGATGCGTATGCCATGCTGTTGTATCCATGTGTCTTTCCTATTCGGCTCTGATGCTCTAGTCTTGTCCTAGTGGTTCTCATCGGGAATTTCCATATCCATCATCTTAATCGTCTTTTGCTCGTCTCTTGGGTCTTGAGCCGGAGCAAAATGTCTGGAGTGCCTGGCCATAAATGGTGAGCTGCCTCCATTACTGTTGCGCTCCTGCATCTCAGGTCCTTTGGATTGGTCTTCGACATCCGGCGTAACGGTGCGACTAACATCAACGACGCCATTTGTGGATGTAGTGGCCAGAGTCTCCGTCTCTTCCTGTTGCGGTACCGTCGGTGCTGTCGATTGTGTGCTATGGCCCTGGGCCGGCTCATCTGTCTCCCTTGAGTACATGACCTCGGCCATGCTCTGGCTTGTATCGACAAAATTTTTTGCTGAAAAGTCGGCCATCTCGGTGTCCATAGTGCCATCTCCGTCCCCAAACGGGTCTGCGTCAAAGTCTCCGGCTCTAGAGTTTGTATCGCTGCCTCCCAAAGACGCTCGGTTTGTGGCCATCGAGTCAACACTGCCCGAGCGGTATTTTCTCTTTGAGGGCGAGATGGGGGACATGTTTGTGTTTCTCGCATATGCGCCGTCATCCGTGTTCTCCTGGCTCAGCTCTTGGCGGAAATTCTTGTTCTCCGCGCGAACAAACCGCTGAAGAGCGTCTGAAAGAGGTGACAAAGGTGCTGTTATAGCATCCTCGGTGGCATATACAAGCACAGGGTTCTTTGTTTCTTGAAACATGTGCCGCATCACCAATTCAACAGATACTTTCTGTTCCACGTCAGAATACTTTTTTTCAGCGACAGGCCATCATCACTCACCTCTGCCTTTGCAGGCTGCGAATCGCTTGCATTGTATGACAACCGCCACCATTGATCCACAGGAGTAGTAGCATCGTCAAACTCTATGAGGCTTGCCTCTTCTCTCTTGCAAACATACGTTACATCCTGGCTGGTTGATACACCTCTCAAAAGGTATTTCCTGCCAATAAAGGGTTTGGAAAGACCAGGTCTGTCGGGGTCTGTAAGGAGTTTACCGAGAAACCGCTGTCGCTCGCGGAGCATCTCTCGCTCCTGGTTAAGCCCTTGTACAAAATTAGTCACCAAAGTTTGTGCCAAGAGCTCTGAACTTACGCTTCATCTTCTCGTCAATGTCGGAAAGCAGCCATTTGCACCTCTTGACTACATGCTCAGAATTCCTTGCCAACTCCTCCTCGTCATCTGTCTTGACGCAGGGCACATCCTCTAAGCGAATGTATTGCTTCTCGGCGTCGTCAGACTTCTGAAGCTCACGAAACCGTCCTAGCCCATCAAGGTATTGGACATGACTCTCGTACTCTTTGATGGTCTTCTCCAGCATTTCCCGTTTTTCATAGACCTTATTAGTCTTGGGGTCGATCCATTTCGTGTAATCATACTCCGACGACTCGGCTTGGTAAAGACCCTTAAGAACCCAAGCAAGATGTTCTTGGATCACCTTTGCCTCCTCTTTTCGGCCTTCAAGATAACGCTCCGGATACCACACTTCGGGCACGTCCATGGACTCAGGAGGTCCGTCTCCGTCAATGACGATGGTCATAACATCGCCCATATCGTCGAGGACGACCATCTTCGTGTCTGGCGTTATCTCCGTCCATGTCATAGCGTCGTTCCACACCAGCCAATCCCATGCCTCGTACAGAGTTGTTGTTTGCTCATATTGACTCTTTGTGAGTTCAAAATTGAGGAAAGCAAACCTGGTAGATTCTTGAGGATCCCCAAGTGTCTGCGTCGTTATCGGATATGCGAGATGAGTCAAGGGCTTCATGATTTCAGGATCAGTGTTTTCGTTCAAGGTATCGTAAAACTGTCTCTCGACACTGAATGAAGTTGAAGGTACTAGATCAGCCATAGCTTCGACTGATCCATAGCTTCTCTCCGTCTGATCGAGGAAGGCCATCAGGCGATGAATCTCTTCGTGGAAGTTCGGTTTTGAGTCGTCCGCCCATTGAAGTTCACCCTGTTGCATGGCAGCGAGAACGTGAGGTGCATATATGGGTTGGCCTTTCCACCACTCGCTATTGTGGCCGTAGCTAGGCGCCTGCTCACCGGCTGAAAGAAGGATATTGCGAGCCAATGGAATTTCGTGAAGGATAGTAAGGATGGACCCCAATCGATGCTGCTGGTTGCGTGCGTTTGGCTGTTGAACAAGAAAGGCGGGGGCACCTTGCTCTCGTTTTCTCGCGGATGGTGCAGGATCAGCGTCGGCTCTCGTCTGGGACGCATCCGCCGCAGTTGGTACTAAGGCCCAACTGTTCTGATCGTAGTCAGCTCGGTTGGCTGGGCCAAAGTACGTTGCATTGGTGCCGGTGTTGGTGACGCCAGCTTCTTGGGGTGTAAAGCCAGACTCCACGGCAGACTCTCGCAAGGCCCGCTGCAGGTCTTCCTCTTCTTGTGCGGCATTGCTAGGTGCTCCTGTATCCATGTCAGCCCTTATCCCTCACGGTACGGAGGGCAATACCGGAAGCATCCCCGGTCGTCCAGTCTATGATCCTACCAAGCGGCGATCGATTGTTTGTTCTCGAAGGCGGTCGTGATGGCGCTCCCACGGAGGGGCCGTAGTAGTTGCTGTCGGGAGGAGGCGTGACGCCTTGTATAACGGCATTATCGGCGGACTCAATGTTGAAAGCTGCACTCGAGACTCAGCGACCCAAACATCCACCGGCAAGAGAACCCCCATCATACCTATGCCAGTGTTATTCGCTCCACCGTCGCGGTCAGCACCGAATGCAGTATCATCCCAGGTATGCTTCGTTCGAAACTTTCCTCTTGTTAGCTTCGACATCGCTTCGTTAACCGACGATTGCGTACCGAGATGGGGTCATCGAAGTATTCAGCCAGAGTCTGTTCCATGGTTTGGTTGCTCTATGTCGCATGTCAGCGCCTCCCTAAGCATAAAACGACAGTGGCACACCGGAATCGCACCTTCAAAGCGGACACCACCAGATTGCGGTCTCGTTCAGCATCGAGGCCTGTAAACTCGCAAAACTGGCTAATGTCGTCTGTCGTCGGTTCCCGCGCCATGATGTCGTCTCGTCCCGTAGGGGTTTCTTAGCTATGGTATCGGATCTGGCGACCAAGTCGGTTAGATGGTGTGTTGAAGGTAGGATCGATATTTGCGCATGGCTGTCAGAAAAACGAGTGGGAGTCGCGAGGCGGATGGCGCATGAAGCTAAAGCCAGAGAGAGGTTCGGAATGGCTAGCAATGATGCGTAAGTGCAAACGGACCAGAATTCGACTGCAGCGGTAGTAAACGGTCCAAGAGGCTGTCACCCAGTCGTTGACTTTAAACCAAATTAAGAAAAAAAAAAAGGCTCAGGAACGGGTAAGGAGGGAGCAACAAGCTGTACAGGCTCAAATCGTCCCGTCCCGTCGTCTCTTCGGGACACTTCAGTTTGTGTCTAGTGGAAGCTGCACCGAGATTCCTACTGGGAAGGCCCGGTGAGCTGCACCTCACTACGTTCATACACGGTGCGCTTCCAAAGACTTCTCCACTAGCAAGGCCCCCACAACACGAGCTCCCCGCCTTGAAGAAGCAAATACACTAAGCCACTTCTGCTGAACACCGCCAACAGTCCACTGGCAATTCATAGTTGTCACTTCAATGTACGACTTGAAGCGATTTATCAGCTAGTATTTCATTTTATGACAGATTATTTCAAAAACTATAGACAACCGGCGGTCTTAATCCTGCAAGTCTTAGGGCAATAGGTACCCTCTCAAATGTACCTTACTCAAGGTGCTGGGCTGATCGGAGAAGGCAAACGCGGCTTACTACCGGGCCCCCTATCAGGCCCCATGTCTGCCACACAACCCTGTGTATGAGTAGCGGAGGGGTGACACCGGTAGTCACAAGCACGAGTCCGACATTGCGTCACTCGCTGCCAGGTGCTTGTGAGAGTATCCGTAAGCCCCTCTGACGGCTTAACAATTTGACACCACCCAGCGAGCATTTTCAACCGACAAAAAATTTTCACCTCTTGAGCATGGTTGGGACGTAGTGCGGCAAATAAAAAAAATAAAAATAAAAAACTCTTTAGTCATTGGCTTATATAGTACCTCTTTCAGTGTAGAGGCTTGCCAATCGCTGCCGCCAATTCTAGTTGCGCCTCCCCTGTCGTTGCAGAGTCGAATATGAATTTCCCAATTCCTGCAAGAAGCCCTCCCCGTTAAATCCAATGATGCCAGAACCCAGTAAACGAGACTCCGTTCTGGCCATCTAAGTAGGCCGGGCAAGACAGCCGGAAAAAACGCCCGGGGCCATCGCTATGCATCATCCATCATGCGTGTAAGGTTATGAGATGTAGTAAAGAGAACAAATGAGGGCCACCAAACACGGCAACTCGGCAAACACGCATAGTGAGGCCGGTTTGTTGGCGTTTATCGCTTAGGTGCTGAGTCTTTGTGTAGATTGTCACGCCTGTGCCCCTCACGATCACGGCTTCTCGGTTTTTTCGGGCTTATCGTCCTCTGCGTCCTCGTCGTCCTCATCTTCATTGTATTCGTCCATGTCAAAATCGCTGTCGCTGCCACCCAGGTCGAAATCACCATCATCATCCGTCTCATTCCAGAATGCGTCGTCGTCGATAGTCTTCTGAGGAACAGGCTCCAAGTCCGCCGTTGTTGGGATCGTCACACCCGGGGGGATGTCCTTCTTTGACTTTTCTACAGTCTCTCGTGCCCTCTTCTCATACTCCTCCCGCTTGTCCCTGTACGTAACGCTAGCGTCCACGTTGGCGGGGGAGTTGATCTCGGGGTCGTCCAGCAGTAGCAAAACCGAACGGAGCACAGACTCAACACCCTGCAGCGGAGACCACCTCTCGCAGGCCTGCTCGCCGGACTGCTCGTCCTCGCCAGGAGTGTGAAGAATGGAAATGCAGAGCTTTCCGTCTGTATAGATGTTGGGATGATAGATGGACTTGTTCACGAAGCGGAACGTCGGCGGCTGGTACGGGTAGTCGCGAGGGAAGGTCATTTCAGCCTGCATTTGAGTATGAGCTTGAGTCCTTCGATAGAGAAACCCGGCTTCTAACTCACCTTGAGGTAAGCACCGTTGAAGGCACTGTCAGGGTTGACGACCATGAGGCCAATCTTCCACAGCATGACATTACGCTCGTCTACATCGATGTGTACCCATTTCTCCTTCTGCAGCGTTTGCAGCTCGCTCATCAGTCGCTTTTGGGCCATGGTGGGCTATGTGCAGGAAAGGAGGTGCGGCCTGACGGGGAAAGCGGAAGGAAGACTCTTAGATTCGACGAGAAGAAGGACGTGAGGAGGAATTCGACCGCTGGGAGTGAAATCCAGTCTTGGAGACACTTGGAGAGAAGGCGGTGATCAAAGTCGTACCGCTAGTTCTCGCAAGAGGCGTGATCGGAGCGCAGGGTCCCTACGTCGAGGATGGAGGAGGGATGACTCGATTAAGTATTGGGACTGACTCAAGGAGGCAAACAGATAAGATAAGAAGAAGGTCGCGGGGGACCCGTACAGGCGCTAAGGTTATGGGGTTGAGTCGTAGAAAAGCTCCGAGGAAGAAGGAAAAAGGTTGAAATCGAAGGAAGGCGTCACTCAAGTAACGAGAGGAAGGTTTAAAAAGCACGGGACGAGTGCGGAAGGATGTGCAAGGGCTGATCAGGGCAAGAATGGGGAGAGAAAAGAGGTGACGAAGGTGCCTGTCGCGGTTTATCAAGGTTCCATTAAGTGCCGTTGACCGGAAACCGAACGAGTTGAGACAGCCAGGGCACCCTACGACTCTTGGGGCCCCAAATCCCCCCCTGCTCCAATGAAGGGTGGTCACGCAGTGTCTCGGATCCGTGGCCAGCGCAGGGCGCCGCCTGTTCTTACTGTCGCTGTCTCCGTCAGAGTCGGGTAATTTAAACCTGGGGGTACCCTTTGGCGCAAGCATTCAGTCTGGACTGCAGCAAACTACTGAAAGTCACCTCACCCTCGGGTCAGGCTTGCTAGGGTCGGCCAAAAAAACGCCACCCAACTGCCAGTGTGTTGCTTACATGACCCCCTCCAATCTTCTACTCGAACCTGATGGAATCTTAAAGGGCTAGGCTTTTTGGCTGGCTTGGACTTTGGGTCAGGCACCTCTTTGTCCGTGCCCCAGCTCACTCTTTCTTTTGTAGCCTCCATACAAGACTTGTGGCTAGTGCGGTTAGTGAGTAGTAGTAGTAGGAGGACTGCAACAGCCAAACCACCTTGATGTACTTCGAATCACCTAGTCTAATCCTGTCCATCTGACTACACACGTTAATAGTATCTTCATCAGTTTGCAAGGGTAACCCAGACTTGCAGGAGGCACGCAGGGCCCATATTGGAAACCCTCTTTCAACCAGAGTCTTCCCTACATTTCTCGGGTCCAAAACTGCCTTCAGAAGCAACGAACTGCTGCTGATCTGACACTGAGGTGCACTTTGTTTCGGTACCTGCCCGGGAGTTTGCTTTATGCATGAAAAGCCAGGGCTGGTTACCTGCTCCAGACAAAGCGTTCTAAGCCAAAGTCTCGACCAACAAGCAAACAATGTGAACTCGATCGAGGGCTTTGTCCTTGGCCCTGGATCGACTCAGCCATGCAACTCACACCACCCACGGCGCATGTCATTTCCTTGGCATCGAACCCCTGCGTTGACTCCAGATGCAGGTTTGCGGTTTGCATCGAAAAAAAATACTCACGATAACGCTTCCTTTGGCCAGGGGCGGGCAAAGTCGACAGCACGCACTTTGGCACTTTTTTTTATGCGACAACGCCGAGATAATTGTTTTAATTCGTACGTTTCTCAGCCTTCCCCAGTCTCCCCTGCAACACATCACCCCAACCAACACAACCACTTTTGACCCTGTCATCGTGATCCTCTCATTAGCCCCCCAGGTCATAGTAGATGCAGTTTCCAGTCCTGAAGTTGTAGAGGAACGAATGCCGACTGCCATTCTTCTTCTCCCATGCCCACTTCCAGGTCAACAACATGTCGTGAATCTCCCGCACGTACTTCTTCTCCGCCGTCGTCACGCTGTGTTCCGCCTTTCTCCAGCTCTCCCCGTCAGATAGGCACGTCTCCCTGATGAGGTCCATGACCTGGTCCGTCGTCTCCACGGCCAAGATGGGCCCGTCGAGGAACGAATGCACGAGGCTTGCCGCGCTGACCTGCGCCTGTTCCACCACCGTCCGCCGGTTGAACTTCTTGCTCCGAGTCTGCGCCACCAGCACCCGCACATCCTGCTCCTGATGCGCATCCGCCGCCGCGCTGGCCTCGGAATGTTGTGCGGTTCCCCTTATCTTGGCTGCCGTCTTGGAGTCGCGTTCCCGGATGTCGGCACGGAGCCACGATAGCAACTGCGCGATGGGTAGGTCAACGTCCGGGGTGTCCTTCTTGTCCATCGTCTTGACCTTGACTATCGCGTCTTGTTTAATAATGATAATCCATGAGTATCCCTCATCACGGTTCCGGGCGAGCAAGTCTTCCGGTGACCGTGAGTCCCTAGCCAGCTCGGCACTGATATTATGAGCCCAAAGAGTCTGCAAAAGATCTACGCCTGTAGACCGCAAAACGGCGGCATCGAAACTGGCCACAAGAGCATCGCACTTGAGTACACATTAGCAAACTGGCCACAAGGCACAAGTGACTTTTAACTTACTCTGCGCGTGTTATGGAAGAGGTTATTAATCTCTTCTTCAGCCTTCTTAAGGAACGCCTTGCCGTTGGCTTTGGGCACTCTAGAGAGTTTCTCCCAGGACAGGTTGAAACCCACAGCATGGCGTTCCTCATAGTGACTGCCAATCCTGGGGCGGTTCTCCCTGATGAGACTGTCATACCGACCTCCCGCCGCAAACACGTCCTTAACCTTCTTGTCGTAGAGACAGGAAAACAGGACTCCACCGGTGTAGAAACTCTCTTTGAGGCTGTGCAGAGGGGTAATGTAGATTTTACTGGCAACTCCAAGTCGCTTGGCATACTCAGAGACCTCTTTCAGATGGGCCAGAGTTGATGATGCCCGCCGATACATCTCGGTGCCTTCAAAGATCGATTTCAACTTTGAAAACGCCTTGGACGGGGTATCTATTCATGTCAGACTCCACAACCCAATTGTCTAGCAATTAAAAAGCCGCATACCTCTGAAATCGAATCGCTGTAGTTCATCAACACTTGTCGCCGACAAGCCGACCAAAGGAGATCGCAGTTGCACCCTAATCTTCTGCCACGTCCAGTTGTGAATGTTAAGTTTGCTAAGAACATCGGCCGCAGCCCTGCGCGACCCAGGCTCCACGCGGCAGTGGTCGAATATGAGTTGCAAAAGATCCGAATGTCCGAGGTGGAAACACATTTGGCTCGATGACAGCGATGGGAACGTGTCTATTATTTCGTCGAGAACCTTAAGAACCTCTGCTTCTTTGAGGGCTAGATCGAAAGTGTCAGTCGTGACAATGTCAAAGTCGACTTCGCCGAGCATGAGAGGTTGTCCAAGGTCCTGTCTGTCGCGGAAGATATTCCCAAAGGCAAAAGTTCGCTGAACGCTCGCTGTTCCACTAGCCTTGGCCAACATTCTCGCATGGCCCATTGTAAGATCGAAAGGAAGCTGCAGGACTGTTCCGTTCGTGTCCAGCAGTTTCACTGCATTTTGATCCGTGTAATGGGAGGAACGCGGATAGAGGCTGTTCCGTGGGCACTCCAGCGCACCGTGTCGACGGAATATAGATATCAGTGTTTCCTTCACAGTACTTTGGTTCAGTAAATCTGCCTGACTAGGGCTTGTTTCATTCATGTCCCAAGCGTAGTCTTTTGCTTGCTCCATTGGCCGGGCGAACAGTGTCGACAGCATCTTTTGGTAGTATGGCGAGCTTGGATCCGCAAGACCAGCCAGCGTTCGTCTAATTGTTTCGCTTTCCATCTGAACAGGTAATTTTCCGCTCTGCAGTAACTCTGCACTAGATGGCCGTTCTTTGGGATTGTGAGTTAGCAAGGACGTAACAATTTCTGTTTGTATTCTTTCGGCCGGCTTGAAGTCTGACGGAAGTACCGGGCTTGGTCGTCGAAGCTGCTCTAGAACAACAGCTCTCTGCATACCCAGCATCGGCGGGTAACACATCTCAAAGAAGATGATACCCAACGAGTACATCTGAAAAGCTGTCAGTATCATTTCAACAACAGGCATGCTGTTCGCTTGGACATGAAACTTACGTCAACTTTGGAGCTGTACATGCCGTGAGATGCAGAGCGCACCTCAGGCGCTGCGTAAAAAGTCGTTCCGATACTTCTAGTGATGTCGTCTGCCTCCATTGCGTTTGGTAGGCTCTTGTCCACGGCGAACTGACCACTCGTGGCCAGACCAAAATCACCAATTTTCACGTTGTCTGTACCGTCACTGCTATGAGCAATGAAGATGTTTTCTGGTTTTAGATCTCGGTGCACGATACTCAGACCGTGAATATGAGCAAGGCCCTCGAGTATCTGTCGGAAAAGCCGCCAAATCTCAGGGGTGTTCTGATAAAGCTTTCGAGTGATCAAGTCTCGAAGTGTCTGTTAAGATTAGCAAAAATGATCGAAGTCCAACTCAACAAATCGACTCACCCGCTTCTCACAATACTCCATAGAGATATACAGAACAGTCCTGAAGGGCCGTTGAGAGCGGCTTCGTGCGTGTCGCTGTACGTTCCCAACCGCCCGGTGACTGTCATCATCGTCAGAGTCACTATCGTCTTCAGAATCATCTTCTTCATCTTCGTCATCTTCGTCGTCGTCATCGTCACCTTCGGAATCATCGTAACCGAACTCAACTTGAGGGTAGCCACTCGAAGACATGAAATCCAGACCTCCAGTACTCGTGGCGAAATGAATAACCGGGTCTTGAGATATAGTCTCTCTAGAGTCCTCGGTCATGTCTTCTGTGGAGGTATCGCCTTCTGTGTCGGACTGGTCCACAATCTCCTCAACCCATGTGTTGTAGTATCGGACCACAGCAGGATGACTGAGTTGTGACAGAAGGCGAACCTCTTTTAATATTTCCGTCAGACTCGCTTGAGACCTTTGGCTAATTTTCTTGATGGCATAAATTTGTCCATCGAGTTTCTTTCGAGCCTTGACGACTTCGCCGAATCCTCCCTTGCCTAGACGGCCCTCTTCATCAAAATCTTCTCGATACCTTGACGAAGTAATACCCCTATTTGTCGACTCGCGTCTCAGTCTCGGCGGCATTGGTGACAGTGAGTTTAGAGAATGGTAGTTGGACATAATAGCGGAGCTATCCTCTACCACTACTGGCGCATCTGTGGCAAGGAACTCGCTGGATCCAAGCTCAAAAGCACGAGGCCGTTTCTTGGGGTCCGGTTTAAAGAACCTTGTGACCAGCTCCTGCAACGGCTTCGAGAGGGACATGGAGTCCGAAACAGAAGAAGGAGAATGGTATTTTTGAGGTACATCAAGCCCAAATATCATTTGCAAGAAAACGATGCCAAATTCCCATATGTCTGTCTTCGCCGTATAATGCGGTTTCGATAGAGCTGCAGTCTCTGGTGGTAGCCAGTAGGCTGATTTGGCGGAGCTCATGCCAGGCGGTGCTTGCGCCTTGGATGAAATGTTGTGCAACTCTCTCTGAAACCCGGCATCAGAGAGTTTGGGAACCACCTCCCCAGTTTGTTCTCTGAAAAGCAAGACATTTCCTGGGTGTATGTCTTCATGAACTAGTGATTTGTTGTGGAGGAAGTTCAAGGCATCCAGGAGGTCTCTTGTCCACGCACGCACTTTGCTGGTGTCCATACGGCCGGCAAGATCAAGCAACTCAGCCAGTGATCCCTTCTCGGCACTTGGAGTGAGAATGCTAACAGTCCAGAGGTTTGCTGAAGCCTTCTCCGCATTGCTCTTCTCCCGCTCCACTCTGAAGTCGAGAACTTCAAGCAAATTGCGGTGGCGGACCTTTTTCAAGGCTTCAAGCTGGGTCTCGAGGGACTGAATCTGCTTTTTGAAAACGGCTACGTCTTTTGCACTGGAGCGGAGGACCGTCTCCTTGAGTGCCAGATTTGGACAGTCCTGGCCGGTCGCGACAATGGGCCAAACAGAGAAAACAGACGAAACAGGGCCTTTTGCCACTTCAGACTTCCCAAAGACAGCCTGGAATGAGATGATATTTCCAGTTTTGTCTGTCGTATGACAGGGCTGATCGAAGACTATGCGGCCATTTTCAGTACCGTTCATACCGTCCATGTTGTTGAGCGATGACAGCCCATTCGGGCGATTCTTCTTGCGCAATTCCTTGGCCTTTTCTTTCTGGCGCTTAAGCTCAACTTGCAATAAGCCACCGAGGACTCTCTCTTCTTCCTTGCTCTCCTCTTCCTTCTTACGCTCTTCCTCTTCTTTCTGTTCCTGGGCGAGTTTGGCCAAGTAGGCTTCATGAATGGCTCTCTCCTCTTCAAGCGAGGGCAGTTCACGACCTTTCGCCTTGGCTTGGGCAGCGTCTTCCAGAATGTCTCTCAGTCCCTCCACAATACGGTCCACCATCTCCTGCTCCTCAGTGGCGAAGACTTTGGGCTGAATCTCGAGATATTTTTGAAGTTTGAAAAGGACGACTTCACGAAGGTCGCCAGTATCTTTCAAAGTCAACAGAGGCGGGCTCTTGGGGTACGTAGCGGTCATGACCACGCCTAAGGTGATTGCGAAATCCTCATCTGAAGACGCCCTAATGCGAATGTCAAACGCGGGCTCTGACTTCTATCCGTTTATCAGCATTGCTTCTAAGCCGGCGACGGCGTTCCATTGCGATCGGCAGTGATGTCTTTACCTTCCAAGCACTATGAGTCTCTGCAGGCTTCACGAAATCCTCCCCATACATTGCTTCCAGAACAATGAGTTCGTTCTGCTGGAGTTCTTCATATTCAATTTTGCTGGTACGCTCAGGACTCCTGGGTTTGAGTCCCGGAAAGCTTGAGTCATCTTTCTTAGTCGGTAGGTTGATGGGCTTTTTCCACGCCCCGGATGCTTTCCACGCCATATCGAAGCGACGAGAAAAGGCCTGACAAATCACCACAGCATGAGCCGTGATAATTCGTTAAGGGGAAGCCATACTGTTTTGCAAATAGTCGTTGTTATCAAGGTTCAAGTAAGTGTCGGTGATGATCCAGAAAGGAAAAAGCAAACGAATTCCAGCTGAACGCAACGCCACTAGGCATCGAGTGCTGTCCGCCTGATGCGCTGTCACAGTATAGCCCTTTAGGCGCAGATCAAGTGGGGTTTTTTCAAGTGACAGTTGGTGCCCCTCACTGATGACGCCCATCGCCTTAGGGGGTCTTTCAGTGGGCCGTAAGAGCTGATGTTCTAGAGCAGCTGGGAGGCGAGGGGCAAAGAGCGCTAAACGGCCGTGCACACACTGTACAGACACATTGTGGGCCGTGCAGACCAACCACGAACGCGACGTCCCTTTGGGGAAACAAAGTAAACAATGCAATATGGGAACCAAGTCTGTACGTTGCGGTCAGATCACAACCTTCAAACTGGTTATATCCGGACACACAGAAGCGCATGTGATGCGATCGCTTCAAACGGACACTGCGTGGCTTCAGACACACTGGTTCTACGCATGAGACCCTTTTGTTAGCTCAATAATATATCACTGAGGACGACAAACGCTTCAGGGTGGTAAAAGATGCTGGGCTGGGTTCTTAGGCGAGGGTTGGACGGCGCGTCGGGGGGAAACAGAGCCAACGCAGGTGCAGGTGCGAACAATCAACATCAATTGCAAAACACACGACGTTCCCCATTTTACTGACGTCGCATTAGATGACACCACTCAAATCGATCAACCAGACACGCCGGCTCCCGTCTTTGCTGCCCGAGCATTGAAAAGTGCAATTTTTGGCACTCCCGCACGACCTGACGACGATCGCGACAACAACGGTGCCAGTATGGCGCGTCACAAGAATACATACGACTCCGAAACAGAGTCGCGGACCCCAGTAAAACAACCGCAGGGCATTTTACTCACCCCTGGAACTGGCACCTCTCGACGAAAACGAGTCTCGTTCGGAAACGATGTGTTGGACAAAGCCGGCGGCAAGAAGGGCAAAGGAAAAGATACAGACGACCGACCGGGGAAGTTTCCTTCCAGCTTCGACCTTACGAACGGCGATTCTGCAAGCAAGCGCACAAAGTTGACCGAAACAATGGAAAACTCACGTCGAGCGAAGGGGGCTACAAGCACTCGCGAGAGCCAACAAACACATTCTCAGCCAACCCGAGCGGATGACGCTGAAGATGAATGGGAGGAAGCTGACGACGACCAATGCACGAGCGATGTCACGATTGACCTTAACGAGCCTCATTCGCGGTCGGGAAAGTATTGGAAGTCGGAATTCGAACAGTATCACCAAGACGCTAAGGCCGAGATGGAGAAATTGCTCAAGTACAAGCAGCTGGCCAAGTCGTACGCCAAAATGAAGGACGCTGAGGCCATCGATTTGAACTCGAAACTCAGGGAAGAACAAGACAAGGTTGTCCAGATGGAGAAGAAGATTACCGAAATGGCAGCGCAGATAGCTTCCAAACGTGTCAGCGGTGAGGAGAGAGACAATCCTCAGCTGTTGAAGGATTTGGCGAAGCAGACTGCAGTTGCCGTAGAGTACAGGTCACAGGTCAAAGAGCTCGCCGCCCTGCTGGAGAATCGCGACGAGGAGGAGGGGGATGCGCGAAGCCGGCGCCGACGGCAAGCGGCATCTCCACGCACGCAGAAGACTTTGCTTGAGACGCAGCGTGAGCTGAGGAAAGCCAGAGCTCAAGTAAAGGAGAACAATCAACTAAAGGAAGAGATCGAGAGACTGAAGTCAGACCTTCTGTTCGCGGAGCAGCGTGCCAACAAGCTGGCTGAGGAGAACAAGCGGTTGGCTGGAGAGCGGCCCATTCAAGAGAGTGTCTCGTCCGTATCCGCTGCCCAGCTCGAAGAACTAGAAGACCTGAGACAAGAATCCCGCCAAAAAGACGAAGAACTACGCCGTGTCAAAGCGGACTTTGATGCGTATAGAGCGGATTCCGAGGCCATGCAAGAGGATACCAGGCGTATCCTGGAGAAGGCAACCGACAAGATTAATGATCTGAAGAAGGAAATTAAGACGCTCAAGGCAGGTGCAGCTGATGGACATAAAGCAAAGACGTCCGTCAGCTCTTTGCCAGAACGAGAGACAGCTGAAAAGGAGAAGGGACACGAGAGGGGACACCGGACACAGGACAACAATCGCTTTGGTACAGCTGACAAGGTCCGACAAACTTCAAATGGCACAGGTCGACGGAGTCTTGACCTTGTGGAAAGCCTTGGTAGGAAGCTCAACGAGTCCAAGTCCCTCAATCTACGGGACAAATACCAAGAAGACGCCGATTCACTCTCATCAAATGAAGAGGACCTTGCCAAGGTTCCTACAGGACGTCCCAAATCTGACATTATTTCAAATCGGATCAACTTGGACAAGCCTAGATGGCGACCATTCATCCCACGGTCACCTCGCAACAGGGCGTACCTCGGCGCCGACCTCAACGACCGGATCGTGAGCTCCAGCGAGATTCCGTCGGGAACAACGCCGGCACCACGACACAGATTCTCATCCAAAGAGAACGATCCTCCCATCGATTTGTTGCAGGATCGATTCGCCCGGCTCGGCAACCCTGATGCCGAGGCTAGCACTATGTTGGCGGCAAACATGTCGAAGAGCACCTTGCCGCCAGAACGGCGAGCGGCGGCTATTGCACGCATAGAACAAAGAAAGGCCGAAAAGAGGCGCACCATGTCGAATCAGAATAAGGAGAACATGCGACCTTGACAAGAATGACGGATAACTGCACGCGGGCGGTAATGTTCCTCGCCCTCTTTTTTTCTGTTTGGGAGTTTGTTTTGTGGGAACAGGATTCAGGCATTGTACTAGTAGATTTCTGGCACAGGGGATAGCATGGTGTTTGGGGGTATCATACCAAGTCGGAATATCTCTAATAAATCCGACGAGCATCTTTCCTGCGTTTGCCCATTGCTTTAACGTTTTACAAATATTTCATTATTTCATTCCGCATTTATGCGCTCAAAGTTCCCTTGGTGCTTGGGACCTCACCCTCCTTGCCCGCAACACGGCTCGTCGCCATCTTGACAGCAACAGCCAGAGCCTTGAAGGCGCTCTCGGCGCGGTGGTGGTCATTCTCTCCCCTCAAGCAGTCGACGTGCAGCGTCACTCTGGCACCCTGGGCGAAGCTCTGCAAGCAGTGGGGAATCATCTCGCAGCTGAGGTCGCCAATCTTCTCTCTCTTCAGTCCGAGGTCGACGACGCTGTAGGGGCGGTTCGAGAGGTCGATGACGGCGCGGGAGAGTGCTTCGTCGAGAGGGGCGTAGGCATAGCCGAAGCGGGCAAGGCCGGCCATGCTACCCAGAGCGTTGGCGAAGGCATATCCGAGAGCTATGCAGACGTCTTCGGCGGTGTGGTGGTCATCGACTATGGGTGGCGCAGTGTAAGCCAAGAATTCACGATAGTATTGGGATGAGGGGCAAACGAACTGTGCAGATCGCCCTTGCAGTTCAGGACCAGACTCCAGCCTGCATGCTTGGACAGGGCATGGAGCATGTGGTCGAGGAAGCCGATGCCCGTGTTGACGCTGATGGTCTGGGACTTGCTCGACTGCGAGGCGTGGCCGTCCCCGAGGGCCGCTGTGAGCCTTGAGTCGGTATCAGGTGGGAATGCCCCGCCATCCAAATTGAGTGCCAGTTGGATCTTGGTCTCGTTCGTGTCGCGGGCAATGGCGGCCCATCTGGGGGGGTAGGAAGTCGACGACATGGTGTAATGTCTACTGTAATGGTGTAAATGGGGTGTTTCGTGAGGAACGTAGTTGTCTCGAAAAGATCACAAGTCGCTATCAATTTCCAAGAATATTTGTCACTATTTTTTTTTTATTTGAGTCACTTGTCTACGGGCGCCGTCCGTCGGAGCAGCTCCAGCAGCGCACCGCTGAATGGTGGCGGTTCGACGTGGGGCATTGACCAATCAACACACAGCAACTGTCAGCGACCTCAGCGGCCGTAGTGATGAGTTCCTCCGGTTTTACACCGCTCTGGCCCACTCGGAGTGATGGGGGCCAGCCCCAGCGGCAGAAAAACGCATTGAAAAGCCCGAGGCTGACGGGATTCTTTGTCTTTCCAGCTTAATAAAAATCCTTCCAGAGGACACGGTTCACAAACATGAACCAACACATCAGCGCTACAGCCTGATGTCTCTCATTGGTCACTCTTCCACACCACCTGCAGATAAAAAGAGGCTCTTACCATCTGCAAACTGCTACTAACTAGCGTACATCATCATCCTCTCATTCTGCTTATTTCATCAAAGCCCTTGACTTTTGGGGCTACTTGAGACAAGATGTCGGAGATGCTTGATGTCTACTGGCAGGCGCCGCCCATCGCAAGGTAAGCTCATCGTCATCCCTCTTGCGGCTCATTTACAGTATGCTGACTCTCACCTCAGAACTCTTGCAACGGCTACCTTTGTCACCTCGGTGTCTGTTCTCTTGGGCATCGTGAGTCCGTACTGGTTCATCTTTATGCCCGACTACTTGTACAAGATCCCACCTCAGATCTGGCGCCTGGGCACCAACTTCCTCTTGACGGGCCCCCAGCTCAGCCTGCTCTTTGACACGTACTTCCTGTACACCTACCTCACCGCTCTCGAAGTCGGCAACCCCAGGTTCGCCAGACGCGAGGATGTGGTCTGGTATCTCATGTTTGTGTGCACTGTCATTACGGTAAGTCTTTACATCACTGCTAGCCCACTGCTTCGGCGGTTTTGCCCATGCTCGTTGTCGAGGACAACTCGGAAAGTTCCTTCCATATTTGAAAATACCCAAGCGAGGGGGAAGAAAAAAAACTCGCTTCTCGCACATTTTGCACCTCATATATCTGCCCGCATAGTGGATACCCACAGCTATAGCGGTTCCTGGAACTGAGGAAGATTACCCCTGCGGCGCGGTACAGTCCACCAATTCGCTTTAGGACTGTACTGTGGCGTGGGCATGGTGGGATGTCTTATGGATGGCTCGGGTAACATCCCATGTTGCTCGAGTGGTTTTTTTAGCGCCCTACATTTTACCACCCAAACCCTGGGTTTCTTATTGTCCATCTTCATCCGGCTTCGGCGGAAGAGAATGAAAAAACAAGAAAGAAGAAAAAAAGCATAGAAAGCTAATACCGCAACAGGCGCTCTGCACCTACCTCATGGGCGGAGGAGCCTTCTTGCCGGCTTTGATTCTCGCCATGTGCCGTACCGTCACCCAGGACCAGCGCGGCATGAAGGCCAACTTCTACTTTGTCACCATCCCCGCCCAACTCACACCCTTCTGCATGATGCTCGTGTCGCTCCTCTTCCCCGGCGGATACTACACTTTTATGCTCCAGCTCATGGGCTTCGTGGCCGCCCACCTGTACGACTTTCTCACCAGGATCTGGCCTCAGTTCAGTGGTGGTCGTAACTTGATTCCCGCGCCTGCCTTTTTGTCGAGGCTGGTGCAGACGCCGCGCTTCTACCGCCGTGACTACGGTACGGCTGTCAACAACCGCGCCACCGCGGGACAGACCTCGGGTAGCAGCACCGGTGCCTCTCTGGGTAATGGACCCCTTCCCGACTCGTGGAGGACGAGAGGCCCTGGAAGGCGCCTGGGTGACTAAATGAAACCTTGGGATCTATCTATAGTAGTTACTGTGTACGATAGTCATGTGATACCACTGCTATAATTGCGATCATTGCATTACGAATAATATTGTATTCGTCCTTGAGTTTCCTATCACTCATCTGACAGTTTGATAACCTTACGCCAAAATCCCTCGCTTGAAGATGAAAGAAGCCTGCCAACCAAAATCGCCAATAACCGTTTCCTACCTAATCCGTGTCATAAGACATCTTTCGTCGTGACTAAGTTTATCATCCGTATAGTGTGCTTTTGCCACTACGGATGGGCATGTCGCCTTCATATTCTCTAGGGTCTTCCCTTGCTGGCGCCACATGAGAAATAACCGCACGCCCAGCCAGCGGCCTGTCTTGAAATCTCTCTTCGTAAATAGCCATAGGTTGTGAGATTTGCATCTGGCTAGTCTCGCCCTTGTCGGCCACTGGAGTCGCATCTTGAACTGTAATTTGAGGTGGCGAATACTTCTTTGGTATCCGCAACTTCCGTACTGAGGGCATTGATATCGATGGTATCCTTGAAGACGCTTTCCGAGCTGGAGGCGGTCCTGGTGGAGGCGGCGGAATCGCTGCCATGGTGACGCCCGCAGGATTTTGAAGGTACGATTCTTGTGACCTCGCTGGTGATGGTGTTCGAGACACAGCAGCTGCTGGCGGGGGTCTGATAGGTATTGTCCCCTCCTCATTAACGGCATTCAGGTATGTCTGTAGCGCGTAAGAGTCGGGAACGTTCGTTTTGCGGACGTTCTGCGGCGGCGGCGTGGCTGCACTCGCGCGGGCTGACTGGCGGCTCATAGCTCTAGGAATGTAAGCTGGGTGCGTGGGCAGAGCGCTTCCAAGGCCGTGATGGCTAGATCGAGGGTCGAAGTTGTAGTGAGCCAACTCTCTGCCGTTCTGCATTTCTTGCTCCATCTTGTCGTAAAAGTCGGCATTGTTAATGATCTGCTTCTCTTGCAGCTCGTAATTGTAGGAATTAATTGATGAAGACTTTTTGTGGTCTGTGATAGGCAAGTAGGGGTTCGGATCAATCGCGGTAAAGGAGCTTGAGTAGCTCGCTGGGGGGTGAGAGGGCGAGTTTTCTTGTAACTGCGCCTTCAACTTCCTTTGCCTGCTGCAGTAGACGATAAAGAGGCAGATTGCGCCAATGAAGACAAGCCCTCCTCCAACGGCGATGCCCACAATGGTTCCAACCGTCATCGTCGTCGAAGAGGCGCCACCATCTCCAGGCATAGTCGTGTTTGTAGCCGGCTCGGTGATGTTTACGGCACTGCTCGAGAAAAGCTGTCCGGTAAGACCAAGGAGATTTCCACCAGAGGGCTTCTGCTGGCAGCCGGCCTTGAGAGCAATCAGGACTGGAAGTCAAAAAGTTAGCAAGTTGTCAGCGGAAACAAGGCGTGAGCAGGATACTAACAGTTCGAAAGATAGCTCTGGCTATCACTTGATTGCAAGCATCGAACGCATGACCACCAGTTGGAGCTTGAAAACCTGTCATTATCGGCTGTGCAGTAATCGTATGAGGTGACGGCGTCTGGTGTGGTAAGACCAGCTGTCAAGGCGCTCTTGAGGGGTCTGCAAGCACTATTGATGATGCATGGAGAGTTGATGCGGGAGATCGCGTCCGGGAAGTCGAAGAGGCAAACATCTACTGCATAGCGGATGTTGTCTATTACTCAAAGTCAGCAGTCCGCCATCGAACATCGTCCTCGCTACATGAGATCTTACACAAGAACCAAGCAGCGTCACTTGCGGCACCCTTAGTGGCTTGACTCTTTTGCAAGCAGCTAACACAGTTCTTGAACTTGATACCCGTGCCGGTTGAATGATACTGGTCGTTCTCGCAAACAATGTCAGATGAGTTCGTGCTTGGAGTCGCAGCGTCAGTCGTCGTTCCGTTCGGTCCTCCCAAGCACAATGCCGCACAGTCGGAGCCGGGTGTGACTTCGAGCGATAATATGGCCGTAAGAAGCGAGAACACCGCAAGCAAATGCCAGAGAGAAGGGGCGGCCATGCTTGGTTACGGATGTCGAGTAGGGCCGCGAAGGGAAGGCGGATGGGGAAGAGGCGTTTAGGTTAGGAGAAACGCAGACAACCTTATCCACATGGCAAATCACTCTCGAATATGAACTCGGGAGTAGTTAGGCTAAGTCTTTTCACGAGGAGACTCGGATAGAAGAGCTATCGGAGAAGAAGCCAAAGCCCATCTTGAGAGAATCCGGATGCGTTTCTGCGGGACTCATGGCACATATATTCCCGGATTTGAGAAGTAACATTGCGGCACGGTAATCTCTATGCACGACAGGCGGCTCTGCACTTGCAAGCATTGTCATGATAGAGGTTATTCTATTTTTTGCGGGTGTGTGGTAGTCTCACTGGCTCCAGCCAGCGGAAGGCCAGAGGATTGAGCCCAAAGAAGGTAAAGCTCTTCGAACGTGCACTCTTCTCCAGATCGCCGGGCGGGGGATTTGAGCTGAGAATAGAAGCCAAGAAGGAGCGGGTATATGTGAGTCCAATAAGATCGCGTGTAGTATAAGCCCTTGACAGTCCAATCGCGCCCAGGCTTGAGCTTGACGAATGGGAGCAAGGGAGGCTTTATTCCTCAGCGCCAAACAAATGCACGTCGATCAAGGATGCGAGGAAACAACGGATATAAGTGGTTGAAGTTCAGTAGGACACGGGAAGTTGAAACGAGGAACAGAAGACTGAGTGGTCTTACAGGCGCCGGCCACGAATGCGACCGTCCCATCCCCTGTCAGAGGAAAGTTCAACCAGCCATTTAGCGGCCGTCTTCCCGTCCGGAAGGCCCGCCTTCTGGCAGCTTGACTGAGTTAAGACTGACGGGGGGCGGGGAAATCAGACCACTTCGACTACTTTAAGATATGGCTAAGATTGCCACGCGACTAGATCTTGCTCAGAACAATCAACTTGCTCCGTCTTCCCCATGCTCTCCGCTGTTAGTTGAACGAGCCAAGCAAGCCTCGCTAAAGATTTAGACCACATCACAGTGGAGGTGACCATGGGCCTACGGTTAATTCGTACTTGGCCGCTTCATACTCAATTACACCATTGCCGAGAACGTAGCATTAATGGCGAAGGTCCTTTTTGTAATAGCTGTTAGCCAGTGGTCGTCTCCTAGGAAAACCACCCTCAGGAAGTGAAGCCCTGCGCGGCTATCAGCCAACTGCGGTTGAAGCCAGCACTCGACAATCCTGCCGCTGCCACAAATAACAATCGGCGCAACTTTGACTGAAGGCTAGACCGAGGCCTCAGGAAACCATACCTGTCTTACTGCCACTTATGAGGTGTGTGTCGCATGCTACTCTGTCTGGTTGTCACCTGCAGTCAAATTTCCCTGAATAGAAGCGAGTGTGATAGTGGCTGCATGAACCAACCACCCCAATGTTCCATCAGTTCAGTGAATTATGAAAGGGCGCTGAGGGGTTCTTCCATCGCTCGCGCCAATACCTCCACTCCATGGCAACTTACCAGTGACTGTTCAAAATAATCGCCAGAGCTTTGTTGGTGCGAGCATGATGTTGGGTCCTGCATTTGACTTGCATCGCCTATTGAATTAAGTATTGTTCTCAAGACCCGGACCCAGGAACTCGGGTCGGTTCGCATTGCTGTTGCTAATAAAAGGAGTCGTTTCCCTCTTGTTGTTTTGATATTTCGCAACAGAGGTGATTGACCAGAGGCATATCTTTTACTTTCAACTGGAGTACTACCTCTCGACTTACGTGATCCTCGATCTTCAGGTCTCGAGTTACGTCTTAGTATCCTGCTCTGGCCATGACGATTCACAAATACGGCTTTCTCATTCTGTGTTTAGCCTTTTTTTTTTTTTTTTTTTTTTTTTTTTGCGGATTCAAATCTTACTTCTTTCTTACTTTCTTCAAGTCTCGCCTGCTTCTTGTTCGACATTTGACTCCAGGCAAGAGCTGTTGTGTTTGCTTCTGTATCAGAATCTCCGTCTGAATGTGCGAGTGTACCAACACCAACCCGAGTTCCCACGCACGAAGAAAGCATCTTCCTATCGGCGCCGACCTGGATTCTGGAGCGAAACTTCAACATGGTAAACTGATTTCTCTACTAGCCGGCAGCCAAACATCGGCTATTCAGATGCCGTAACACATCTCCATCCCATTACTCCGTACACATAGCACTTCTCTCGCCACGCCAGTAACGTTCGCTGTAACACAGTGTTCTCAGCACCAAAAGATTACACACCAACATACTTGAACTACTGTGCAGCGCGTTTCGATTTGTCTCGTTTGTGACATCTCTTCTTTCACATATTTATTTGACATACCTTTAGAACCCTGTCCAAGTCTTCCACGTAATGCTGGATAAAATTGTCATCTCCCATGTCTTGTCTATGTTTTCATCGCCCTATTATTCTTTTCGAGAAGCATTCTGATTGCTTGTAGCAAACATTCAAGTCCAAAAACGACTTGTTTTCCGCATTGGCTGTTCTCATCATGTTTTCTTCGGCCACAGTGCTAAAGTTTGCTACCTTTGATTTCTCCTTGTAACACACGATGTAGCTGCGCATGGCCTTGGGAGGGTCGTGATTCCCCATCTCATCTAAAAACTTCACATGAAGGCCTTGGCGACCTTATGGGTGTGCGACTCTTGATGTCTCCACCTTTCAGATGTTACACCTGGGAAATGATGGTTTGGGTTGCACGTCGACACTCTTCATTTCTTAAACCGGGGTTCACGATTGAAAACTGCTAGATGCTTGTGTTACAAACATCGACTGAAGTAAGATTAAACATACCCTCTGTTACGCCTTATGGGGTGGCTCATGGGCATATTTAAGTACTCACGCCGGTTTTACTGATGAGAACCTCAAAAACATAACGAACATCGACGAAGACCCCGCCAACGTAACCCTTACGATGATGCTCAAAACCTGTATTTTCATAACGGCGGTTGCTTTCCAAGCATTCGCCTCGCCTCTCAAGCCTGTTGAACCGCCACGCGACTTGAATGCAGAAGACTGGAGTCTCCTGAACTTTCAACGTGTTTGCACAGAAGATCAAAATCATTGCGACTACAGCTTCCTCATTTCTGAATACACCACGGAGGTCCCTAAGCACTGCAGTTTTACGGTCAAGGCTGCTGATGGTCGCCCAGCTTACCAGACAGGCTTCTCCTTGGCCAAGTGCCCAGCCTCAGCGGAATACGATGTCAATGGTGGCTGGAATGATCATGGATTCATCACACTGACGGTCATCAATAACAAGAAGAGCCTTGTACCTTTCTTCGCTTACAAGGACGATGTTCTGTTCGAAGGTGCCGAAGCAGCTCCCCAGCAGTCCAAGGTTTACCTTCATCCCATACCTATCAAGCGTGGGGTTTCAATGCGAGATCCTCACAAGGTGCTCGAGGATGCTGCTGAATGGAAACTTGTAGATGTTGCGAGGTGTGAGTCAATATCACTACGAAAAATCATTTTCGTATTGCTAACAGACGTCAAGACATTGTCAATCAGGGGACACCCACCGAGGCAATCGTCATTTCATTCTCGATCCAAGCCGGCGATGCTTCGAGCGAGTATTGTTTCCTCGAAATCCCAGTAGCTCAAGGAGAAACTTATTCCAAGAGTTTCTATGGGCGTGAGTGTCAACAGGGTGCTGCCGGCTGGACAATTTCTTGGGGCCATGATGAATCCACTGATGAAGCAGTCATGACTGTTGTCAAGTAAGTACAGACATCCTCATTGCAACGAATGGAGCTAACTAGGGCATAGCCGGGATCGCCGCAAACACGCCTATTTTGGCTTCAACAATGTCAGCACACACGTCTTGCTCGGTGTCAACGGACCAAGTCCCACGAAGCCGTTGTCTTAAACAGGCCAGGTAGCTAAGAGGATCTTGTCCCATGGAGCCGAGGGGCGTTCTCCAGAAAGGGGTCAAGTGGAATGGGAAGCCAGGGAACCTATGGTGTTGTTCCCGTGACACTAATCGCCATTTTGGGGATCTACACGAGTTGAAAACGATGTTTTCAAAACCTGGGGAGGCTTTGAGGTTGTGATCCACGCAGGATTGGTCTGTTGTCTATCTTCGAGAAACCCTAGCCCCCTTGCCGAACGCACCGGCTGTCACCGACTACTGTAACATGTGCTCTGCAACCTGGCACACGCGATATTAGCGCTTACATGTACAAAGTACGGCATCAGGGGATGAGAGAAATAACTGAAAATGTAATTCTGGTGTAGACAAGCTTTATCTCGAACCTACATCGCACATCATGGCCAAAACAAGGCACTTATCATCATAAATGATTCCTGCGCAATCCCCGGAAAGCACATTACTATTCGAAAGCATCTGCACCACGTACATTTTGCCGCGGAAAGGCGGCTGTCGATGTCTTTGCCCTGTTGAAAACACTCAATTTGGTCGTACCGGATTTCCCGTATACTGACCTGCGTCTTGGCCTTCGCCCAGTCCACTCAGGGCACGGAAATCCCTCGAACGTTCCCACAACACTACTCCTCTGACCAATACTAATGCCTGTCGGCCACACTTGCTCAACATTGGTCGTGCGCAAGTGACCGATGAGCGGGAGAAATACCACTGCTGGTGGCATTAAAAGGATTCTCTTATCACCGTGCAGCTGTACCATGCCATTGTACCAGTACTTTGTGGACACGACAGGATTCAGCTTTGATTTCGCAGATGTCGGATACCCAGCCCCCCGTGGTAAGGTGCACAAAAAAAAGCAGATGAGTTGAATTATGTGGCACATGTAACAAGATGGGGGGACTGGTAACTAAAAGAGTAATATTCGAGACAAGCGGGATGTGGGACTTGTTGGAACAACGAGATGCCAACATTGGTAACCGTATGCCTGGGACGAGCGCATACTCAACCAGAGTGTTGGGACAGGAGCAAGAACTGTGCCGGGTTGAGGGGTCTAAGGGGATGCCATTGTCGGGTACAGAACGCGAGCGAAGCGGCACAGCTTTCTTGGCTAGGGACGATCCCCCCCATTTTACAGAGTGTGCCCAAGGCGCAGTGCAGGAAGAAGCTAACCAGCTTGGACGTGCGATCCTGGCCTACAATGGGCTGATGATAACAAATGAGAGGTAAGGTGTGACATGAAGAGGATACTGTAGTATCTCTTTGGTTGGCCACAAATTGCAGCTGAAAAACGCCCGTTGCGGTCAGGCTAAACAATGGCAAGGGATGGCCTTTCTGAAGACATCATCGCTCCCTATACCACAGTACAGGTACAGAGAATTTCCTCTTGAATGCCTAGGGCCGGCAGCAGAGAGCTGGAGAACATAAAGCTCACGCGGGTGAGAGAATGAGGGAGATCGTACACCCCAGATGGGGGATTGAGGGTTAGCGAGTGGCCCGTGCTGTTATAGCGCTAGAAACGTGACGAATTACATGCGGAGTTGACGGGGAAAGGCGGCAAATGTCGACTTCCCGTTGGCTGTTTGCCAATCCTACAAAAGAAACAACTTCCATAGGGCTTGCAGGTTGCTAGGTTGTTTGGCAGGTATTCCGTCCAAATAACCTTGACTGGATATTGCAGTCTCAGGACCTGACTTGCATAGTGCCCACGAATGCTGCTGGTCGCCGTGGAACTTGCATGGTCTACTCGCATGGCATACATCCTGCCCCCTCAAGCAGCCAGGTAGGCCCCCAAATATTACCGTATAGCCCACGACCTTTTTCCCAGATTGGCAGCCCCTCCAACCTCAGCATTTTTATCCCCTTTTTCAAGTAGTCCCGCACCTACATACTTTGAATGTCTTCGTCGATTTATATTTTGGTTAACATAAGGCCTGCGGCGGGACGTGCGATCAGTCGACCGATATTGGAGTTGAGAGATTCGGCCTGCATTGCGGTTTCGTCGTGTCCGCCTCTGCCATCACCTTTGCTTTTGAACCAAGATGAGGATAGGTTGTCTTCAGTTCGCCCCTCAAGTGGGAGATGTTGACAATAACCTTAACCGAGCGGATTCCGTCTTGAGCAAAGCAAACCCGGAAGGTTTGGATCTTCTCGTCTTGCCAGAACTGGCCTTTTCAGGTATGTTAGGACTTGGCTCCCGGTCATCGTCGTCGACCTGCCTGAGACTTCCTACGATATGCATTGAATCATACTTGCAAGACTTGCGTCCCAGTCTGCATTCGGATCGAAACTGATATAAATCACACCAGGCTATAACTTCAAGTCTTTGCAACAAATTTCTCCCTTCCTTGAGCCGTCAGGTTCTGGCATCACCTCGCTTTGGGCTCGAACCACCGCCCTGAAGTACAACTGTAAAGTCGTTGCTGGTTACCCGGAGAAGGTAGACGTCTCTGGCAGCTGGCCTACAGGCCCAGAGTATTATAACTCAGCCATCGTTGTCAATGAAGATGGAGAGACAATCGCCAACTACAGAAAAAGTTTTTTGTATTACACGGACGAGACATGGGCACTTGAAGGTCCCGGTTTCTATGAGGGTTACATTCCTGGCCTGGGGCGCACCTGCATTGGCATCTGTAAGACTTCTACTCTACGTAATCATATAGACTCTCGCTGACATCTGAACTTAGGCATGGATCTGAAGTAAGTCTGTGATGTATATTTAACAAGAGTTGTGCTAACCATCAAAAGCCCCTATAAGTTCGAAGCGCCTTGGCATGCTTTCGAGTTTGGAGTCCATGTCCTCCAATACGACTCTGACCTGGTGATTGTTTCTATGGCATGGATGACTCGGGAAGATGGCCGAATGTTCAGTCGGATGCCCAACGAACCCGACATGGACACTTTAACCTACTGGATCACCCGTTTGGAGCCCTTAATTCGGGCAGAAAGCAAAGACGAGATTATCGTTATTTTCTGCAATCGGACTGGTATCGAAGATGACGCCGTCTATGCTGGAACGAGTGCGGTTGTGGGAATCCAGGACGGAGAGGTTAAAATCTACGGCCTTCTAGGTCGTGGTGAGAAAGAGCTCCTTGTCGTCGATACTAAAAACCCTCCCTACGCGAAGTTGGTTCACCGCCCAGAGCCCGACAGACCGTTGGGTATCCATTCCGAACTGCAAAAGGCGTCAGACTCTCCGTCCTCGCCCAACGCGACGACATCTAGCACTTCGCCATCCGACAGACATACACCGAACCAGGGAACATTCCCTCCTGGCGGGTTTTCCGCCGCTTCATATTCCTTGTATAAATCGCCAGAGAAGCAACCAACAGCTAAGCAGGCCCGGATACCGCCCAACATCAAGATCCCCCCGTCGTATGGCCCGCGGCCTGTTATACTTCAAGGAGAATCGGCAGACTCGCCAGGCTCAGAGAATGCTAATCTTCCTACGCCAACCGCTCCGAGCCCAACGCCTTTGTCAGAGCGGCCAAAGTTGACTATCCCGCCCCCATCTCTCATCGATGAATGGCTACCCGACAGCCCTGTACCCCAGAGTGCCCAATCTAGCCGCTCGATTCAGTCGGTTCAATCGATCCATTCTGTGCGCTCTAACAGCTCGGTCAAGTCGAACATGAGGCCAAAGCTGGTTATTCCGCAGTCCCCCCCTCTTGCTCCATGGCAACTTGGGAGCCCAGTGCCGTTATCTAGTCGGTCTATTCAATCGGTCCGATCGATGCACTCAGTTCAATCCGTTGAATCTGTTCGATCAACAGAGTCCTATCAATCTGGGGTCTCCACCAGCACTGTCACATCTAATCCGCGTCCGCCTGAGGACAGTACACCATATCCTCACAGCGGCCTTCCACTTAGCGGTTACCCTACTAGGGTGTCTAATAGGAGAATATTCGATGACTTTTTGACGATGAACCAAGCGCCATTCACTCCCATCACCCCCTTTGAGGAGACATCGCCTACGGAACCACGGTACTTCTGGAGGCCAGCTGACAGCCTTTTGAAGACACCAATGTCACCCGAGTTGAGGACTGCTGTTCAAGAATATGATGATACTAGAACCCGGAGCTTCGGGAACTTCTCGCGGTTTCCGCAGGATGAGCCATTTCGTGCACACAGCTCTAATTCCATTCGGACAACCTCGACGGCCATTGCGGCGAAACCCCCTGATTCGGCATCGAAGAACTCCAGAAGAACGCCCTCACAGAGCAGAACGTCTCGAAACTCCAGTCGAAGCCAACCCAAGAATTTGACTGACACCGTTGTGAGTGTGGAGACTTCGAGAGGTCCGTCAACTCAAAGTTCCGCACTCGGCGACCACGACCGTGCCTCGTCAAGGAACAGACATTCTCGAAGTTCTAGTAGATCCCGCACCGTGGAAAACAGGAACGCCGTTTCAAACATGAACACTCTTGGAGGTCCATTATCTCAAAGCCTTGTGCCTGAGGGACAGAAGCGGGCCCCTTCGCAGCCGAGAATGCCTCGAAACTCTAGCAGAACCAGTATTACAAAATTTACGACTGGAAACGTCGAGACACTGGAGGACACATCACTTCATGATGGCCTTCTTATCCGTCCTTCGTCGCCCAAATCACGCAATGCCAGTCGGCGACGGAGTCAGGAGAGGTCTAATTCATTGTCTCATCGTGACATTACGGTCGAAGTTTCTCGGCAATTGGAATCAATCTCTCGAAGGGCCGAATCAGTCGGTCGGAAAGGAAGCTTCACTGAAGGTATTGAAAGTTCCCAGTCCAACAGACCTTCATCGTCAAAGTCTCGAAGCTGCAGTAGGGGTCGGCCCAGCGGGAAGGCCTCATCGATTCTAGCTGCCGCCGGCACGGGCACTGCCCAAAACCCAACCGTCAAGCTCCAAAACACTTCACACTCGACACATCAACGAACCAAGTCCTTGTCCAACATGAGTGTTCACTCAAGAACAGGGTCAACGACAGGCAGTCAGCGAGAAGCATTTTCCAGATCTAGAACACCTAGTGTAGGCGAACAGTCACTGGCTCGCCCTGCATCCCGTGCAACTAGCCGAGGCCGTCGCCCCGGGCCAGTATTCTCGCCCCCTAGGATGGTACCTCGAGACCCCTCGCAGCCTGCGGAAGAAGCCCAAAGAGACTGGGACCTTTTTCTAAGCCAAGGCAACAACTCCTCGGCATCAAAGGAACCCCATGCCTCGCATTTCTCGGAACCAATTGCAAGGTTCGAGAGAGTTGAGGCCCTCGTGTCTCTCAGCTGTCCTGTTCATGGGCGGAATTCCACCAGTTCTACTCCTTCTGGTCATAGAGTAGCTTCTGTATTGTCTTCGAGCAGGTCTAATTCAACTCCAGCTGCCACAGCTAGCAGCAAGAGCAAGGGGAAGGAGCGATCTGTGAGCAGCACGATTGGAGACGATCTCCTATTCTCGCCTGGCTCGCTTGCCGAGTCCATCGCCACAATCTCATCAAGTCGCTCCCCCTCTACTCCACGGTTCGAACCCCAAACTCCCAGGGCAATGGTTCTCATACGTGAAAATGAAGACATTGGCACGGGAGAGCCGCCATTGTTACACTTGGCGAACAATTTCTCCGACCTCAGTTGTATAGAGAGGCCCATTGGCTCCAGCTCAGATGAATCAAAGGCCGTTACGACATAGAGGATATCATGAATATCAAAGGAGTTTGTGCTCATTTCTTGGCGCTCTGCCTTTTTTTTCAAGCTCCTTCTTTTTTCTATTTTTTTTTTTTTTCACTGTCGTTTGTTTTGTTGAGCGTTTGGCAAGGAGTCTGGTCCTCGTTGACGAGGTGCATCAATCTCGTTCAACTTGGGAGGGATATCAAGGCGTATAATGACTGGATGAATGGATGGACAGGAAAACCATTGAGATTCGGAAGGAGCTGGCACGTGGGAGTTCTATACAAGTCGCTGCATGTTTTTGACAGAATTTACTCGAGCATTTTTCACTGCATGTTCTTTACCTTTCCTTGCTCAGATGCTCTCTCGAGGCTTCACAGCCATATCGCTTGACAGAGATTACATTGCGTCTTCGAGATAAAATATCAACTTTCTAGAGTTGTTCGATAGAAACAACGGTAGTACATCAAATGGAAGGTGTTGTTCTGTCATGGTTTTTCTCGAAAGTCAAGGATGTGGAGGCCATCCGCGACAGCCGAATAGACGCTCGTGACAAGGTAGGAAGACGAGAAATGGGTTGTGGTAATTGGCGGGTTAATGAGCCGAGCATCGGATCATTCCGTGACTCGGGACAGCGATGAGTCGATGATCGGGTCAACATTGCTTTAAGCGCTGCGGAGATATGTTGTTTGTTGGTCGTCCAACATGTTTGTAGTCACAATAAACCATTCTGCTCATGGCGGACTTCTGGTATCCTGTACTGGGGCTCTTGGAATTGGTATGTCAACCTGACCAGACTAGGAAATCAGGAACGCCCTACCTTCTCCTCCCTTCCAGGGCGCTAGGCCGTCCAACGGGCCGCATCCAGCATAAACACAAGCTCAAGACACACCCAATCAAAAGGCGGAGAGGGGTTCCCGCGCCCAAAGAGGTTGCTGAGGTGTGAAGTCGAACAGGGATTCTTGCAGCGTAGCTTCCTCGCCTCCAAGGGTTATTGCATGCCCAGTGGCTGGGGGCTGGTCAGTACGATGCACGCCACCATCCACCTCGGCGCTAAGAGAACCAGCAACGATAGCAGATCTCGCCCTCCCAATGCCCACGTTTACAACCCAAGCCCACAACGGTGTGGGATTGCAGACCTGCTCACCTGTTTTCTAGGCAGGTGCATTGGTTCACCAGGGCATGCAGTCATGTTTGTTGGTACAGCCCCGGCCTGGCGGGAGGGCTGGTCTGCCTCCAAGGTGAGGAGAAGGCCGGAAGTGCACGCTTTTCACCGTGCCACCCGCATTCTTCGGACCCCAATCACACAATCTCGTAGAACCAACGAGGTGATGAAGATGCAGATAGCTGCGCCTCTTGTCACAATCACACACTGCCCATCTTCTCTCTTGCAAACACCGAAACACATATGAGGCGCCGCTTCGCAGGTCTGTGGTTTCGATACCAAAGTCGTCACTTGGTGATATCTTGAGCTTATTAGTTTGGGGCTCGCTCTTCCTCTTCGCGCAGTGCATAAGCTACCACTGCGTGCTTCGCCATTCGGGTGTCCCATTCGACCTCCGCAGGCATGTAACACTGGCGATTCGCCCCTCAGCAATCGACTGAAAACCGGTATATTCGTGCGGCGGCAGACAACATCCTAAGTCCTTCTTGAGAGAAGAAATCGATATATAATTGGAGCTCCTTGTTCCTGTAATCAATCACGATGAAGTTTGCGACAGGCGCGGCGGCCCTCGGCCTTTGGCTCGGCCACGCAGTAGCAATCCACGTGGCGAAGGGTTCACCTTGCGAATCACTCTGCGGCAACGTGCTGGATGCGACAACGGAGGACGATGTTGTATGCAAAGAGGAGGACTACGCTGATAGCAGCGCGGGTCGTGTTTACCAGCAATGCCTGTCCTGCGAGTTGACCAGCGACTTCGTTACCCAAACTCAAACGGATACTCAATGGCTCCTTTGTACGTGGTCTGTCCTAGTCCAGGGCGAAGCTTGACTAACGCAGCTAGACAACCTCCGATATGCTGTCTCGTACTGCGTCTTCGGCTTTCCAGATAACCCCAATGTCGGTTCAAGTCCGTGTCTCACGAGGTATGTCAACGTACGACGACGCCTTTGGTCCTACCTAGTAACCCTTAGAACAGAACTGCTTGCGAACCATTGCAAAAGGCCATAACGTATAACGAGTTGGCGCCTAACGGTACTGAATATGATTACTGCACCGGTTGGGACCATAATCAGATTTCCAGCTGTGCAGCCTGTCTTCGTGCCGGGGACAGACACTACTTGACCAACTGTATGCCTTCCCGTTGATGCAACTGTAGCTCATCGACTGACGATTTTCTAGTCATCACCATTTTAGATGCTGGGTGTCAACAAAAGCCCAGTCCCGGACAGACAGTCTCGGTAGAGGGTTCGCCATTCTCCAAGACCCGGGTCAACGTCACTGACCCGATGCCAACGAACACGTACGTGCCAAACTACGACAATGGCCCCATCAACCTGGGAGCCAAAGTTGGTATTGCGATTGGCGCCTTGCTTCTTATCCTGGGTGTGGTTGGTTTCTGCATTGTGTGGAACGGCAAAAGGAGGAGAAGAGCGTTCTTGAAGAGACTGGAGATGAAGCAAAAGGGACCCGCCACTGGCTGGCCGTCGCCACTAAACGTAGCCGGACTTAATGGTACTCCGCTCAGCCAACGGCCGCTGCGAAGCTGGGATGACACGCCCAACAGCTCGAGACCAACACGTGGCTGGGACGAGTCCCCTCTGAGCCCGCAAGGCGAAAAGCCTTTCCCGAGATACTTCTCGCCATACTCTTCACAGTATAACAGTCCAGTTAGCGGCACGGAGGCGCAGAACATGCAGTGGCCGATTAACGATGTAAACCAGAGGGGCCAGCCTCAGGAAATCGGCCTTGCTTTTGGAGGTGACGACGCGGAACAGGGTTGGCAAGAATCCAACAAAGGCAAGGGAAGAACCGAGTCATATGAGTTGAGAGAGGTCGATGGTGAGTGGGACGCGCGACAGAGGCACCCGAGCCCACCTATACTTCAGCATCCTGCGCATACAATGTACGCAGAGCATAACCCAGCTGCGTATCATGGGGTGATAGAAGAGAACGTAAGAAGAGGATACATTTAATGATGTGCAATTCATTTGGTAATGAACTGGGGCTGTAAATAACTGGACCAAAGAAGCCAGTGCTCCTTGACGAATCTATTTGGACTTAGCGGGAGTTTGGAGTTTGAAGATACCGAATGAATCTGATAAGTCTTCATCGTGGTCTGATAATATGAAATTCATATGCATCATGGCAATCCGAGCTCTGTTATATTTGCCGCTTGAAGTTTGCGATGACGTTGTTTGCCGTCTGGTTTGAACACCTTAAACATAATTGTGGCTTTAATCCATCCGGACCGTCACTAATGCCGTGTGATGTTTTCCTCAAATACTAAGAAATCCATGTTCGAAAGGCGGAACGGAACCGAGTCGCGTCTTGGGTCCTGTGGCTGAACCCGACACACCGACCAATAATGTCCACTCAATGGTTGTCCGACGCCACATTGTGGGTCTAACGGATTTTTTGGCAGCTCCCCCCACAGCAGGAAGAAAAAAAATTTGGATTGGGAAGCTTGAAGTCCTCCCAACACCACGAGATCTTCCTCTTGGACGTTCGCGAGTATCTACCGCTGCAAACGCCCAACAACCCCCCGACATATTCCCCCATTGCAACGCGTTACTGTCGTTTCGGGACAAAGTCGGACATAATGGCCATGGAAATCGTCAAGCACAGTGAGGAGGAGGAGTTCGCCATCAAGCCTCAGGCTGCTGTCCCCCAGTTGGACACCAGCAACTGGCCTCTGTTGCTCAAGAACTACGACAAGCGCAAGTTTCCTTCCCATTGGACTGGAGCACATGCTCGTGTTCAGATTGAAGATAGTTCACGCGACTGACTGGCCTGCAGTTCTCGTCCGGACGGGTCACTTCACCCCCATTCCGGCAGGATGCAGCCCTCTGAAGAGAGACATCAAGTCGTACATCTCCAGCGGTGTTATCAACCTTGACAAGCCCTCTAACGTATGTTTTCACTGATAATGATTGCCTCCGATGACTGCATGTACTGACTTGTTGCGTAGCCCTCCTCCCACGAGGTTGTCGCTTGGGTCAAGCGTATGCTCCGGTATGCAATATTCACTTCTCCTTCCTATCTGCATCGCACCGATGCCCCGTGTTCGATTCGTGCGATGTCTTCCTCGAAATCGACCAATTTGGATTCAAATCGACGGCAATGGCATTCTTCAAGGCAAATGGCAATGGTTTCGTGGGCTTCTTTTCTGGGCAGTGGCGCGCACGTGGCCCGCTGGGTCTTTGCGAAACAGAGACAAGGATGGTGGCATAACTCGAAAAGAAAATTCCCGACGTGACGACAGGTCTCCTGCGGCCAGACCATTTCGCAAGGCTACGAAGGCAATCCACGCCAGCACGCTCGACTTGCATGTCAACCTGGGAAAGTTTTGCGGAAGACTGCTTGGAAACGGCCAGTGTGGATTGCCTTGTCCTGGGATCTTGGTGTCACAAATCATGGGAATAGCCATTGCCGCCAGCACGTCAACGAGGATCACGTTCGGAAGACTTCGAGGGGACATCTGCTTCATTTCTCACATACCTTGCAAGTTAGTAAAGGCATTGCTAACTTTTTTACCTTTACAGTGTTGAGAAGACCGGTCACAGCGGTACCCTTGATCCCAAGGTCACTGGTGAGTAGCGACCCGTCCCACATTGATGTCTCGAACGTGTTTTGCTAACTTTCTCAGGTTGTTTGATTGTTTGGTTAGTAACACCATTTCAGTTCCGACGAACTGTTTGCTCTATGAACGCCAACTGACAAAATTCCTTGCAGCGTCGACCGTGCTACCAGACTCGTCAAGTCCCAGCAGGGTGCTGGTAAGGAGTACGTTGCTGTCATCCGCCTCCACGACAAGCTGCCTGGCGGCCAGGCCCAGTTTGCTCGCGCTCTCGAGAGTGAGTCCGATCCGACCGTATCGCACTTGACGACATCATTCTAACACTTTGTGTAGCTTTGACTGGTGCCCTCTTCCAGCGCCCGCCTTTGATCTCTGCCGTCAAGCGTCAGCTTCGTATCCGTACCATCTACGAGACAAAGTTGATTGAGTTTGACAATGTAAGGCGATCTACTCCAGTTTCGAAAGCATTGCTGACCACGATTCAAGGATCGCCACCTCGGTGTCTTCTGGGTTTCCTGCGAGGCCGGTACCTATATCCGTACTCTCTGCGTTCACCTCGTACGTAATACCAAAAAACCTTGCAGGCTTTAACTCGATTGCTAACCTAACATAGGGTCTTTTGTTGGGTGTTGGTGGCCACATGCAGGAGCTCCGCAGAGTGCGTAGTGGTGCCATGGACGAGTCCAAGGGCATGGTCACTCTGCACGACGTGCTTGATGCTCAGTGGATGATGGACAACACCAGGGATGAGTCTTACCTGCGCAAGGTCATCTCCCCACTTGAGACTCTTCTCACTGGCTACAAGCGTATTGTGGTCAAGGACAGCGCTGTAAGTTTTCTACTGCAACTATTCAATCCTCACCTGCGATGCAACCCTATGGTCTTCGTCTCAGACCGATTGGCAAGCCAAAACATTTTGCATCTGATACTGACGTACTTTCCCAGGTTAACGCTGTCTGCTACGGTGCTAAGCTCATGCTTCCGGGTTTGTTGAGATACGGTATGTCATGCGTAAAAGATGTCATTATGAAAGACAGGCATACTAATTTCCTGTGCAGAATCCGCCATTGAGGTCCACGATGAGGTTGTCCTGATGACCACCAAGGGTGAGGCCATTGCTATTGGTATCGCCCAGATGTCCACTGTTGAGATGTCAACATGCGGTTTGTCTTTCGTCACCATACATAAGGGACCCACAACTAACGGAGTCTAGATCACGGTGTTGTCGCCAAGGTCAAGAGATGCATCATGGAGCGTGACCTGTACCCCAGACGATGGGGTCTTGGTCCTCTTGCTACGGAGAAGAAGAAGATGAAGGCTGATGGCAAGCTGGACAAGTTCGGACGCCCGAACGAGGCTACCCCCGCCAAGTGGGTTTCTGAGTACAAGGACTTCGGCGCTCCCGCCGGCGATGCGGCTCCTGCTGCTGCTGCTGCTACTGAGCCTGTCACTCCTAAGAAGGTTGTGGAGACTGTCTCTACCAGCGTTGTTGTTACTCCTGCCAACAACGAGGAGGATGGCAAGAAGCGCAAGAAGCACGAGGGCGAGACTCCCGATGAGCGTGCCGAGCGCAAGCGCAGAAAGGCTGAGAAGAAGGCTGCCAAGGCCGCGAAGAAGGCTTCCAAGTCTGGCGAGGCCGACGATGATGACGACAGCGAGTAAGCTCTGGCGGGCTACTTCCTTCCCTCAATTGGCTCGATACCAAGTGTTTGTTGACAATAGTCGGCGGTTGGCTGTTGTATCATAAAAATGGCTTTGGCAAGTGGCGTTTGGTTCTGTTTTTTTCGTTGAACATACTACGGACTGGCTGGATAGGAGTAGATAGGTCCTATATGAAAAAAGTGACGGCTACAGCTGTCACATCAGTTCAAAAATTAAACACGACACGAGCACATGGCAGTAACGAGTTACAGTTACGGGGGAAGCCAAAAATGAAATGTTTGAGCCTGTCGAAACGGAAACACGGAAACCCTTGACAAAGACTTACGTACTCCCAGCAGCATCCCGGTGGGTTTTCAGACAACTGCACAGTCGGGTCCGAGCCAGCGTGGATCTCATCCGAACGATTTCTGTTTGGGAATCTCAATCATAAACTGCAAATATACGTGTTCCGTCTTTCGTCCGAAGACGCTTTCCCTGAGAGGACAAGGAGGCAATGTCACCCAGCATGTCTCAGGCCACATGCGTTGGGCCAACAAACCATGAAATGGCAGACAACTGCCATCGACCAAGCCCTCCCGGATATGCCCTCCTGGAAATGGGATAATGCAACCAACAACTGCTACGACGATTGGGTGTATGGTATATTAGCTCAGCGGATCCTCAATGCTCTCCTGAGATGGCAGCACGTCACCCCGCCTTTTCCTTCCCTCAACTGCGCCTCTCTAGGATTTTTCTTCTTCGATTGATTGACGGTCGCGCCTCATCCCTCGCGCCCAGCTTCGCCCATGCCGGGATTAGCGGGGCCGCCACCGCCCCAGTTGACGATCGCCCGTCAACTCCCCCGACACCCCCGTCACATCCGACATCCCGGTTGAAAGTCGACTTAGAGCCTCCATGACGACAAACGTAGAACAAGAGTGGACTTTTTGCTGCCATTTCCGGTTAAGGAGACGGCTTCTGGACGCATGCAATCCTTGCAAGGCGGACGGCAGCTACGCAAGGGTTACGGGCAGAAGCCTAAAAAGGATTGCTGTCTGACCACATGTCTGACGCGCGCCCAGCCCTAGGAGAAAAAAATTGTAAGCACAACCAGGTGGACCGCAAGTAATTGAAGTAAATTTTTGTTAACAAAAGGTACCTCGAGGGGTTCAGCTGAACGACGATCGAAAAAAACAAAAAAAAAGAGGAGTTGAGCAGCGGTGTACACTAAGAGAGAGAAAGAGAGAGAGGCTCTAGCTTCTTTTCCTCGTTGGGAAATCTGGTCGAGCAAGATGCTGCCACGCACACTTTTTTTTTCCCCTTCTCACACCCCCGGCCCACCTGTTTCAAGCATCTGCTTTGACGTGAATGGAACAAACCCACCAGCAAGCTCAGTGACTGGGCAATGCGGAATGTGAGATTACCACTGTAAATGCGGGTGGAGTGTGTAAGTGTATGTACGTATGTATGTGTGTGTGTGTGTGTGTGTGTGTGTGTAAGAGAGAGAGCTCGGCGTTCAAAGTCTTTCCCAACTTCCAAGCTTTTCCTGTCTCGGAGCTCTCTCGCGAGTACAAGAACGGGCTCGCTCGCACGCACCTCGAGGCCGTTTCTTCTGCTTCTCGAAGTATGCTATGACATTCATGACGGAAGCAACTTTGCCTTTTGAATTAATGTGTACTTGGTTGTCGGTAGCTAATAGACCGTCCAATTCCTTGAGAGAAGAAACAAGACACGTCAGCTTCAGCATCCCAGCGTGTTACTCTTAGACGCAGCTTTGTTTTCTGTTTGCTCAAGAGACTCTTTTTTTGTGTTTTTTTCCTGGTCTCTTTTGAGATACATTATACATAATTGTATCCCTTTTGGGTTCATCATAATCTTCAGCTTTGAAGAATGTTTTCAACGACATCATTACGGCAATGTTCATGGCTTGCCGCGGGTCTGTTCTGCTTGGCCGGTTTGCAGCCTGTTCTGGGTGTGCCGGTCGACCCCCTTTACGTCCTCGATAGAGACACCAGCGTCATCGAGCCGAGACTTAACCTCGACTTCCCAGACCCGGCACTGATCCAGGCCGCCGACGGTCTGTGGTACTCCTTTGCGACCAGCGGCAACGGCAAGAAACTCCAAGTCGCCAAAGCCTCCCAGATCTCGGGCTCGTGGGAGTGGCTCGACACCGAGCCCCTGCCGGATGGCGGCTGGACGACCAACAGCAACACCTGGGCGCCGGACGTGAGGCGGCTGGACAACGGGTCCTACATCATGTACTACTCTGGCGAGGTCAAGGACGGCGGTGGCCGACACTGCATCGGCGTGGGCATTTCCGAAGACGTCACGGGGCCGTACAGACCGACCAAGGAGCCGTGGGTGTGTCCGTTCGACCAGGGCGGCGCCATCGACGCCGCGGGCTTCTACGACGAATCCAGCAAGAAGCGCTACGTGCTCTACAAGATCGACGGGAACAACATCGGCAACGGCGGCGACTGCAACAATGGCGTCAAGCCGCTGGTTCCTACGCCGATCATGTTGCAAGAGGTCGAGGCCGACGGGATCACCAAGATTGGCGACCCGGTGCAGGTCCTGGATAGGACGGACGCCGATGGCCCGCTCGTCGAAGCGCCGGACCTGGTGCGGACCGACGACGGGCTGTATATCCTCTTCTTCAGCAGCTTCTGCTTCAACTCGGACAACTATAACGTCAACTACGCGACGAGCAGGAACATCAAGGGCCCCTACAGGCGGCCGTCGCGCATGCTCCTCAAGACGGGCGACTTCAACCTCACGGCACCCGGGGGTGCCACCAGCGTCGCTGGCGGAGGGCAGATGGTTTTCCACGGAAGATGCCCGCAGGGCAGGTGCCTCTATCAAACACAATATTCAGTCACCGGCCGAGATGTAATCATCAGCTGAACCCAGTTGAGTCGGCCGACGACGGAAGACGGAAACTAATTTCGGTAATCGTATTTCTTGTTATATTATCGGAGAAAAATCACAGCGAGACAGCGCCATTTTGGAAACGCATTAGGATACAGAGATGCACAGCCGGAAGCCTAATCAAGGGTTTCCCGCTATTGTTTGGGGGTTTGCTTCTATTTGCAGGCGTCTGGGGGGAATAATACACTCGAAGGCGATGCATTTTTTCGCGATGGCAAACTCAAAAGCCTGTCGTTAGTTACTGATCATGAGACAAATGACAAAAGAAGATTCATTGAAGCATGTTGTAAGCAACGTTGAATTGTGCAAGGGAATTGGATGAAGAGCGTGAGATAGAGTTTTCGGGTATCACGAATGACAAACAACCATCACGGAAGCTGTCAATGATGCAAACCGACAAGCTTCTGAGTTTAAGGCCAGAAAAAAAAGGTCGGCTCAGTAACTTGAGTTGCCGATCGTGGATAGCTCCTTAATGACATCGAGCTTCATGTTGGGTAGGGAACCCTGGAGTTAGGGAGCAGTTCAACCCCTAATAATTAAAGTGTAGTAAAAGGGGGAAGGGCAGGCTAGGATGGCAATGCCACAACAATGGCATTGAATCGAAATCTTGAACGGTTAAGGAAGCATTGACTGACTGATCAATGGCCGAGACCAACCACAATGCCCCCCACTTGATGTCCCGCAGTGGGACCAACTGAACCGAGCCCACGGCTTTGAGTGGGGAACCTTTGGGAAAAGGGCAGGGGAGGAAAGAGCCTATGCTATGTAGTACATCAGCAAGTGACGGGTAAGCGCCCGTGCTAGAGCCAAAGGAGAGGTGTTTGTCACCTTCTTTCCATCAACCTAACCAACCAACCATCAAGCCAGCATCACCATCAAACGCTGCCTTCCAATTGGCCCCTTTGCTCACTAACCCACCAGTCCCATCTGGCAGCCGCCGCTGTCATCACAGACTCTGCATCCGCCAGCGCGCCAGGCAGACCCGGAAAGACACAGAAGTCTGTGTAGGAAGCACGCTATTGAATGCCGCCACTACCCCATCTGGCGAGCACGGCGCATGCGAGCCCCAGTCGGGCTTCTGCTAGCTGTCTGTACCTGAGAGGTTGCAACGCACCACCGATATCCTGCAGGTGCCGAGACTCTGGCGCTTGTATCGGTGATATGTGCTGTTCGTCAGCCGAGCAGAACAGCAGAATCACAGCAGACAAGATCCGTCACCTTGGCAAGCGACGTTTGCTATGCTGACCTTTAGACCCGTCCACTTGTTTGTCCTTTTCACAGGAAAGTTATGTTCGTAGCTCATTGGCCCGTCCAGGTCGACATCACCACACCCTCTGCCGATGATGGCGCACTCGTTCCACCGGGTCGAGGAGATGGGCGGCAGCGCCACAGACCCAGTCCCGGCTTTCTCGTTTGTATCTGGCTGCGTTGATGAGGCCTTGTTCTTCCCCGTACATTCGGAATATTGCCTATAGGTCTGCATCGTGCGTCCTGCGGGCGGCTTGAGACCATCACCTTGCCATTCATCTGTTCCTGCAGACGTCCCCTGTCGCGATTGTGTGTGACCAACTCGGCCGGGAACTATATCACGTTCTCGGGCCCAGACCCCAAGACCTCGCGGAAACTTCGTTCGTCTCTCGTGTATGTTTGTTTGTGTGCGTGTGTGTTCTATGCCGGCGTACAGTTGAGCGTTACCTAATGTCACGTTGTTAAGATACCACTCCTTTGCCTTCTTTTATTCATTGTAATCTGCGAGGCCTGGAGTCTTGCAACCTTCTCTGTTAATCAACACTCGTTTGGATCTTCTTCGAGGCGACGACTCACAATGGCCGCCCGATCCGCCCTCGTCCTCCTTACCACACTCATCCCGTCGTATGTCTCGGGTCTACAGGTCACTCCGGACTCGCCATGCGCGTCCTTTTGCCTTGACTCGAATGACCTTGACTACTCGGACCCAAACTCGTCAAATACGAGGAACAAGGACATAACTTGCGTGGACGGCAAGTACCAGACCGAGCCCCCGGGACGCAAGTTCCAGCAATGCGTTAGTTGTTTGCAGGACAGCAACTATGTCAAGGGCAATGAGAACGACCAGTCTTGGTTCCTGTGTAAGTCGGCATTTTGTTATATCATGACAGTCTTTGGCTTCGGGGCTCATTGTACGGTCCAGATAACATGAGATACTCCTTCGACTACTGCATCTTTGGATACCCGAACGCCACTGGCGTGGGTTCCAACCCGTGCATGACGTCCACCGCGTGTGGTGGTCTCGAAGCTGCACTCATCGATGGTGAGCTGGATCCGACAAAGTCAGGGCAGTTCTCGTACTGCGATGCGGACGGCGGTTCCATGCTCGGCTCCGCATACGACAAGTGCCTGTCCTGCGTCAGGGCCGGCGGCGAGCACTACTACCTGGCAAACTGTACGTTATCACGCTTCTAGACGCTCAAGTCGCATCCTCTAACAGCCGTCAGATCTGGTTGCCCTTGAGGCAGGCTGCCGACAAAGACCAGACCCAGGCAAGGTCATTGGCCTCAACCAGACCGTCTTCACAAAAGGCGTCATCACAGCAGTCAACCCTATAGACCAAGCCAAAGACTCCAAAGATGACAAGCCAAGCCTCCCCATGACAGCCATTGTAGGAATCGTTGTGGGAGTGGTAGTCGCGCTTCTATTAGCGGCCGGCTGTATCTTCATCCAGTACCGCAAGCGCAGGGCGAGGGCAGGAAGGGGCATCAACCCCGAACTCTCACGGAGGGCAAAGGGTCACCGTCCAGCCTCCTCGCTATCTTTCCGGTGTCAGACACATCTCACACCAAAAACACCCAACTTCTTCCCCATCGAAGAGGGTGAAGAAGTACGCAGCGAAAAGGGTCGCGTCCAGCAGCAGCAGCAGCAGCAGCAGCAACACCAGGACATGTCCAGCACCTCTGCGACGGCGGATCCCTGGATATCGCACAATGCAATCTACTCATTCCGAAGCTCCAGCCCTACACCACTCACAGATAAAAAGGGCCTACACAAAGACGCCGTGCCCCTAGCGAACATCAAAACAAGCCTCCCCATCATGCCCCTGAAAGCTCACTCTCCACGACACAACATGTCCCCCCAGGAAGACTACACCCCGAGCTCCACGACCTCAGCAGCCCCCCTCCTCCCGCTGAGACCCTACGTGCCCTCCGAACACGGCATGTCAACCCCGTCAATGGGCCACGCCGCCGCTTTCAGCCCAGCGACCATGACGACGTATTCATCCCCTACGTCAGGGAACACTGCCAGTCCGCTCCTGAGCCAGGCCGGCTGGCCCGCGCCTGCACGGAACATTGCGACGATAGACTCGCTGCCGGCCACGGAGCCGACGAGGACGATCCCCGTCATCATGAGGGACCTGGCGCGGCCGCTGCCGAAGAGGGTTACGTCCCTCGGCGACGGAAGTCCAGTAGAGAGCCAAAAGATTCAGACGTCGTTTCCGCCGCCGCCGCCGCATAAGAAAAGATAGCATATTTGAGATCTCGAGGTGTTTTTTTTTTTTTTTTTTCTCGTTTCATCTCGAAGCGAGAAGGCGTTAAGGGGAGATACAAAGTGGGCGGGACGGGAGTCAGTTCATCATTGGCAGTATGGCAAGTCAAATATTTAAGTTATACCAATCATCACTTGGTCAATCAATAATGAGAAGCATGTAATTGCACATTCAAATGGAAACCATTTCCCTTCGCCCCTGCGTCAAACACTTGAGATAAACACTCCCTTTTCATAAATCTTGTACACGGTGAAAAAAGAAAAGGCCTACATTCACCCGTCATTTGGAAGGACAATCCAAAACCAGTCTCTTCTTTCTAGGGTATTTTAAAGCCCGTGATTTGTTACCTGGAAAGCAATAAAATGAAAACATGACTTGTAAACAACCCAAACCAGCCGCACGCACTCCAAAGAAAAGATAAAGCCCTTGAACGCCTTTGCGCTTATGCATTGCACCGCTTCACTGACGTCCTCCTCCTCCTCCTCCTCCTTTGCTCCACGGCGAGCTGGCCCTGCTCGTTTCCTCCGCCTGCATCATCTCGTTCTGTTCCCTGAACCATTCCGCCCCTTCGTCAAGATCCACCCTCGAACTCCGTAACGACTCCAGATTCTCCCTTGCCTCGCGCAGTATCCGCTCAATGTCGGCGTTGCTAGATGGTCTCTTTTTTACACGCGTCTCTTCTGCTACCGTCGCCTCCTTGTCGTCGTCCAGGGACCGCTTCCTCTTGCTAAGCGGAGATGTCCCGTTCGCTTGTGTGGCTGCACCGCTGCTGCCGTTCAGCGACTGCGAGAAGCGGAGGCGTGCCTCGGCTGCGTGATTGAGATCCGCAGACACGCTTCGGCTCCGTCGCTCGGTACCGTCCAGTCCAAAGGAGCCGAGGCCAGAGTACCGCTTGCCGTTGTACCGCATTTCGTTTGCGATTGCTTCCGGAAGCGCAGACCCGTCCGGCATCGTCACCAATCCCATGGCCTTCAGACGCCAGCGGTCAGACACCTTGCTGACGCGCTTTTGTGGTGATTCAGACGGAGTGAACCGCGAGGATGATGAATGCGCTGACATGGGCGGCAGAGACCTGCGAAAGTTGCTGCTCCGGCTGCTAAATTCCTCCCGCAGAGCTCGCGTCTTCGCACCACACGGCTTGGCTGCCGAAACAGACTGCGACAAGCTCTTTGAAGATCTTGATGGAGGCGGCGAAGATGTCTCAAGCGTTTGGGTAATCGAAGGCGCTTGTATGACGTTATCGATCGCTGCGCGCTCGTTTGCGACTCCAGAAAGGATGCCCGTTGCGAACAGAGCTTCTGCCTCAGCCTGGAGGTCTTCTTGTGGCTCGTTGCCCTTTTTGAGCTGCAGTATTTCCCGCAGCTCCTCGACCGGGTCGACACCATTCTTCTCCAAAGCCTTTCGTCGCGCTTCAGCGACTCGAGCGGCCTTCTTCCTCTTCTTTGTTTCCTCCTCTCGCATTTCCATCTGAGCTTTCCTATATTCTTCTCTCTCTTGTCGACGGAGCTTGCTAAGCCGAAGTTCCCGCGCAACCTTCTTCCAGCGGTAAAAGTATTTAAGGGAGAGGTTGTAAACCTGAAATTTCCGTGCCTCCGCCAAGTCTCTTTCCTCCTCTTCTTTGCGTTTCCTTTCCTCCTCCTCTTTATGGTATTGGTCAAAGGCATTGGAGACGATTTGCTCAACAATGAACTTTTCAAATTCGTGTATCAACCCGTTGTCCCCCGTAACATACCATTTAGCAAAGTCTCCCATAACATCTTGCTTGGGGCGTTGTTCATGTACTGGAGCTTTAGGGGGATGTGTTGGAGCAAATGTCAAGCCTGCTGCTGGAGCTGTGGTGGCAGCGCCAGGGAGAGGACTCGGTTGGCTTGCAGGCATTGGCTTTGAGACTGGGGGCGCATTACTTGGCTGAAATGAGAACGATGGCAACGCAGACTGACCCGGAAGCGTCTCGGAGCTCGGAGCTTGACGGGGTGGTTCTGGTGATGCCAAGGCGCTGAAGGGACTTTGCACAGCAGTTGACTTTGGCTCTTCAATCTTCGGGGGTGCTGAGATCTGCGCGCCTGGAGCGGATGCGAGAGGTTGTCCCGTTTCAGCCGGCTTAGTAGGTGGTGGGAATGATGTGCTAGAGAAAGGGGACGAGGCCGGGGCCGTGCCAGTTGTGCTCCCCGCAAATGGACTTGGTGGTTTTGAAGCACTGGCTGCACCTGACAGGGGAAATTGTGGTGTTGGGGGTGTGACAGTAATCGCCGGCGAAAAGGCATTACTAGGTGGTGCTGCCGGCTTCGGCTGGGCAGCCTGACTGTTGTCCTGACTCTTCTGCTGCGTGCTGGGTCCAAAGGCTGGAGATGCAAAAGACGAAAGACCGGGCTCGGGCGTTTTTGTAGCCCCGTTCGGCTGGGTTGCTGATGCGAATGGGCTGCCACTTACGGGAGCATTGTTGCTAGCTTGGCTAAAGGGGCTAGGATTCGCAGAGAACGGATTTGAAGCAGGCATTGTTGCTGTTGACGCAGCTGCTTGGTTTGTTGTAAAAGAATTCCCTGGTCCAAAAGAGGGCTTCGAAGCAGAGAAGGGGTTATTGAATGGGCTTGAAGGTACAGCACCAGTTTTGGGGCCATCGGGTGCTATGCGAGGTTAGCTTGTATCCATATGATGAGTTTATACCCCTAGCTTGAGCTAGATTTGCCAATGGTGATGGTATGCCAACCAAGTATTCTTCCTTTTGCTTATACCAACCGAAGTACCTTGCACAGCGCGGTATTATAGCGATCAGACCAAAGAATCGATTTGTTCTGCGATGCTCGCATTTGTTGCTGCGGTATCTACAGGTGGCTGAAGAGGAGTGCTTGGAGGCTGAAGATAACAAGTCGTGAAAGGTGAGGCAGAGGTATGCCGAAGGGGTATAATGAGACAAGGCAGCAGTGTAAATATTGGTAAGAGAGTCCTTTACCTTTGTCGAATGTTGGCATTCCCGTTAGGTTCGTAGATGTAGTTCCTTGGGAAGACGCGAAAGGGGACTTGAAAGCCCCGTTGCTAGTCGATGTGGAGTCCGTCCCAAAGGGCGTATGGTTCTGAGGAGGCTTGAATGTCGTAGTGTTGCTAGTAAACCCATTGTTGCTGGATGCAAAAGGGGTTTTATCGATCTTCGATGATTCGTCTGGGATAGTGCTGTGAATGACGTCCGAAAGGCTACGGGACCCGCGCTTCCTTTCCACTAGCTCTCGGGAAAAGCTATGATGAATTCTGGGCCATGTTAAGCGGTTTGAGGTGTCCAGGTATTTGATCAGCTCGCCAGATGGGGATTCTCCATCGACAAAGGCCAGCCCGTGCTGTTCGGCGAATTCGATAGCCTGGGATTCCGTGTCGAAATGAAGGAATCGATTCAGTATAGAGGGTGTAATATCTTTCGCTCCGTTTCGTGGCCTGGTGTATGCCTTTTTTAAAGAACGGAGGGCCGAGCGACGCAATTGGCCCATATGAATCTCCGCAAAACAGGCCATTGTGTAGGACACCTGGCGGCTCTCAACAATCTTAAAGTAGGTTCGGTGCGCACCCGAGATGGCCATAGACGGTCCAGAACCCAAGGGGCCATGGAAGTCGACAGCGCTCTGCAAACTCTCAACGAGGGACACGGCTGTCCTGATTTCGTCGGAGTCTGCCCAAAATCGAGAATCTCCCCACTCCTTTTGGACATCGTCGAGAATGTTCGGCTTATTCGCACTAAAGAGTAGGTGATATGCTCTAAATTCTGCTTCGTTTTCGCAAATGACGTCGTGTGGTTTGCAATCGTCGTAAGCAAACATGAGCGAGAGCAAAGACTTGCCCAGCTGTTCAATTTCTTGTTGTTCCGAGAAGTCTTCCGGCGTAAACCCTTCTTGAGAGAGCAAGTGCAGAGACGTGACATGAAACCTTGCTATCGTCTCGAGGCAGTACACTTGGTCCTTCATTTCTTCGGGAGTCATCATCGAGTGGAAGATGAAGTCGCGCCGAATCGCACGTGTCCTGTCCCAGAGGAAGCCATGCATCACAGGAAGGCTGTCGTCTGTTTGCAGAAGATCGTCGATGAGGTAGTCAAGCGTTTTTCGGAGTGCCGCAGTTGATCTAACGTCCATCGGCAAGGGAGCTTCCTGCCCAGCTGCAGAACGAGCAAGCTTCTTCACCATCTTTGAGGTTATGGCGAACGTTGTTCGGGGATCTTTCTCTGCGGATTGAACATCGAATTCGGTAATACGCGTGATTTTCTCAAAATCGGGGCACATGGCGTCGCAGATGCCTTTGAATACAAGCGCGTCTTCCAGTCGTTTTGGCTTGTCGGGGTCGTCAATTAAGCCCGCGCGCATTAGAGAGGCTCGCGCGCGGTCGCGATAGGATTTGTATTCTTCCCTAAACTTGGCCATCACGGCCTTTTGCTTGGTGTTTCCTGGATCGGACGGCCATTTTGGCGGCGCTATTCCATCCTTCCTAAGCTGTGCAAGTATCTTCTCGGAGTATGGCGTTCCGTCGCCAGCCGCTTCGCCATTCGCATCGTCGGTTTCGTAATCAGTGGAATCTGTTACCTGACGGAGATCAGTGTTTTGGGAGCCAAAAACACCACGCGAATGTGATGTGTCGAATCCCTTCGCGCCCTTCTTCGCGCCATTTGACCTGGCGCCTGGCGCCTGTGGAGCTTTCTTCTTCCATTCGCCCTGAGTGTTTCCTTTGGTGGTTTTTCGTCGGCGATTGTCATCTGAGCTCGCGCCGTCGAAAGGGTTGACGCCCTTCCGTTTGGTTGAAAGAGTCGTCATCTCGAGAGGTTGAGTCTTGTGGTTGCGCTTCGGCCGCTTCCCATCACCGCCACCAGCCCCATTGAGGCCAAAACCTTGATGACCCGCGTCAGACTGACCTCCAAAGCCACCCGATGTCGATCCTCCAAAAGGTGATGAGGTTCTGTCAGGTCTGCTTGGTGGAAAAGAGACCGACGTCATGTCGAAGTCGCGGCACGAACTTCAAACTGGAAGCGACCAAGCACACGATATTGAAGTGGAGAACTGGGATGGAGCTGGCCTGCGTTTACCGCGTGTTTTTTCTGCGCGCTTAACTATTGGCGCGACCAGCCCCGCAAATTCCAATGAGTGGGGTGGGTTTATGGGCTTAGATGCACACCCTCGAACAGAAGCACCTTGAGAGAACGAGCACAAAATGATGGATTGAGATGAGTAAATGTGCCTCAACCCACATGTAGAAATTGAATATTTCTGTTCGTTTATCTGACTTGAGCAGATGAGAAATCTGTCTTTAATGTAGTCACGATACGCAAGCGAGTTGTAATTAGATAACGGTGAAACGGGAAAAATCAAAATCAAAAGTCGTTGTAGAACTGTCGTTTGCTCATTATTAAACCATCCCATGCAGTTTTTCTGACATAAAATGAAGGGTATCTCAGTCTCTAGCATCTAGATGGCGCCGAATGCCTCAGATATCTAGACCTCAGCCCTGCTCACTTAAAAACCCCTAGACCTAAGACGGGCTGGACCAAGCCCCTTCCTAATCTCATCCAACTGCTCAAGACCAGTCTGCGCCTTATTCTTCTTGTTCGTCCTCTTTCCTGGCTTGGTATAGCTACCCAAGAAGTCATCCATGATGCTGTCGAAGTCACCTCTAGTAGGCCCTGTCACGCTGGACGCCGTTGACACTTCCGAGACGGAGGCCATGTCGTCACCCATCTCGCTTGTGTATTCCTCCTCAATTTTGTCGAATCGGGCATCCAGAAGTGTAAGCTGTTCCGTTCTGACCATGGATGATGAGGTCATCGAATAGGTGGATGGGTTAGTGAGGGCACCCTTTCTCTTCTTCTTCCGGCCGCCCATAGTCGTTGTGGTCCAAATGGAAGACTGCAACTCAGACGGAGCAGCCTTGGCTTGGGGCTTTCCACCCTTTTGATCCTTTTTGAACTGCTTGAAGTCCTCAAGCCAGTCTTCGTTCTGGTGTTCTGGCAGCGCTTCTCCTTCAACGGCAACAACAGGGACTAGCTGAGGCGCGGCGTCGCCCTTGTATTCTTTGCTCGGCTTAGCCGTAGCATCCGATTCCCAGCCGTCATCTTCGTCGTCATAGTCATACTGTTCCTCGAATTCATACTCGTCAATCTCCCGCGAATCCTTGGCCAGCTGCTGGAAAATGTCGTCGTCCTCATCTACATACGCCTCGTCCTCCAATGCTTCCAGCACTTCCCGCAACCGAGGGTCCATATCAGGCTGGAATCCTGCAATCGCATCAGGAATATCCTGCTGGGATTGGTAGGTTGTCCGCTGTAGGTTCTTGGATGGCAGAACAGACTCGTCCAAAAGGGCCTCGCTCTTGTGTTCCAAATCCATCTGACGCAAGGCATCCTCAAGGGACTGCTGTTGCTTGGCCTTGCCCTTGTTTGCGGTCGCCGAAGCCTCAACCCAGACAGCTTCGCTGCCGCCCTGGTTCAGATCACGAAGATGCTGCATGTAGTCATACTCGGTGTCATCGTAGTAAACGCCATACTCTGCAGCCTCTCCTTCGTTTTCTCGGATGCTCGCAGCGTCAGATCCCAAATCGGAAGCAAGATCGCTCAAGTGCTTTCCCTTATTCGAACCTCCCTTCTGGGAGACCGGGTTGAGCACCATGGAAGGCGCATTTTCGTCGTGGATGAGCGGGTCATTTTGCGGACGGTGGACGAGAGTGAAATGCTGCGCATTCTTCTTGTCGCTAGGAGAAACAGTCAGTTGCAGGCGCAAGGTGTTAATGAGCGGCAAAAACTTACATCCACTTTCCTCTCGCCATATTGTCTGATTTATGTCCTTCAAGGCAAGGGGCGTTATAGTACTGTATTTGGGTTCAGTGCCGCAAAGACTTCGATGTGTGGGACGAACGGACTCACCCCTCGGTCGCATGCGCACCTTAGTGGCGGTGGGGAGGTTTTTTTTTTTACCCTTTTCTTATCTTATCGATAAGAACCGAAACAGGGTTTTCTCACCTGCAGCGGGGGGAACTTTTTGCCCCGCGACGTCCATTAATCAGCGGGGCACTGCCATTCTCTTCAAGCCGCTTGCGACGGCTCCCACTTCAACTATTACTCATTTTCAAGTCGCTCTTGCGAGCATTTTCTTTCTTCTACAGCAAGACTTTGAAGCAAGATAATACCGCCAAAATGGTGCATGCAAAGTCGAAAAACACCGTCGGTCTGGGCAATGCCCTTATGAATGACCGTTTCGGCAAGGGCCGCGGTTCCGACAGAAAGAAGGCTTCCACCATCACAAGAGTGAACCACGCCACCGGAGAAGAAGTAATATTGCAGTCAGATACTACGCGACATCAAAACATTGCTAACCATGGATTAGTACTTGACGAACGAACGACAGGAGGCAGCATGGGTCAAAATGCGATCGGTGACGGAGCAAGGTGCTCTCGACGAATTCCTTGCGACAGCGGAGTTGGCTGGAACAGACTTCACCGCTGAAAAGATGAACAACATCAAAATTATCCACACCGACCAGAAGAACCCCTATCTTCTATCTTCAGCGGAGGAGAGAGCCGTCGTTGGCAAGCAAAAGGCCCACAAGGGACGCCTGACGGTACCGAGAAGACCGAAGTGGGATGCGTCTACCACCCGTGAGGAACTGGACCGACGGGAGAGGGACAGCTTTTTAGACTGGCGTCGCGGACTTGCAGAACTTCAGGAAAACAACGACCTGTTGATGACACCGTTCGAGCGGAACCTCGAAGTTTGGAGGCAGTTGTGGCGTGTTATTGAGAGATCGGACTTGGTTGTTCAGATCGTCGACGCCCGAAACCCGTTGCTCTTTAGATCCGAAGATTTGGAATCCTACGTGAAGGATATCGACCCCAAAAAGGAGAACCTTCTTCTTATCAACAAGGCTGATATGTTGACGCTTAACCAACGGAAAATGTGGGCGAAGTACCTCCAGGAGAACCGCATCGCCTACAAGTTCTTCTCCGCTTTCCTTGCAAAACAGCTTCAGGAGTCCATGGAGAGCGATGAAGAGGAGTCGGAATCGGAGGAGCCCAAGGCTGGTAGCAGCTCACAAGCGCAGGCAGCTGCGGAAAAGGAGGGAGCCCAAGAGACAGAACCAGAGAGCGAGGATGGTGAAGAAGGCGGCGCAACTACCACACAACCAGAGGCCGATCTTGATGACGAGGCCACAAGAATTTTGACAGTGGAGGAGCTGGAGGACATTTTCCTCAGCCACGCTCCCGAGAATGCCGGTACGTTGGCGAACAAGTCTAAACGGAGAATATCAAAGCTAATGACTCAATTCCAGAACCTGGCCACAAGTTGCAGATCGGCCTTGTCGGATACCCTAACGTCGGAAAGTCCTCAACCATCAACGCCCTGATTGGTGCCAAGAAGGTATCCGTCTCGTCGACACCAGGAAAAACGAAGCATTTCCAGACCATTCATCTCAGCGAGAATGTGGTGTTGTGCGATTGTCCTGGTCTTGTGTTCCCTAACTTCGCAAGCACCAAGGCGGACCTCGTTTGCAACGGCGTCCTGCCTATTGACCAATTGCGTGAATTCACTGGCCCTTCAGGCCTGGTCGCCCGCAGAATACCCAAGCCGTTCCTCGAGGCAGTCTATGGTATTAACATCAAGACTCGCGCGATGGAGGAGGGTGGTACCGGCATCCCTAGTGCGCAAGAGTTGCTTGCCGCGTATGCCAAGGCTAGAGGTTTCACGACCCAAGGACTTGGTCAGCCTGATGAGTCAAGAGCGTCCCGTTACATCCTCAAGGATTACGTTAACGGCAAGCTGCTGTACTGTGAGCCGCCACCCAACACTATCGACGGACCAGAGTTCAACAGTGAGCTGTACGATGCGGCTCATCTGCCAGAGAAGCGACGTGCAGCGCTAGCGGCATCTCTTGATACCATGTCGCTCGTAGGCGATGACATCTCCATCGCGCCGTCTGACCTCGCAGTTCTCCCCGCCGGCCCCAAATCCAAAAAGATTGACAAGGGCTTTTTCGGAGGCAATGCCAGCGGTGCCGGTCACTACAAGATGCCTTTTAGCCACAAGTACACTGAACAGGGACAGAAGCATCTGAGTGGAAGGAAGGCTCGGGCGATGATTGCTCTGGAGAATGGCATCGACCCCAAAGATGTGCAGTTGTCTGCTGGCAAGAAGCACTTCAAGGGTGGTGCGAAGACGAGGAAGGGCAAGCGCCGTGCTGGTGCGGATGATGATGAATAGATACCAATCAAGACGCTGCAATGATTTTGCGTTCAAAAACGATTTAAGACTGCCTTTTCTGGGCCTTGATGAAGTTGTGTCACTTGATGAAAATGTCCTGGTAAGGGAAGTATTTTATTCACTTGCCTTTGGAGCGTGAAACAATCACTAGATATCAACCGCAGCCTTCCATTTAGTACCGCGCATGACGCACAATACAGGCTCCGGAAAAAACAACTCGAACAAACTGGAAATTCTTTATCCATATATCAAACAAGGAAAAGCTTCAATCCAATGGTGGCAAATACTGTAGATACTGCCAAGTCACCAGTAGCAGCTCATGCTTCATGTACTCGGTGTTTACACTCAAAGATGACAGTGGTGAAAACGTAAATCGTGAAATTGATATAGAACCACCCTACGCTATGCATATCGGTCCAACCCGAATCCTGGATACCGACTGATCCAAACGCCAGTTCTGTCCACATTTATTCCTCATCGCTGCTATCCATTACAAAACCACCCCGTGTGCGTTTTCTCGACCTTGCCGTAGGGGCTGGTACATCTTCATCTTCATCACCTTCGGTGTCAGCATCGGTCCCCTTGTCTTCATTATTCCCTTCCTTTGCTGCAGAGGCTGTTGGAGATAAACGTCTTCGCTTTCTTGTACCTTTACTTTGCGAAGAATTTGGGCTTGATGCCGAAGGAGTGTGGTTATTCGCATCATCGGACTCATCTCCACTGCCAGCATCCAATTCCATGCTGGCACTAGGCCGAGTCGATTGTGTGTCTCGGGTCGTAGCCAGAATATCGTCATCGTTATCGTCGCTGTCTGCAAGCAATGCCGCAGCTGTTCGCTTGACCGGGTGAGAAGCCAATACAGTCTCCACGTTGCGAGCCACACGAGAGCGCTGCGCTTCTTCCCGAAGGAAGAATTCGCGGTCGTATTCCTCGTCCGTCTCGTCATCGCTTGCGTGCACGTAGGCCTCGCTCTTGATCTTTCTCGCTTTCTCTCTCTCACGTTCCCTGCGTTTTCTGGCCTTTTCCTCCAATTCCGAGTCATTCGGGGCCTCCCCTTCTTCACTTGCCTTTCTGCGCCGCCTTTTCTTTGGCTTCTTAGCAGGCCCATCGATTGCTTTATGAACTGTCGGTCCAAGGGGCTCAAATAGGAACCCGTCATCAATATCCTCGTCATCGTCATCATACTCGACACGTTTCCGTGGTGCCTTCTTGCGCCGGAGCTGATCTTCAGCGGCACGGCCATCGTCAAACACGGGTGGATTAAACTCGGCCTTGTTGATGAAGTCGATACTCTCACGCAGGTAGTCTGCAGTAATCTGAGAAGGGAAGACCCATAGAGATTGCTGGGTCTCCTCGATGGTTGGGGCGAGTCTTTCCATTCCCACAAGCTTCATTAGAAGACGGAGGTGGGAATTTTTGAACATGGCAGTCTTGCGGGCATCATCGTCTGGGCGTACAGCTAGAAATTGTTAGCAGACCGAGGCAGTGCCAGGTGAAGTAACACAACTTACTGAAAGGGTCGGGCAGGTTAGCCCCGTCATTTGCTAGTGCCTCCTCACTGGGAGTTTCAATGCCCTCAACGGAAGGTATGACTTGGTTAGCTGCCGCCCATGCACGACGTTCGCCTTCAACAGATTCAAGAGTCTTCTTGACCCAAGCAATGTGATCTGATTGGTTTTTATCAAGTAGCACTCCAACAACAATGGCGATTTGCTGGTCTCTCTCCTCTGTAGTCTTAAATTCGAGTTCTGCGGCAGGTTTGGCGTGCGACGAAGAGATGGTCTGTTTTTCGTATCCAAACTCAAGGTAGTGTGCCGTGCTTTGCATCTTGGAGAAGAGCATCTCGATAATAAGCTCAGGTCGCTGCTCAATCTTCCGTACGCATTTTCGGATGATCTGTTTGGACAGCTCTTCCCACTCCTTGAACATACCGGAGCTTTTATCAAGAGGCTCAGGGCCCTTGATCATGTTGTACAGGAGATGTATAATGTCGACGCGGAAAAGCATGACGCTCATTTCTTGCTTGAATGCAATGCGGTAAAAATAGCGATGGGCGCGCTTCAACTGAGAATCATCGAGATCTTTGTAGTATTTTGTAAAAGCAACGAAGGTATCGACAACTCCTTGAGGGGTGAAACGTGAAGTGAATCGATGGAAGTCGAATTTGCGCTCTTTTGATGTCTTTTCAGCGTTGGCTTCATCATTAGCAGATTCATCCCCTTCCTCGTCAATGTTGTCCACGCCAGCAGCGTCCTGGGCGGCCTTCTTCTTCCGCCTTGTCCGCTTGCGAGACCGGACCTGCATATCAACGTTTTGTTTCGAGTACGCCTCCAAAATACGTAGAAAGTGATGCGTAAGTTCTGTCGCAGAATCAAGATACTCAAAGCCTTGGTCCTTGTACTGCCTGACAACATTGGCAACGAGGTCGTGTGTGGAATCTTCGTAGAAGAGACGGCTGAGAATGTTTTCAGCGATTTCCTCGTTGTCTTCGTTACCGGACTCGGCCATCTCCTGGACTGTGAGGAGAATTTGGGTGAAGCATCGCATCGCAGCGGTCAGGGTTGGCCATTCTTTATGCTCCCAGGAATCGTGCATTGTTTTGGTGAGAGTGATGAACATTGCTTGATTCAACACACCAGCCACGAGGTTGAAGCTGCTGACTTCATCGGCAGTACTCGGCTTCTTCGCGTCTTGTTTTCTTTTCCTGCGGACTCTTTCGGCCTCCAAGAACCACGCAACCAAGTACATGAACTGCCTGCGGTGATAGGTCAGAACATGTGATGCCTCGCGGTCCAAGGATTTCCGAACATGCTCGAACAGAGGGTTGAAGCCTGCATCAAGAAAATCTTCAACAAACGTCCGAAGCTGCGCATTCGCTCTGGCATTGAGCTTTACTGGAGCTCCTAGGTCTTTGGGTTCTAGTTCCTCCTTCCTCGCCCTGCGGGCCGGCCTAAATGTTTTGGATTCGTCGAGCTTTTGCTGTCGAGTCGCACTATCGGCAAGTGCGTCCTGGCCAGTTATAGTTGACACTCTTCCATCGTCTCGCTTCATCCAGACCATAGTGCCAAAGCGGTTATGGCGAGTAGGCCCCCTGCGGTTGTATGCATTGTGCATAGCCTTCTCTTTGCTCATCATAGCCGAGAGCTCCTGAGCCTTCGCCTTGTTCAATTGTTGCTCATCCATGAAGAGCTTCTTCACGTTGACCTGTTTGACAAGGTGATAGATAATTTCCATAACGATCACATCCTCGGTTCGAAAATCTTCCCCCATGTTTGAGGCAATCATCAGCAACACCATGAAGATGTCCTGGAAAGAGAATGCGTCTATCGTTGTGGAGCGGGAAACCTGAGTCTCGTCGCCATCGTATTTCACGTTCGGTGGGGGGGCGATCATAGCAATGTTCCGCAGGAAGAAGAGCGCAAGCTTGATAATGCCGTGATCGCGAGGTGTACGGTCACCGATTGTGATTGCCATCGAGGGTAGAGCAACGCGGACTGCAGTATGCAGGATCTGGGCACCGTCAAAGTTGATAATGGCTCGCTTATAAGCTAGCTGTGCCAATTCGAGGACCGGGATATGGCGGTGGTGGTTGTTGGTCATTCGTTCGGGGTCTCGTTCCAGCGGCCAGGTGAGAGGCACCATGATCTCGAAGCACGCAAGTGCGATGCGCGCCCTGAACTTATTATCGGTGGCATTTTCAGGCCAGCCCGCGAGGATGTGGAGGAGGTCGCCGTCAACGAGATTGGCTTCTGAAATGCAGCGGGCAACATCCATACGATTTGTTTTCTCGTCGTAAAATCGAATCCATTTCTTCAAATCGCGGAGGACTTCGATGGCGTCGTCACCGAGCCTGTATTGGCCGTCATCGTCGGCACTGGTACCACCAAGCTATCGCATTGTGAGCAGTTGAAGAGGACGGAGAGAGGGGCCAGCTTCAACTTACGGCAGAAACAAGACTGTTGATGTGCGCCCGAACTTCCGGGTGGACAACATCTGTCGTCCCGTCTGGCAGCTCCATTTTGCTGGCTTGGGCGAGCTCAAGACGATGACAGAGTCGAATTTGGTTGTGGTGTTGACTCCATGCGCAAGCCCCAGTCGACAGCGGTTGAAAGTGCTTAAACTAGATGGGACTAGGACGCGTTGGACGCGTTGAGGCGCGTACCTATTTGACTTGGGGAAAAGTATATGCCCCACTTGCTTCAATGGGTGACTGCGGGTATCGATAAGATTAAGCGATAAGACCAGACTGTGGCGGTGATGGTACCTGAAGAGGCCGAGGTTAGCCGAGGGTCATGAACATGGTCGCGGCATTGAGCCTTCAACAACATCTGCTCTCGGACATCCCCTTGCTGCTCCTCCTCACTTCTTCAAATCAGACATTGGGTTTTGATACTATCCCTCAGAGTATTAAATCCAGTTATTGTACCCTGTTGGCTATTTGACGGATTGTCGCATCACGCTGCACTAGCTCCCCAAGGACATCTTGAACTCCTCCACTGATCCCTGTCCTCTGACGTCTTCTTCATCTTGAGAATCATGGCGACTGCAATTGCGCGCGTGCGGTTCGCAGCGAAGCTGCCTGGCCAAATTCGTGGCTTCAGCTCAACACCGAGAGTTGCGTCTGCAACAGGAGGCGTCAAGCGATTGGGTGTCATTGGCGCTGGGCAGATGGTGAGCTTCCCAATTGACATGTGAATATCCGCGATCAAGCTGCTAACCATCTCTTTGTAGGGATTGGGCATTGCCCTTGTGGCCGCCCAAAGGGCACAGGTTCCTGTGACCCTTGTAGATGCCTCCAAGCCAGCCCTTGATAAGGGTCTGGCATTCGCTGGTAAGTTCACAGAGTCACCTCATACACGCTACGCCGGACTGATCGGACTGCAGAGAAGCTTCTTGCAAAGGATGTGTCCAAGTCGAGAATTACACAGGAACAGGCTGATCAGGCCCGGTCTCTGCTTTCTCCGGCGACATCCATCGATCAGCTGTCAGACGTTGATTTCGTTATCGAGGCCGTTCCTGAGATCCCCAACTTGAAGTTTGAGATCTTTGCGAAGCTAGCCGAGGTTTGCCCCAAGCATGCCATTCTTGCTACCAACACATCCTCCATCTCCATCACCCGCATTGCGGCTTCAACTACTAAGGACCCTACCGACACGTCTGCCAGCTCCCGCGTCGTCTCAACGCATTTCATGAACCCCGTCCCTATCCAGAAGGGTGTGGAAATCATTAGCGGTCTCCAGACAAGCCAGGAGACCTTAGATAAGGCCATCGCCTTCTGCAAGGCTATGGGCAAGGTCACTTCCGTCTCGGCCGACTCTCCAGGCTTCCTTGCCAACCGTATTCTCATGCCTTACATCAACGAAGCCATCATTTGCTTGGAAACTGGTGTCGGCGATAGGGACTCTATTGATGCGATCATGAAGAACGGCACCAACGTGCCGATGGGCCCCTTGCAGCTTGCGGACTTTATCGGTTTGGATACCTGTCTCGCCATCATGAAGGTTCTGTACGAGGAGACTGGCGACTCAAAGTACCGGCCCAGTGTGCACCTTCGTAAGATGGTCGACGCCGGCTGGCTCGGCAAGAAGAGCGGAAAGGGTTTCTACGACTACTAGAATTCGGGACCAAAAGTTAATATTGTGTAATTCGTCGATCAGCGGGTATGCTGTCACGGAAGGAGTAGAACTGACAGATTGGCCTCATCTGTTCATGAATCAAACCGGTTCAAATGCCTATTTACACGCGTCTATTGGAATTGCTAAACTTAACGATATGCCGGGCCTGCCTTGGCTGAAAGGCCTGCCTCTTAAATTCAGTCTTGAATTCTAGCACAAGACTTATATAAGGCATCAGCCAATCACTCGAGAACCGTTACGCATGGCTGCAGTATTCTGTGCCCAGTGCCGTGTGTACGGAGAAAAGTTGCCCTCAATTGAGTTCATGCGATGATGGATAGAATGGTTATAATGTAAGGAAGAGGCAGTGCAATAGGCCAATCATTGGTGCTTAGGCTAGACCCAAGGCATTGCACTTACTGATAATCCGGAGAAGTATTTAGGCAAATTCAGTGAAAACAAAAGTTCGACGAATATTGACCTCACAGTGATAGGTGACATTCCTATGCGTGAGTGGTATGACACGATATATCTTCCAAGTAGAACATGAAGTTGTGTACGTAGTATCTTGACAAAGACTGTGGCTTCTAGGATTGGTCTCTTAAAATGGCACTATTCCGTAAGCTATGTGGCATTATCCGTACTTATGCAAGTGAAGGAAGTTGTGCAGCGGAGACGTTGAAATTAAGCATGCGATGCGGCGAAGGTCAGTGCACCCAGACCTAATCTGGTCTCCCCCAGGTTTCTTTAATTAAAACCACAATCCCTCAAACAACATACCGACAGTCTGCACTCCCAACGTGCCTGGTTGCCAGCTGCTGCATACGCACACATATTGGGCTGCATGTACTGTCCCTGCCTTTTGAAATACAACTAGCACAGAGTCTCCCCGAGTCGAGCATCGCCGGTCCGTTTTGAAGTCGCATTCGGAGCAAAACAAGCATCACATCTCGGAGAGAATCGCCAACAGCCGGATTTTTCCACGGCACAGGAGAGCCAAACTTGGTCATACACTGGTTGCACCCCTGGACAGTCTCAAATGATACCCCCCATAGATGGCAACTTGCAATATCGGCCATGACCCACGATTGGTCCGGTTTCGTCTTGGCCATGCCGGCGGTTTGAGGGTGAGGGGCCGCTGATGCCCCTCGTCAGGCTCATCGGCAACTCCTCCGCCTGAGGTCGTCCCGTGCGAGCTGATCAGCTTCAAAGCCTGGTTCACAACCAGACGTTCCAGCTAATAAGCCGCCCAAACGACAACTAGCAAAGATCCCCTGCATCGGTTCGCGCATGAAGAACTGCACTTTGAGTCGTCCTATACCCCGCATTGCACAGACGGGATCCCCCAGACCAGGACTTGGAATCATGGTAGTTGACTTACCCAACTCCCGACTCCACTTATCACACTGATCATCTCTGCCGTCGGCCGTCTGCTTCCGACTACGCATCGAGCCAAGCGTCACTCTTGACATCCCTCCCCCCCTCGCCCCCCGATCGGACGCTTCGGGAACTAATTGCGTTAGCTCAGCTGGTGTGCGAGCCGTCCATCACAACGACAGTCTCGTTGGTGCAACAAGCCGTGCCTTATGCACGCCCTCTACCTAAATCTCCTCCGTGGCACCTCGGTAAGGTTACCCGCTCGCTGCTGACAATAACTCTATGTTCAAAAATGTCTCGCGTAGCGCATTGCTTGGATCAACTCGCATGGATGACAGTTAAGCCAGCCCCCTTCTCGAGTGAGAAAATCCGGGGGTTGCAGCGCATCTGACCACTCGACAATGCTGTCTTTGGTGGGTTACACGAGGCTGGACCTAGACGTGTTCTCGATGCCCTCTCGCCAGCTCTCGGGCTGACGCACAAAACTCGGGCGGCCTTCTGCCCGGGGCGAGGAGAGACAACTCTTTTGTGCCTGGTTGAGCCCTGCTACCATGAGGGATAAACTGTAGCCTTCTAGTCACACAGGGTGCGCGGGTCGGAACGTATCCACAGGGGCCGTCCTGAGACAGCAGGCACAAGAAGCAGTTTTTTTTCGTATTTGACCTCACGATCGCTGGACTATTCTGCATAGTACAAGGTGGAACACTCGCCTCCGCACTATTGTGGCGGCCGCAGGATGTCTCTGTTGGACTTCTGGTATCGTCATTACTTCCTGCATCATGAAATTGAGGCGAGACTTTGGATGTTGGAAGAATATTTCACCGCTGGGCTCGTTATAGACTACATGTCTCTGTGACACCAAGTCGCGACATGAGTCAACCGTGTCGCCAGCACGGCGGCCTGCGTGATTTGTGGGCGGAGAGCCATGCAAGTCGCAGCGCTGCGGTTCCTAACCCATGCATTTACTGCCTGTGACCAAGCGGTCCCGCGACTTACATCCTCCGAGGTTTCCCAATCGGACAGGGAGACTGATTCATGCGACCCGTCGTCCGACTATTCGCAAGCGCGTGTTCAGCAGGTGTCAGATAGTCTGATAAGCCCAGGGATCAACGGATGCTGATGGCGCTCATGTGAGGTGTATAGTTCCAAAGGCGCATGTGTGCAACCGTCGAGCGTTCCTACCGAAAAGGCAGACAGCATCGGCCTACAACTCAATCTGGCCAACACAGCGGGGAGTCGTTGTGTTTGTTTGGCCAGTTGCCTCTGCTGCCGTATCATTGTGGCTGGCCGGGCCCCAAGTACTCAAGACATATGGCCTTTGGCCGTGTCGTCTAGTTTCATCGGTGGTGCGGACAAGCCAGGTTGCTACCAGTCGAGGACCCCCTCAGTGCAGTCCAGATCAAAAGCGGGAAAGACGCGTAGGGCCCGATCGTGAGTGGCTCCAAGAACCAGAACCAGAACCTGAACCAGAACCAGAACCAGAACCCCGTACGTTACCATGCAAAAGGTCCACGGCCTGGGTGAATGTGGGAGGTGGCGGGGGGGGGGGGGGGGGGGGGGGGGGGGGGGGGGGGGGACGATCTTCGGTAATCTCTGCCTGTCTCTCTCTGTCTCGTCACGCCAACCATCAAACATGGGCCCATCATCTTCTCGCCAGGGAGAAGTGAAAGTAGGCTTATGATGATGGCAACATGATGATTCGGTGAAACTCCCTGACGAGCTGACTCCTGGCTGTTCGACTTTTGCTTTTTGCCTATGCAGAGGTATCCACGGTACGCCTTGCCCACGCTGTAGTATCGTGGGATGATGGCATTAAGAGGAGGGGGGGGGCAAAGGGATGTGCGCGGCGCCAACGAAAGGAACATTCTGGGCCACATCCCCGCGAGTCACCCCTCCCCGAGCAGTTTGAAAAAGTTAGGCTGCTTTCGTGGCGACCACATGGCAGCCACGTAAAATCTGCAAAAAATAAAAAGTAAAAAATTAAAGAAACAATCACATTTTGTGAGCGCGCGATCGAAGTAGAAAGAGCATGGGCAGACCCTGTCTGACGCAGGCAAGGGGAGAACATAGTCACACTTGGTGGTAGACGAGGCCTATTCTTTCTTTTTTTTCCCCTTAGTTGTTTCCTTAGCTCTGTCTCTTAAAAAAAAAAAAAAAAAAGGATTCCATCACTTATCCTGGCGGCGGGGGAGGGAATGGGCGCCGCCGAGATGATGCCGGCCCAGATGATGCGGACGAAATTAAGCAAAACGGACCAACCACGTCGCGGTACATGGACATTTCGGGCTTGGTCCCCACATCCTGCGGCATCGGGGAAACGGGGGAAGGCGGAGGAGGAGAGTCGAGTCCCACGATGGCGCTTGCGCAAGCCGCAGCAACAATCGGTTGCAGAATGTCTCTCGTCTAACCTTTTTGTTTTTTTTCTTCCTCTTTCTCTCTCTCTTCCCACAGAATCTGGCGAGGGTTTTTGATTTTGGGAAATTTTTACCGCGGAGGGCCATGGTGTATGAGACACATCGGTAACAAAGGGTGCCGCCCCACGCAGTCGGCCGGCATGTAAGTTGGCAAAATAAACCATCAAGATCGATCCATGGATGCATATGCAGTTTCGCCAGCTTCTTCTGTTGTTATTGCCAAGGGTTTTCAGCCAGAGCTAGCCTTGCCTTGCACCACCCTTGGTTCCTACGTCAACCACCTCGAACGCAGCTATGACGGCTAATGTCTCTCGCCAAACGTGATTTCCCAAGCTTTCCGCCGCCTTGGAGTCGCATAAGCGGCTCATCGTGCACCTTAGGACCAGGAACAATAATAACAAAAAGTAAAAAAAAAAAAAAAGGAATACAACAAACAGGTCCCCCCTCCACCCAAAGCTGGGGGGGGGGGGGAAGGGGGGCGAAAGGCAGAAAACCACCATGTCTATGCGTGCCTAACCGAGGCAACAGGCGCCGAACGGCGCATTGTTTGTTCACCCCCTCCCCTCCTCTCCTTCCCTCCCCCGTTTCGGATATTTTCTTCTTCTTGTTCTTCTTTTCCCCGTCATGTCCTCCGATTCAACCAAGATCCCAATGGCCCCCATGACTTAACTGACAACCAAGCCAGCCACACCAGGCAGTTAGGCGAGGACCAAAGAGAGAATGCCAAGGGGAAGAAGAAGAAGTCGTTATATCACAAATGGATACGATGGACAATATTGAAGAATGAAGTGGTAGATTTCATATACTAAAACATGGTCTTTAAGAGGTTCCTGCCAAAGCCCACGCAAATAAAAACACGTTTGTCCAAAACTGTCCTGATACATATACACACACAAGCATACGTTTTGAGGGGTATTTCCGAGCAAAGATACAGAAATCAGGAGCCTTAGACCCCATAGAGCAGGCCCACATGAGAGCAGGAGACGACGGAAGAGATGGAAAAAGTGAAGAGAAAAATCCCCCGAATATGTTTCTTTGGGGTAAATGTGAACAAGTAAATATGTGCATAGCCTTTTGAAGAGAAGAGACAGGATTTGTGAAACCATTGTCATCAGCCACATGATGTCCATCATGAGTAGAAGAAGAGAAGAACCGAAAACTGATAAAAAAACCAAAAATGCCACAAAAATGTCGTGTCGTATGAGCAGCGCGCTCGCCTTTCTAAAAGCAGATTTCCCAACCCAACCAAAATAAAAAAGTAAGAACTGCCATGTGTTGTTTTTTGATCGCTCTTTTTATTTTTGCTCCCTTCCTTTCCTTAAACTGTTTGCCCTTGGGGTATCTTTATTGACCAGTTTTGTTGTGGTCCCATGTGATTCTCTATGCCGCGCTTCCGTATGCCTGAGCTCCCGGGGCGGGACCGGGCCCTGCTGCACCGCTGAAGCTTCGTTTCCTCTTGAGTGCGAAATCTTGTCCGTACTCCTCTCCGCCTCTTGACTGGTGGTATTCGCTGCTGCTACTGGCTCCCTGGCTGTCCGCGTGGTGCGGGTGAGGGGGCATGGGACCGCCGGCGCCGCCGAAAGAGTCACGCATGGGCGTCCTCGCGTTGGAGGTGTTCATGCTGGCGTGGAACGCTTGGGAAAAGTCATTGGGCGCAGCGATGGGCGCGCTCATCTGAGGCATCGAGTAGTCCTGCACGCCACCGGGACGAGCACCGGGTGTGCGGGGCATGGCGAAGTCGACGGGAGCGGTGAGAGGCGCCGAGGGGAAGCTAGAGGTGTAGGCAGAGGAGGTTGCGAACTGGGCAGATGAGGCACGAGGGGTGGAGGCGTGTCCTGTGGGAGGGACAGAACCGACGGAGCGGTACTGATTGCGGAGGTCAAGGCCGAGAGGAACGGCGCCTGAGGAGGCACGACTGCGCAGGCGGTTGGGCGGCGCGGACTGGAAGTTTGAGTAGTTCATGCCTGGGGGCGAGTGAGCTGAGTTGCCTTTATCCTAGTTAGTAACACTTCATATCAAAGGAGCTCTGAAAACATACCAGAATATGAGCCGGACTCGTAGGAGAGTCCGCTGCTTGATGAGGCGCTCATCTGATCCGGCTGGTAGAGACATTGTTGCCTTCCGCTCAGCTGAGGGCTTCCACTCGCTCCGTGGTGGTAGCTGCTGTAGTCGATCGAGTCTCCCTTCCATGACATGCTAGACCGCAGCGGGGATTGGATGTTGTCTGACCTAGACCTCGACATAGTCTCCCGCAGCTGAAGGGGCTGGAGAGGCCGCGCCGGCTGGCCACGGTGCATCGACATTGAGTTCTCGAGAGCGCCCTGTCGTGCGAAGGGGTTTGAGGTACGGGGGCCGGGTCCCATTGGCGACAGGTGGCTGCCGTAGCCATAACGATGGTCACCGGTTGAGTTGGGGGTCATGGGAGAGAGGATGTCGGGGCTGCTCATGGCTCCAGGAGGGGTGTATGCCATGCCACCAAAGCCTGGGCTCATTCCCGAAGATGAGATGTGATCTTCGCCACCCTCTGCCCTCCGAACATCCACCATCAGTGGCCGAATCATGTGGTCAGCGTAGGATTGAGCCCCAAAACCCATGGGCGAAGCCAAAGGAGTGCCCAGGCCGTGAACAGCGCCATAGGGAGAGTGAAGAGCCTGGACGTTGTCAAAGTCATCAGGAACGGCGCGCATCTTGATCATGCGATCACGGTCGTCCGCTGTGAGACGCTTGATCTTGGCACGACTGATGATGTTCTTTGTCAGTACGCTGCTCGAGTTCCCCAGATTGGTTGGCAGACTCACCGGTTCTGGAACCAAACTTGGACTTGACGTGGGCTCAACCCAGGGATTTCCCTAGACAAGCGTTCTCTATGCGCGGCATCGGGATGCGGCTGCTTAGCGAACTCGCTCATCAAGAACCGAGTTTGCTGGTGTGTGAGGCTGTCGTGGGTCAGCTTATAAGTTGCGGTCCAGTGGTAACTGTTGGACTCACCGGAAACGCTTCATCTTCCTGCGGGCTGCTGTCCGCTCTGCGGCAGTCTGGGGGGCGCCGCCTTCTCCATCATCAAGCATATCATCATCGTCAAGCACATCATCATCTTCATCCTTGCTCAAGGAACCATCATCGTTATCAATCTGAATCGAGGGCATGTCGCCTGATGCTGGTGACGGGTTCGATGCCATCGTCACACTCTGTGTCTCCGTTGAAGCCATGTTATCCTGAGCCACGGGCTCTACTGTCTTCTCTACGCTTTCTTGTCTCTTCTCTTGCGGTGTTTGTTGTTGTTGCTGTTGGACTTCAGGTTCGTCTTCCGGGGTGGGTTGCTTGACCTGTCGAAGGCCAAGAGGGTCCGCGGGCCCGCGGTTGTCAGCTCCAGTGTTAGGCTCCTGCTTGGTCTGGATATCTGTGGTGCGTGGTTCCGAGGCGTCATTGCCTGTCTCGTATGCCTGCGAGAAGACGTTGCCCTCTGAAGCCGGCAGATATGAGTACTGCTGGCCCTGCCACTCAGGAGGCGTCGGCAACGGAGTCTCGAATTGGTTCGACATGCGTGGAGGTGTAGTAGGAGGCTTGTGAAGGGAGGTCTCGAACTTGCTATAAGACCAGTGGCTCTGCTCGGTGGTATCAAACTGCCTGGTGACAAGCATTGGGACCGTTGTTGGAGGTTGAGCTATTCCTTGAGATTGTTCAAAGACGCTTTGCGTCTTGGTAAGTGTCGTATAGAGACGAACTTGAACGAGAGTGACAAAGAGTGACAAGATCGAGTGGCAATCTTGTAAGCTCGCGGAGCTGATAGCTTGGAGTAAAGCGGTAGTAGATTGAGCAATGGGTAGCTCAAATTGATGTCGTGGGATCTAGGTTGTCAAGGCTCTAGATGAAAACCAAGGCGGCCCAGAAGTAATATATTTAAATAAAGAGTGAGAGTGAGAGAGAGGTTGATTTGTTGATGCGTCAAATCGTTTTGGGAAAGGGAAGAGAGGATGATAAAAAAGGAAAAGAGGACTTGGCTACCCCAGGTCCCACGAGGCAGGATCGATCATATATTGTATAAATTTGAGGGTGTGCCAAATGATAGTATGGCGGGGTCGATCGACTGGGAGCTGTTCTGAGGCCTGGAACTGACAGGCTTCCCGTATGGATGGCAAGTCTGGAGGAGACCCGTGGATGTAATAAGGCAGTATGGCCAGGAAACCCTTGCTCAGCAGTATGGCAGAGGTGGAATTAATACCGAAGGGTACTGCCATCCACACGGAGAAATGTCGAGGCTGGATCCGTACAGAAGCAGGCCCAGCATGGACGGCGGCCACGACGGGATAACGCCTGGTCGGACGAGGGTCAACGGTACCTGGTACCTGAGCAGTGGTGTCGAAGGTTGGCTAGGGTGTAGGGGGGTAGGGGAGAAGGGGGTAGGGGGTAGGGCACTAGTTGACGAGAGGGAATTGAGGTACCGTAGCAGTGGGGATGGTCTCGAAGGAGACCCGATGCACGGTTTAAGGCTCGTCGATTCGAGAAAAGCCGCAGCAGCGTTGCTCATGTGCCATGCTATGCCATGCCTGGCGGATAGGTATGCCATGGCATCGAGGGTGCCCGCTAGGCCCCCAAGGGCCCCGGCATGGATATGGTACTTGTAAGATGGGGGGGGGGGGGGGTGAAGAGGGACACGTCGGGGTGGGTGGCAGCTGGGTGAGCTTGCGATGTTGCTCATGTTGCTGAGCCACAAATGCTGGCCAGCATCTGTGCGTGTTATGTGTATGGGTGTGGATATTTCTGTACACCACCGTCTCCTCCACCCTGTTCGAGAAACCTGGGCATAGCCTGGGGAATCGCTAAAAGTGAGCGACAGACGGGTGGACGACGGTAGCAGCTATATCACTGAGCCCCATGGCCTTAAGATTTTCGGCTGAATGGCTAATGCCGTGCCATGAAGGTCCTGGAACCAGCCCATCCAGCCCAGCATGGCGCGACCTGGTCCGTGTTGAGAAATTCCAGATTGAGATGACAGATCTTTCGCAGCAAAGCGACAAGCTGCGCTGAGACGGGGTCACCTTGTATGCGGACACCTGAATAGGCAGGCTGATGTTGACACCTGAATCAGTGCAGAGCCAGGTGGACGGGTTTTGGAGAGAATGAGACAGGGTCGAATGGGGCCCCCTTCTCGTCTGTTTCCTTGGGCTTCAGCGGCCGCAAGGGGAACAAAAAAAGAAGACGGGACAGGCACAAGAGCCGGTAATCACAACAGACGGGACGAGCAAGGCACACGCATAGGCACGATGGAGGCGGCCGCCCCAAAAATAATGATATTATGGATCTCGCATTGGGCAAAGAACAGGACAGCATCAACTAGCCCACCCGATTTAGTCCATACAAGCCCACAGCTGCGAGACGGGAAGGTGGACAAGCAAGGCCTCAACACGGCGGCAGAATGCTGTTCGGAGAAGAAGAAAAATCAAGGAGTGAGAGGGCATCTCGGCTGGGATATCTGGATGCTGCTCATTGGTCTTTGCGACATTAGCTCTGTGTCGACTCCACGGATGAACGCATGACCGTTGTTGAGAAGCCGGCCGAGGCTACGACCAATGGGAAAGATCATCGACCAAGGGGATAGATAGGTGTGGTGGCTCGCTCTTACTCCGTCTCCCCTACCAAAAGTCTGAAGTGGCTGCTGTGGGGGGGCGTGAAGAGGAGCGGGACGGAGGAGAAAGTTAGGTGTGCGCATAACGCGCCGACCGACGAAAAGAAGGGTCGGGAAATCTGGTGGGGGGGGAGAAGAGGGAAGGAGGCAAGGATTGTGGTACAAGCGGTGATGTACCTTGAGCGCCTTTGACGAGATACGGCGTTGCAGGTCATGACAGAGAAGGACGGCAACCAACTGACTTGGAGACTTTGACCGACTAGCTAACTCCATGGGTTGAGAGATGAGAGGTCAGGGAGACGAGACCTGGTATCCGTAGGGCAGGGGACGGTAACGGGACGGGCGGACACAGAAGCGATGGGTATGGTATGGTAAGTTGTGGGAATTGTATCCGTATGGTGATGGGACTCGCAAGAAGCTGGGTAATGGGTGGCGGAGAGTCCCAACCCCGGTATACCGCCTGCGACGACAAGGGAGAGTGAGCAGATCCTCAAAGAAGTAGATCTTGAGGTGCACCGTATCGTATCGCACCCCTTCACCGTCGTCTCCGAGTCCGAACATGCACGGTAAGGATGAGAAAACTTACGTGGCGGCTGTCTTGGAATCCCCAGAGAGGCATGGCGCGCGTCCGAAGCGATGGTGAGGGAGACAACAGTTGCGCTTGTGGAATTCGCATTCTGGGGCGTTTTGGGAACAGCCATGTTTTGGAAAAGAGGCACAGGAACAGAAACAGGAACGCGCATGCCGGTTCTGCACGTAGCGTACAGAGGCACGCGAAGATGGGACGAGCACAACCCCCACAAGAAAGTATGTTCTGTCGGCCAGGGATTGATTCTCGAAGGCCGCGGTTCCACTGCCTGGCCTAGTGCACTCAAGAAGCAGCAGCAGCAGCAGAGACAACGGCGGTGGCGGCAACGAGCCCCAGCAGCGTCGGCAGGGAGCTGTCTGCCAAACTGTCACCAGTACTCTGTACCTGATCCACCTCAATCTTGTGGACGCAGTACGAGACCTTAGCTCATGCCGTGTTGTTGTATGAGCTTCTTCTTAGCGAGTGGGTAGGTCGACGGGCAATGCGTGAACGAGTCGTGAACCCATCGAGCATGCCTCATTCTACCCGGGTCCCTGTGTGTGCGCGCGGCATCTGTCGAGTGTTCTGGAAACTCTGTTGGACTAGTCCATGGCTCGTTTCTTGTCAAAACCCGTGTTAATGAGCTAGCCTAGCTCATGGAAGCGGAAAAGGCTACAAGCCACGTCGAGCCAACAGCTAGCTTCTAGCTAAGATGTTCTCAATGGGTCGCTCAGGAACGGCTAGCCCACGGGCGAATCAGGCGGCGGCTGGGTCGAGAAGGCGGTCAGATTATAGAGGTCCAGGGTATGTGCAACGAAAGGGAATTAGTTTCCTGTCGTTCCTCTCTGACAGCACGGCACTTGAGATTGAAAGCCCAGGGACGAACTGACGGCGGACCTTGTCCGGCACGTCCGTAGCGTGAATTCATACCATCTCCACGTGCCTATGATTCGATCGTGCAGACGAAAAAGCAAGAGGGTTAAAAAAAGGCCACTGGGGACCCGGTCATTTCATCTATGTCAGGCTGTAGGAGCGCCATGCTCGTCAATGCCGTGTGTGTATGTGTATATGTGGACTTGGAAGAGGTGACGGCTAGCAAAGCCCAGGACACCTTGTTCAGCCAAGGGCTGGGGCGACAGCGTTAATCATGGCGTAGGGTGCGGGTACTCTGGGTGCTGTGGTAAGTAGGTAGCATGTATGTACGTACATGCTGCGTGTTTGGCATTTTGCCAAGTATGGATGCTTGAAGCAAGCAATCAACATCAAGCTGAGCAAGCCCGGAAAAGACAAAACGATGTAATGTGATGCGATGCGAAGTGAGGTAAGGTAGCGTTGCAATGGACGATGCATTTGTGTGCTGGGTTAGCTGGGTAAGGTAGGAGCAGAGGGGCATGGGCTGTTGGAAAGCTGCCCGAATGAGCCGTAGGCTGATATGCTGGCTGCGATTCTGCCCGCCATTCTCGGTGGAGTCGGGTGCAGCTGACCCGTGCCTGACCGTACCTGCCGCCGACCTTCAGAGACAAGAAAGGTAGGAACGAATGCCCTACATCGAACCTGCCGAACGCGAAGCTGAGAGGAACTGGATCCAACACCCAGAAAGGGTGAAAAAAAAAAGACAAAAAAAGTCTGGCCCTCCCGATATCCACGCTGGAGGTTTCAGCCTTCAATTACATATCCAAAATGCTACGTCATTCCGAGTAAGTAACGAGATCAAAGGACAAACTATGAATACCGAAATAAGATCGTCTGGTCTCATCACCCAGTTCGCCACGCCATGACGACGGCAGTCAAGTTATGCATCTTTTTTTTTTTTTTTACTATTATGTCTCTAGGCTGTGCTCATCCCGCCTGCATGCACCCAGCAGTTTGTTGTCATGGTCACACAAAAACACTGTTAGGCGGGATGACAGACAGAGAAGCGGAACTCGGAAGCAAGGAGCATGGAGCATGGTCGACCGAGCCTAGAAGACAAGAAAAAGGCAGTGTAATGGAAGATCTCTCCGTGAGGACCTGAAGACAACGAACCACAAACGTTCCTTTCCTTAGAGGGTGCCACATGACACGCCCAATTTCTCACCAACCGGCTACAATACAAGGGGCGTGGCAGTAACTGTGACGCGCCGCCAGCTGCACTACACTGTTGCTGCTTCTTCTCAGTATATGTTGCGTGCAGACTGCCAGCGCCAGCAGCTGCCGTCAAATGTCCGTGCTCAGATTTGGACGTAGAAGGCTTCCATCTGGCAGGCCCCGAGCAGGGATGCGAACCATGGTTTCATCCTAGGCGGGGGATTGCAGCCATGTTGGGCGGGAGAGCAAATCGCGAAAGGGGACCCCCTCGTCGTCATCCAGGGGCAACGGAAAATGGTGGCTCCATCAGGCCAGATGCTGCCACTGGACTGGACCGACAGCCAGGCCGTCTCGTCTACCCTTTCTCGCTGTCTCTCCGTGGGTTGAGCGAAAGACGGCATTACATGGGACGGGGTGAATGAAGTGGATGCGGATAGGGATCCCGCATTTTCTCGCGAGTCGCCTCCGTGGGTCGTCATGGGGCGGGCGGGTGGTGGGCAGCAAAGTAACAGTAGGAGCGGCAACAGCAACAACAGCGGCAAGCAAGCAAGACAAACCACGTACAAGAGACATTACGAGACAACACAAGACAAGACCGTGCAAGCAAGTAGGTCCCTACAAATGGCAATGTCGACCACAGACTGCCCGATACACCCAGCTCTGGCGTGGTTGCGGTCCAGAAGCATCTCATTTATCCCGCACTAGAAGTGTAGAATATCTGTAAGGAACCACCCCAGAGCGAGACACCCCAAGACACTGCGTGAGCGATATGACCATACGCCACGGAGCGTGTACATTCTCTCTAGTCTGAGGTGATGAATCGAGAATCAATCAAAAAAAAAAAAAAAACAGTCTTGGTTACAGTCTAGAGTTACATCCCAGGACCGGCTCTTGCACGAGGAAGCTGACGAGGGGCTTACATCTGGCCTGACCACATGTGGAGGGATCGAAAGCAATGATGTTACTTACTCTCTTGCTTTTTTCCCACCCCTCGCATCTCATCACGGTCGGCCCTTTCTCTCCCTCCCATGCCTGGAGATAGATGCTCATCCGACGTTCTTTTTTTTATTTCCCTTCCCTCTTCTTCGTCATCGAGACGCAAACCGACAGCCTAGCCGGACGCAAACATGGGCTGGGCCCCAGTGGATCGTGTCGCGCGGTGGCCGGGTCCTTCAATTTCGCGCGCAGAAGAGTGGGAATCATCTCCGCGACGGCCGGGTCCCTAGCGACAAACCAGCGACCACACAGTACAAGAAGAAGACGCCCGTGGAGTCGGGAGCTGCAGGAGAGAAAAGAAGGGACGACAAGGCCATGGCAGGAGGATGCGTATGCGTTTCCAAACTTTGCTCAACTGTTCGATGAGACGACAGGTCGATGGGATGGGACTGGTGCCATGCCTGCGTTGATCCCCTTCAGCGGAAGTCAAGATGAGAGGAACGGGTGATGAGCGTCAGGTATCAGGCCCATTAGGCCCATCCATGAGACACGGCCGAGTGGAAACTATTCTGGGGGGGACCACGACAGTTTGCGGAGGACATGTCCGTCAGCGCAAGCAAGCCTGTGCTTGCTGTGGCCTTGCTTGTTAGTGGTCTGTTGTTGCTGGTGCTGTGGTGGAGATTGCCTTCCCTTACCATCTTGTCACCCAACAACAGTTCTTTCTCATTCTACTAACTTTTCTCGCATAGCTGCCGAGGAGCAAAGGGCAACAGAATCAGAGACACACAACAGAGAACCGGAGCTTTGATCTGAATGCAATCAAAGCCACTATTAATCCTAGATGTCTACATAATACGCATGCCTTTTCTGGCTACCTTGGCAGTCTACACTGCATCCAGGCACTGCACTGCTGTCAAACAAGCAACAACCTAGGTCGGAGGTACTCCTGCCTCACTACGTATCGTTACAAGCCACGCGCTGGTCAGCCGTTACAACGCCTTCGTGCGGATTTCCCGAAGTCCCGGTACAAAGGGCCAAGGTACCTGAGTCGAACAATCCCCCCCGCCAAAAAAAAAAAAAAAAAAAAAAAAAAAAAAGTGCACCAAATCTACCAGTGCTCCATCACACTATTAACTTGACACAAGGGCCTGTCGGGGACTCGCCTGGCTAATTCTAAGAGATCTCTGAATCGCTGTCATTCGCGCTAACAAAGCAGAGTGGTCGAGATCCAAGAGGTTCCGACAGCGCGGCAACCGTGGGGCACAGGTCAAGGTGTACTTCGTCCAAACTTGCCCGCCGTGCCCCTTCCATCTCACATACCGCGCGCAAGGGAGTCTCGCCTCGTTACAACCTGCCTTCGCAAACGAAGCCTCCCCTCCGGCCCCTTCCCCTGTGCATCCCCGTCTTGCGTACCTGCGTGCGCGCAGTCACGATGTGTGTGTGTTGCTCATCACCTCCTAGCAAGCCTTGGCAAAGACCACATCCAGCCCACCTTTTCCCAGTGAGGCGGAACTTTTGGCGTGTCTCACTTCTCCATGCCATAAGATTGGGGAGGGTGGGCAGGATTGCGTTACGTCGTCAAGAACCTGATAATCTCGCCCGACTCGTTTTTCTGCTCACTACTGCCGCAAAGCCCAAGCAAGTGGGCGCGGCAGTTGGAACCACATCAAACACAAGCAATACCGATTCAGTATGGATTACG